CTCGTTCCCTCCATAATAGGGGTCGTTGACGATCTCGGGCCGCTTCGTCCCGCTAAACTCGCCAAATAGCATCACCTTGGCCTTTGAGTCTGGGTTGTTCTTTTGTAGCCGGTGGAGATCCGAAAGGTTTGACCTGTCCATGGCGAAGATGTAGTCAAACTTGTTAAAGTCGCTGGGGTGAAACTGCAAGCCGACGTTAGTGAGTCTCAAGTTATGCACCGCCGCCGATTGAGTTGACAGGGGGGGATGACAACATACCCTCCGCGCGAGATGGTCGTAGTCAGTAATCCCGTTGGCCTCCAGAGTCGCCATGGTTCTATCATCCGGGGGTTCGCCGCTGTGGTACGCAGCTATCGTGACTGTTAGCAAGAATGACCTCCTTTTTCGAGGTCCAATTCAAACACACCTGTGCCGCAAGAGTCGATGCGCCCAATCCTACCCCCAACCTCGGGCTGCTTGGCAAGGTTCTGGAAGATGCCCTCTGCCATGGGCGAGCGGCAGATGTTGCCTAGGCACACAAAGAGGACTGCCACTGGTTCCGACATGGCTGCGCTGCGCTGGTGTGTACAGTATCTCAGATGTCACTTGTAGACAAAGAGAAAAGGAGGGAGATTCGAAATGTCGATTTGTCGCGACGAGTGACGTGACGGCCCGATGCGCGCCATAATAATTGCTGATCTGCCCCGCCATCTCATTTTCTGGCATGGAGGGGTCCCTTGTACTGTGATCATGCCGTGTACGCACTGTGTGACATCGAGAAAAAGTCACGTGGATTCGTGTCTGGCTGGCGCTCGAGCTACTGAGGCTATGGCTGACAAGACGCGCTCTGATTGTTGGAGACGTGTAAGCATCGTCGTCCGTCTCAAGCCACCGGAGGGAAGTCTGTCCATGTTCCCCGCTTCGTAATTGAGGTCTGAGAGCGTGAATGAACGTGAATGAGTCTAAGAATGGGTTATAAAAAGGAGGACGTGGCCTCTGGAGCCTGAGGTTGAACTCTCTTCTCTTTGTCTATAGCCATTGCCCATCAACAGCCTCATCCCTTGAATCTATACTCTCATATTCACTCAACATCCATCTCAAAATGTCTGATTGGAAGCCTCCCGCTTTTGGAACCCCCGTCTGGATGGGTATTCCTGCCCATGACGTCGGCCGTGGTAGGTGTTGTACCTTGTACCCCTCTGCACCCAGTCTCACTTACAACCCTATAGCATCCGAGTTTTACGAGACGGTCTTCAAGTTCTCCTTCAAGGACGCAACTGAAAAGTACCCCAAGGAGCAGATCCGAATGTTTGACTTTAACCCCAGCCTGGGCCTGACAGGCGGCATCCAAAAGGCTCCCGACCATACTGGTCACTTTGCCCCAGGCAAGGGCGGTATCTGCGTGTACTGGTTCGTCGAGAATGTCGACACTATCGGTCCCATTATCGAGAAGGCCGGTGGTAAGATGCTAAGCGAGAAAGAGAAGGAAGGAGAGCATGGTTTGTTTCGTTTCTTTGAGGACACTGAGGGGACTGTTGGTACGGTTTACCAGATGGTTTAGAGTAGACTGTTGGAGTTGAGATGTGATATTTAATTCTCGAATTTTGAACTAGCTGAAACTGATGTCTTTGTTTTTCATTATATTGATCAAGCATCGTCTCTTGAGATAATAACGAGTATTCTGTTTGAGGTGTTGGCCATCCAAGTTGAGTTTGGCTTATAGCCGTCAAGTCGGTTTTGTCGGCTCACGCTCACTCACCCGCACTGTGACGCAGGGGGGTTCCAGACCGCTATAGCAACTATAAGTTGGGGCCATTATCCGCTAAAACATTATTAGCCTCGGATGGGCATGACCCTCATCTCGTTTCTCTTAATTGATTTGCGCAGTTCAATTAACTTACTGGCTGGCTCCTCGAACCCGCTTGTTTCAATCATACGTTTCCCAGCGCGTGTTTCCTTCCTGTCTAGATCGCGCGCTGCGCTGTCACACCTGTTTTGCTGTTCCGGTGCCCCCGGCATGGACCCGGAACCGGCACCCCGGTCTTCAACCTCCCGGCGTTCGGCACAGAGGAGTAGGAGTCCGGAGGAACCGCAAAGACCTGCAAGACGGAGGAGTCGCTCTGCTCAGCTTGAGGCTGCGCGTACTTCGACCGCTTGCCATGTCTGTCGCGACAAGAAGGTCAAGTGCTCCGGCACTTGGCCGTGTCGGTATTGCAGTAAACGACAGTTGACTTGTGTGTTTGCGACGTCTGAGAAGCGCAAGATGTTTTCCGTCTCGTATGCCCCCTCGTCTCATCCTCAAGTTGTATAATATCTAATGAGACTGTAGGCAGATCCAACAACTCCAGCAAAAGGTCGCTGACTACGAGCGTCAACAGCCAGCTACTGGTACATCAACCGCCCAGCAAGGTAGATTACACTTCAGTCACTGTTTACAGTCAAGATAACGGCTGTATAGGTTCTCCATCTCAAGATCAGGGTGCCTTGAATGGTGATCCTCCAACAACAAGGAATACGGGAAACTCACCTGTATCTGACAACCACCTCGGTACAAGGGCCGCTGAAACTCCCCGTTCAGAAACCTCTGCCTTCTCACTTCTTGGCCAGCGACCCCCTAATGAAGATTGTGTGCCGCCTTCGACAAGAGTGCCGACCAGTCGGGCACCCAGAGGTGAGTGCCACTCGCTCTGTATGGCCTTCTCAACTCATCCACTATAGCCATACTGCCGGAGCCTAGTCTATCCTCCAGCGAGATCTTTGGCACTGAGATCCGAACACTTCTCCTAGCCAGATCTACCGCTGGATCAGAAAAGAGCCCCGCGGCATCCATGGCTGTTGCATCTCCACACTTGGATCGTGAGCTAATCGCTAACGTCCGTGGATGGCCATCCGAGGAAGAGGCCAACCAGCTTCTGGAACTTGTCGTGTTAAACGTTGGCATATCTCAACATCTATTCGACATACGGTCCTTCTCGGATAGCCTATCACGTCTTTATCGGGATACTGGGAATGAGACACCCATCCGCGGGCTCTGGTTTGTTCAGGTTCTTTTTGTCTTGGCGATAGGGAAGCTCCTCCGTGCGGGGACTGTTGAGGATTCTGAAGTCCCAGGGGTTGCCTTTTTCAACGAAGCCATGAAACACATGCCGGCCATGAGTGATATGAAGAAACATAGTATCCTAGGCATCGAAGTTGTAGGGCTCGCTGCCCTCTTCCTCCAGGTTGCAGACCGAAAGGATGAAGCCTACCTCTATGTTTGTTATCCCTTTCTTCTCTTTCAGCGCATTTTGCTCACTATTCATTAGGCAAGCATGGCTCTAAGACTAGCAATCAGCCATGGAATGCACAAGTCAACGGGCAATGGGAACTTTTCCCGATCAGAAGCTGTTCACCGTAGTCGTCTCTGGTGGACACTATACATGCAAGAGAGGTTTGCTAGTTTGCTTCTTCATTAGCAACAAAACGCTGACTCGCTCTTTAGGAGATTGGCTGCAGCTGGAGGCTACCCAATGGCTATTGCAGATGAAGCCATATCCATTGGCCCACCAACTGACGTGGCTGGGTTTGCATCCGCTGCTGCCATCCGGGTCAACGTGAGAGCAGCTCAGATCACCGGCCGCATCACTTCAAGTAAGTTGTGGAATTCCGGATTCTAAAATTCCAGGTTTGGCTGACCTCCTGAAAGCAATCTATGTACAGAACACAAACTCGGAGACCTCCTTCATCAAAGACATCGAGGCCATTCTGCACTCCCTCCACGATGTCGAATCCACTATGCCAGCCGAGTACCGCATGAACTTTAGCCCTACAGGCTTAACAGTAGCTGGCATACTATTCTCTGATGCCGATCCTTCCTATGCAAGAACAAGCGCATCGCTTTATTTGAGTATATATCAGGTAGTTCGGCCGACGAAGCGTAAGAGACGTTTGATACTGACCACAACTTAGGCCGTGATCCATACAGTCCGGCCTATACTCCTTTACATGGCTCGCAACGTCCGTGATCGCGAGTCTGAACCTGCCCCGAACCTAAGCCCAACCCTGCGTCGACTCGGTGAAATATGTGTCGAGGCGGCCCGGAAGAGTTTGGCCATCTTGCAAGCTCTTCGCAACACTGAGTTGATTGGTATGTCTAAGAAGGCTTTAGACGAGAGGTCACTAATATCTGACTAATTATAGCAAAGAATGCTTTCCTCGACCTCGACATCCTCTTCTCCGTAGGCTTCGTCTTCGTCCTCGTCGAAGCCATCCAACCCGGCAGGAACCTCGGCATAAGCGGGATCGAGGGCTCCAGAAGCGTGCTCCAGTACCTCGTAACAGTGGGTAACCGAGCAGCAGCGAAGCGTCTGGGAGAGCTAGACCAGATGTGTCTCCATCTCCGGCCCCCGTCCCAAGACCAGCAGGCCTCGGGCCAGGATCTTCCATACGAGACTGCCAACGCGGCGGCGGGGTTGGCGGCGCATACGAGTGGTTCTAACCCTGATAGAAGTGGACTACAAGAGGGGGATCAGCCTATGGATCTGTCCAACAGTCCGATGCTGAATGCAATGTTTCCTGGGAATGGTGATCTGGCCAACATTTCCTTGCAGGGGGAGGATGGGCTTTATTGGGTTTATCATGAGCCTGGGTTTGTTTATACTGGTGCTGAGTTGGCGGATTGGGAGGCTTTGGAGTACTAGGTTATCGGGTGTCTATCAAGGGGCGTTTATGAATGGTATTTGAGAGCGATTTCTGTGTTTACTGGGCTGCCTTGATCTGCCCTTTGGGTATGCTGTGAGGTAAAATTATTTGAATCTGTGTTTCATTTCCAAAATAGCTACAGGCTCTTCATTTCAAACGCCTGAATGCGTATAGACTAAATAGAATGATTACTGTAGGTCGATAGGAGTATGGGTTCGTAGTGAGGAGAGATATGTATCAAAGAATGATCAATGGCATTCACCCAACATACTCTGGTATTTATAGCCACTAAACATATTCCACATATCTTTTACCAAGTCAACGTATTTTCCAGTGATATCCTAGCTGTTGTAGCGGAATCCCTTGTCCCCAACATCCGTAAGGTCCGAATCAACCGACACACCAATCTGAGTGTGACTTCCTTCACCCACCTGCGAAGCAGACAAATACTCAATCTGTCCCTCAGCAGCCTTTCCGTCTCGAACGTTGTTCTCTCTCTTGACTAGGGTCATGTAAACGACGAGGGTGACGATCAAGGCAACCCAGCTGGCGATGCTGAGGATGCATCCCTTGGTATATCGCGGCGCATCCTCTTCCTGCCAAGCCTGAGGGCTCACTATGCATCCCACACAGTACGTGATGAAGAATCCAGCACTAACAATACTCTTCTTTGTGTTTCCCTTGACGTTGCTAGCCACGAGACTAGCACACGCGCATAGAGGTGCAGAGGAGCACGAGGCAAGCCACGTCGAAGCAACGATACCCCAAGAGGCGCCGCCGTTGACGTTGACGGGGAGAGCGAGCAGGATTGTGGAACCAGCCAGGGGTATCAAGGTGAGGCCTATAGCTGTGTAGACTCGTGTACCAGGTAGGAGGAGCGGGATGATGGCTGACATCCAGACCGTGACGAAGTTGATGGCGCCGCCGGGAAGACCGACCAGCATAGTGCGGAACTTGGAGAAGCCAAAGCCGTTGATGACGAGCGAGGAGAACTAAGCCTAATTGTTAGAATCTGTCCCAAGAAGTATGGCGCAGTTTGGACACTTACCTTGAGAATAGGGGTAGTCAAGGTGACGCACAGAGCCATCATGAAATAGAGCCAGGTCAAAGGCGACGACAATGCCTCCCACATTTGCTCCTTGTCAAAGTGAGCCTTGTCTCTGGTAGCTCGATCGATGGCCAATCTCCTCGTAGCAATCTCCCTCTCTCTTTCGTTCAAGAACCACGCGGTTGTTGTGTCCCTAGGCATCAACGACACAAAGACAATACCACAAGCAACGGTCAAGCCTCCAAAGACAAGGAAGATGGCTCGCCAGCTCTCAATTGACATCTTGGCACCGCCTACAGCGTACATAAGGAGGGCACCAACGATCTGACTGATTCCGTTCATCGACATCCACGTCGCCACTCGGATCGGATGCTCGCTGCGACGATACCAGTTGGAAGTGATGATGACAAAGGCAGGCGATACAGCAGCCTCAGCGAAACCTAGAAAGAATCGCGCGGCGGCGAGACCGTGAAAGTTCTGAGTTGCTCCAATGGCCATTTCAACACCACCCCAAACCACAATGGTAGCGCCGACGAAGATGGTGATGTGGAAGCGACTGAGGATGTAGGCGGCGGGGTATTCGGAGGCGAGCTGGCCGAGGTAGAAGAGGGACACGACCCAGGAGAACTCTTCACCGGTGAGTTTAAGATCCGTCTTGAGGCCGAAGACGGCGGCGTAGTTGATGGAACCCTTGTCGAGGTCTACAAGAAGACGTGTCAGAGTTGCTTGAGATGGTGATGGAAAGGAGACTACTCACATTGGAAGAAGTAGACAAGAGCCATTAAGGGCATGATCACCCTATCCAGCTTTCGTACGAGCTTCCTCTCCTCTTCAGGATCGATATCTTCAAAGACGGCAACCTCATTGTTCTGGTTATCGAACTTTTCTGGCTGCTCGATAGCCTCAGAACGAGGCTTCTCAGCAGCAGCATCCTCAAACGCCGTCATTATTAAAAATGGCCTTTAAGAATGAGAATATGGTCGAGGTAGACCAGCGGGTTTGGGCGTAGGATCTTTCAAGATGGAGAAGAAGTGATAGAAGGCCAAGGGGAGGTCAAAGTCTAAAACCGAGGGAAGGTGCAGGTGCTCAGAACTCTAAGACAAGGAGGCCAAGCCGCATATTTATTCTTTCGAGTTAATTCAATTGACACAACATCCGATGTCAACGTTTTGCTCCAAAATTCTTCTCCTCACGACTGACCTAGCAACAATTTGGATCTCATACCCCGTGGGGGAACTGAAGATAAGCGCACGTCCGAAACCCCGTACTTCGGCAGAGACATCCGGCGAGGCAAGAGTTTCCACAAGTCGTACCATGATCATCTAGCCTCTCCAACACGCGGGGATAGAGATGGGGGAATCTGGGGCGAGTGAGGAGAACCCCTGGCGAGACACGACTCGTGAACCCACGGGGAACTGGGGGCGAGATTCTTCTAGTTCTCGGGAGGCTATGTGGCCCTCGGATGTGACAGCCGGAGGGGATAATTTAAGTTTGGATGTGATCAAGCGGTGGGAGAGTTGTGGTGGTTAGCCGACTGAGGGAGGTCGGCTATATGCTAAAACCCTAGCTCACTTCCACTCCTCCGTAGCATCATCCCGCAAGAGACTACCCTGAGAATGTATAATATCTCTCATTCTTCAGTCGAGTAAGCTCTCCTACGCAAGATGATTTCGAGGGGAAGAGAATAAGTTTCAAGATACGTTGATGACGCCATCGCCAGTCATGGCTTTGAGGGGAACATCGCACGACCCTCAACACTTCCAACACTACAGTGCCCCGAGAGTACAGTCTATTGTAGTCCGCCATGCTGATCTGCTTTCCTTTCACCTTCTTTTTGGCTATCAAGCTCGCTATTCACTTGTTCGAAGGCCAAGGCAATAGGGGCAGGTCTTTGAGTGGGTGGTATACAACTCCCAGAGACCCTTCACCAATCAACAGATGCAAATATCCAAGACCACACCCCATTGGCAAGATACTAACATGCCCAGGTGCCAGGCTAAACATCGACCCCTTAGTACAATAATGGGGTATGCCGTTCAACACATCACCACATAAGCTGAACATAAAGGGGCACCAAGACATGGTTGACTCGTTGGTTCTTATTCCATACGTTTTTCATACTCAATACAAGAGAGGGGATGCCACATTTGATCGAGGCGTCGTGTCGCCGCACGTTTTCCGTTTCCTGGACTCGTCCGGCCCAATTCCTTTCGGCGCCTTTTGCCTCGATGCCTCCCTCCACACCTCCTCTTACCACCTTGGATATACCCAAAAAAAAGACACTGTGCGCCGGGCTGAAGAAGCAATACTAATACAATACAGGGTACATGAATCTTTCGTCATGAATCGAGCGGGAAGGGTCTTTCCAATCCCGTTCCAAGGCCGTGTCACGCGTGTGAAGTCGTTCGTTGTTACAGTTGGATCGTCCTGTCAATCTCAGGCGATCTGTCGCTGGCGCTCTCTCCGTAATGTTTCGAGGACACTCATAACGCCATTGTTGCGTAGCCTCTCGAGCACAAGTCGCATGCCATCACGGCTCTTGCCCAGCTGGTCCTGGGTCTTTGTGGAAGCCAGACTCTCGATGCTGCGCTGAATTCCTTTAGCGCCCCAGCCACCCATGATGCCGTTCTTGAACCAGCCATCCTCTTGGGCCTGTCCCAGTTTGCCGCGGATCTTTTCTCCAAGTCTTGACCTGAACTGGACCATGGTTGTCACAGCGGTCTCGTTGGGGTTCATAGACACTCCTTCGGCAGGGACATTGAACTGCTGCTTTTCAATAACAGACAGCACACCGGTGAAGTTGAGGTTTCGACTCTCAGACTTCATCCAGCCCTCCTTGATATCGACCACACTAGTCTCCAGGATGTACGATGCCTTGTCAGCAGAGCCGCCTCCAGTAACACTGGTAGGCAGCAGCTTGTACACAGCTCCGGGCATTCGACTCTTCTTCAGGTGAATGCGAGTGGTGTGCAGTCGGTGCGTCTTGGGGTCGACATAACTCTCGATGGTGTCGGTGCTCAAGACGTGAGCGGCAAAGGGATTGAGCTGAGGAGACGAGTATCGGAGGAAGAAGGCGAGGGTGACAGTAGGGAATGGGTGAGAGTAGGTATGGTTTGTCGTGTGCGTGAGAACCATTGTGGCAGCTGGTGAGCAAGAGATGCTCTCAAGTCGGGAAAATTGTCCGAAGAGGCACTGCAGAAGAGGGGACGCCGGGAGTCCAATTGGTCGGGTGGCGGTAGGTCAGAGCTTTCAGTGTACAACACAGCTCTACCTCAATGTCGTAGAGCTCCCAATGCCCAATTCCAATCCCTATGAGCCGATTGCTCTGCTCCGATCTTGAGATTGGAGATCTCGTCGGGGAGGTTGGTGGTAATGGAAAATTGAGCCGGCGCCTCGGCTTAAGACCAGGCCGAAAGCGATCACCTATCTCCGGGGCCGCCGTGGAGACAACAAAAAAAAAGCCGGAGCTCGCAGCTATGTCGGGCCGCGAGAGTTTACAACATGAGGTAATTGAAAAAGAAAAAAGAAGTCGTTGACGGCACAAGATGGAGATAATAAGAGGAGAGGAAGGTGGGCTCTCGCGACCTCGACAAGCAGAGCGGCAGGGGAAAGAGGCAAGCAAGGGCAGCGTGTGCTCAAGGCTCTCTTACTCCGCTGTGGAAAAAAGAAAGAGGGAGGAAGGAGCGGAGTGGAGTGGAGGCGAAAAAAGAAGGAGCAATCAGCTGATTGAGATGCGGCACAACGGCCACAGCCAATCGAGAGCTGCTCGATCGGCCGAACTCTTGACTGACGAGCAGGGACTGCCGAGCTCGTGATTGGCCGCAAGTGAGGGGTCGGCTCATCCAGAGCAAAAGGTTGCCAATTCACACGTGATGCAGATACATCACGGCGTCATTACCTCCGACATTTCCGCCCTCAGATGACCATACCTAGGCGTCCGTGAAGTTGCAGTGCTGCGACACCACGCCAGAGCTTGACGCCTAATGCGCGCCACAGTATCCGAGCAATAGCACTTGAGCAATGTCCGAGTCAAGTAGGAACAATAGTAATTGCCAAGATATTACTGGTGTATCTAATAAACTCCAAGATTCTATGCATTTGCTCCAAGTACAGTACCATCCAAAAACACCTTAACTCCAGGCAAATGTGCACATGCGTATCCCCCATTAGATGTCATCTCGCTCTCCCTGATGCTCACGCCAGAAGTATCCATGCGTCAGGCCACGTCTAAATCAAGAACTCACTCCCGGCGTAGTGCTTGAGCACCACCCAGCCCTCCTCGAACCCCTTCTTCTCAAACCGCACAATGATGGCGGCATGGGTATGTCTGTGGTTCTGGATGTGCACGGGATACTTGCGCCACCCGAGATCGTCCAGATTCCGAATCATCTCGAACTGATACGGGGCCAACGCAAGCGTAGGCTGAGAAACTGTCGACATTCTGCGTTCTCTCCGGATCACAGTCCGCTGCTCAAGATCCAGGTGCTCATCTTCTTCCTCATCTTCTGTGCCAAGGTACTCTTGGTTCTGTGAGCTGTTGATAGCCTCGTATGTATTTTCCACTTCTTCGCGAATTTCCTTGATCCACATGGACATGCGGTAATCTTCGACGTTGAGACCGCCCTGTCCCATCTCGTGCAACTTGATCCTGCTGGAGCTGCGGATAGTCTGAATGACCGAGTTGATCAAGAAGGCAACCACGCCAACGGGAACAAGGACACCGATCGCTAGCATGAACGGAATGCGCTTAAACCACTTCACACTTGATGCATAAACTGTTGATAGCGATGCAGGAGTTTGAACTTTCGGAAATGGCGTAACCGGGTTGTTCGGATCAAGTAGCACGCCTTCGTAGCCCTTGAGGTAGTTGAGCTTGACCTTTTCCAGGTTCGTATATGGGTCTGTCTTGGCGATGCAAGTGGTGTAGTATACGGCGCTTCGATCGTTGATGGTGTTGGCGTAGAGCGTGCGGCGCTTAAACTTGCGCAGACCAGACATGAAGATGGAGTTGGGATCGGCCAGCACGGAGAGGAGGGGTCGGTCGGTATCGCGGAACTTGTCGATGGTGAAGAGCTGTCGACCTGACATGGAGAGCGTCCTTGCGCCGAGGACGTTCCAGACGTGATTGTGCCAGCCCTTGAGGGGAGATCGGACGCCGAGATGGGGAGATGCGAATGTAGTGAAGTTCTGTTGTCGCAATGTCAATATTTGCCAGTGATGCGCAAGTCTGTGAGTCTCACCATGCATTCAAGAGTATCGAGAATTCCCTTCGCATAGAGAAGACCGACAGCATATCGCGACACCAACCCTCCAAGAGAGTATCCCACTATGCTCAACTTGGTGATCTTGCCGCCCTCATCCTCAACCTTGCGCAACTCGCGCTCAATCTCTGCGCAGACGCGCTCACCCCCGCGCTCAATGCCATCGTAGGTGAAATTGCCGCTGTTCTGCTTCGCAAGCAAAAGATAAAGCTCATCATAAGAATACTGTTCGCGCAAGGTTTTGGCAATGCTGCGCATATGGCTTGGATTTCCCCAAAGCTGCACGCATCAAAAACGGTTGTCAGCCATCAGTGGATGACGTAGGTGATCTTCCAGGGGTTCAGGGGATTGCTTACACCGTGGACTAGGACGCAGAGATGATCAGCCTTTGGGCTTCCGCCGGTGAGATCGTCCATGGCTACTGATGTTGTCATGATGAGAGAAAAAAGAAATGATAAGAAGATAGAGAAAAAAGGGAATGTAGACGGCGGCACAGGGAAGAATAATAGTTGAGATATCTCAGGAGATTCCCCCCAACGATCGGGGTTTCGGGATGATTTGTCGTGCGTCTGCAGACACGGAGTTAAGGCACTTCAGGCCCCGCCAAACAATGACTGAGAGTCTGGATGCCAACCAACACGCGGCCTTGTGCTAGATACGGTAGTGAAATTACAGAATCAGCGATGATTACGTGGTATCCAGTTTCGTTACAGGCTGAGCCGAGAGCGAGTGCGGTTCAGCTGAATGCACTAGATGACGCCCAAGGGGTGGCTTATGTGGCTTTATTCCAAAGTCCGCTTTGAAGCTGCGGACTTATCCAAACTCCAACATGAATGATGGAAGCGGCTGCATTTCCAATTATTACTATCCACAGCGATGGCTATCGACCTGGATGTAGAACTTACGCAATGTATCTTGGATAGTCCATTGACTGGTCATATGTTGGTCCCTCTATCGCGCCTTTGTTGGGAGCTTGGCAGTCACAGGTCTTTCAAGAAGCCATGTAAATGTCAAAGAAGAATAACCTACAAGGTCTTTCAAGGAGTGAATGAACTATCACACGTCATCTCTTGACCTATTCCCCAACCCGACAATGGATCCTTGCTCTCACAATTCGATCAAGATAAAGAGCCCAGGTGCAAATGCCCGCTGAGCCTCCTCCGTAACCATGCGTGTTAGTGGAGTCTCTCCGCGTGCAGCAGGCGTGTTGCCGCTCTAGTCTCACAAGTGGGTCCCGTCCCGTCTCTTTCAAGGGAGCAACTCAGCCTTGGGTTGGAGCTTTCAACTTCAAAGCACGAGCTTCATCTTGCACTTGGACAACATCAACCAACATCAACACCTTTGACACGGAATTGAGAGGCGCGAACGCGGTGAAGTAGTGTTTAGCGCGTCTTACGAAATGCTCAGTTCAACGTTTGGCTTCTCTTTCCACCGATAGCACGGGTTCTTTCAACACCCGCCAAGTGGATCAAAGCTCCCCTTTGTGTCCTCAGCCAAGCTTGACAACTTGACCCTTATTTCAACGCTCAGAGAGAGCTTTCTTACACTTGCTATCTGCAACTCACAAGAACTAGCTGCATCATCTCTGATCCAACTCTTTTTCGCATGCACCGGCCCAGGAATCTTTCACCAATCGCCAACGTCGCGTCCTTAGTGCCGTCGTCATGAGCTTGTCTCTCAAGCACATCCCTTGTCCAGCTGGCAACAAGTGCACAGCCTTTCATTGCATCTTTGGCCATGAGAATGATCAGCCTGCCGCCCCAGCAGTGTCAGCTGCTGGAGCTGGGAACAATGGACCACAAATCAAGGAGACCACATCAGCCAACCAAGAGGTTCCACGAAAGCGCATGAGAGCAGACCCTGCGGACTCACCTAGGATATCTCAAAATTCCAGCCAAGCTTCTTCTGGAACATCCCGTGTAGGGTCAGCCGATGCGTTGGCCACCCAGCCCAAACCAACAGCCAACAAGGTCAGGAGCGCCGACCGTCCAGTGTCGCCTCCAACTTTGAAGCGAAAACTTCCAACATCGAACAAAGCCCAAGATGAGACTCCAAGGGCCTTGTCCAGATCATTGGCCCAGCCAGGCTCCAGGCCCATCAGTCAATCACGCCCATCGCCAGCGCAGAAGCCTGCGCTTGTCAAAGCCAAGAAGGCTGAATCACTGAACCCCAGGCTTCTTAAAAGCTCTCCAGCCGGCCATGATATCCGTCTGAGGCTTGTCCGGATGCTTCATCAAGAGTTCACCCGGCTAAACACAGAGCTCAAGAAAAAGAACAAAGACGGCAAAACTGACCTTGCCTTGTCCGATCAGGACCTTATCGTTCGAGCCCTGGACGAGGAGGAGCACCTCGCCGTCCACAAGGCAGCAGTCTACTCAAACGTCATGAAAAACAAGGTCATGCAGTACAAGCGCATGAATGTCGACCAGTGGAAGACAGAGCGGGAGGATGAGAGGAAGAAGGCCGCGCTCGAGGCTGAGGGCAAGGACGCTTCCGACGTGCCAAAAGAGATCAAGACAGGTCTAACACCAGCTCAAGAGGTTGAGCTCACCAAGCAGCTATTGACGTCGATCGAAAAGTTGGCAGAGCACGGATATGTCCCTGTTATTCCTACAGAGGAGGCCATCGAGAGGGCGAGGCAAGGTGTCGAGGCGGCCAAGGGGTGGGAGAAGTGCGACCGCTGCCAGCAGCGTTTCCAGGTTTTCCCAGGGAGACGCGAAGAAGACGGTGCCCTCACATCAGGCGGAACATGCACCTTTCACTGGGGCAAGACGTATATTGCACCCAAAACCCCGGGCGACAAGACCAGGCAGCCCAAGCGGTACCAGTGCTGTGGCCAGGAGGTGGGAGACTCTGTTGGCTGCTTTACTCGTGATCACCACGTCTTTAAGACGTCGGATCCCAAGAGGCTTGCATCTTTACTCAACTTTGCAGAGACGCCCGAGAACCCATTCGCACCGACGGATAGAGCTGTGGCTTTTGACTGCGAGATGGGATACACGGTCTACGGCATGGAGCTGATTCGACTGACAGCGACATCTTGGCCGACAGGAGAGGAACTATTGGATGTCCTGGTCCGACCTCTTGGAGAGATTCTCGACCTCAACTCGCGGTACTCTGGTGTCTGGCCAGAAGACCTCGCCCAGGCCGAACCGTGGTCCGCAGACGACACCTCCAAGCCCGCCAAGAGCAGCGACGAGAGCGTTAGCGAAGACGGCGAGATCAAACCTAAGAAGAAGAAGCTCAAAGTCGTCTCGTCCCCCGAAGTTGCTCGAGATCTCCTATTCTCGCTGATCTCACCCAAGACGCCCCTTATTGGGCACGGCTTAGAGAATGACCTCAACGCCGTCCGCATCGTGCACCCAACCATCATCGATACGGTGCTTCTTTACCCCCACAAGGCCGGCCTTCCCTACCGGTACGGGCTAAAGATGCTCATGGACGTCCACCTCAACCGCAAGATCCAGCAGGAGACAGGACCAAAGATGCTGGGTCACGACTCAGCCGAGGACGCCAGAGCAGCGGGTGATCTTGTACGCCTCAAAATCCGCAACCTATGGATGGACATGCAGAGGGATGGTTGGAAATTGGTCGATGGGGAGTTTGTGGCTCCTCCTGGAAAGGGTAATGGAGGGGACAAGGGATTGACAGAAGAGTTTATCGAGACTCAATCTAGCATAGTTCTTTGACGAGTTGGCTACATCACCGGTTGATGAGGTCCTGTAATAATATTGGGATATCGCGGCGTTCAGTTGAAGAATTTGGGCCAAGTTCACAGTGCATCTCAATTTCAGTTGGCTACGTGCCTTCATCCATGTTCACACCATAGACAATATGAAGAGTCTCAAACTTCACAGCCGATACACGTTGCGAGATAGGGTTGGTATTCCCGTCTTGTCTCGTTCTAAAAATACAGAGTCGGCGCTCATGAATAGCCATTCATTACCAACGATAAGCGGGGAGTTCCCAATCATTTCCTTTCCCTTTCTTTACATGATACATTCACTTCTCAAGCCTTGCCCACCGACAGAAGATACTGACCGCCCTGCTTTCCACCAGGCAGGTACGCCACGTTGGGGTTCGACGACAGAGTGGCGGCAATCTCTCGGCTGGCCTCAATCTTTCGGATCTGGATGAGGCCATCACCAGCCTTCTGAATGGCCTTGCTGATGGCGTCGGCAGACTCGGACTCTCCCTCGGCGCGGATGACGTTGGCCTGTCGCTCCTGCTCGGCCTTTTCAACGATGAAGCGTGCTCGCTCGGCGTCCTGCTGGGCAATCTGCTTCTGCTCGACGGCCTTTGTGAACTCGCGGCCGAAGGTCATGTGGGTGATGGACACGTCCTCCAGGGCAATGTTGAACTCGGCGGCGCGGCGGGTCAGGTCGGCGCGGATGCGCTCAGAGACGGCCTCTCGCTGGGTGATGAGCTCTGCGGCGTCGAACTGGGCGACGATGGACTTGAGGACCTCGTTTCCGATGGAGGGGAGGACTCGCTCATCATAGTCGATGCCGAGGTTCTTGGGGTGCGTCAGTAACCGTACAAGAGCAGAGATTCCTCTAGAGTCTTACCTGGTAGATCTTGGGGAGGGCCTTGACGCTTGGCCGGTGCAGCACTCGCAGGGTCAAGCTAACCATCTGCAAATCCTTGCTGCCCGTTGTGGTTGCGATATTCCTGGGCTTGGTCCGCACGTCAAAGATGATGCTCTTCTGCAGCCAGGGGACCAGGAAGTGAGTGCCCTCGTTGATAACAGTCTCCTTGACACCGCTCACTCGATCAAAGATGACTGCCCGCGTTCCACCCTTGACATCGTAGATGGCCTGGCTGCCAATGAAGAAGGCGGCCGAGGCCGGCACCGCCATGCGGTACATCCAGTTGAGGGCTCTCGCAGCGCCCGCCATTGTGAATCTTTCCCGTAGTTCGCTTGAATATAGATCGCCTCGAGAGTTGGCGGGGTCGAGCTCTTGGTGAAGCTTTTCGGATTCGACGGACGGCGATGATGATTTGAAGCTCTTAGCAAAAACCCGGCAACATCCGCCCTTCAGAAAGGTGGGTGGTTTGCGCTAAGCCTCTTCGGGAAAGCTCGGCTGACGGGGAGCCTGCCCGTTTTCTTTGAACCATCCAAGCCCGAGAAATCCTGCCCTTTTCCGTCCGACCACGCCTCATCCACTCCCTCAAACCTCCAACCCAGACTCTTTGAGACTGCAAAACCGTCGAAAAAATGAGACCGACTCAGATCCTCCGAAGCGGCGACGCTGACCCCGTCAACGGACAGTACGTGTATCCCGAGGGGGGCCAATTGGTGACGCTGTCCGGGTTGCGGCTTTTCCACCTGGAGAATGCCGGAGTACAGCAACACCAAACGCCCTCTCTACGTCCCAATCGCTCTGGAAATTTATGCTGACGGTTTTTTATAGCTACCTGGGCAACTGGGGCCACTTCGGTAAGTGCCTACTTTCACGAGATGCGAACGAATTCGAATTGGATCGATGGACGCGACGGACGAAGGGATTGGTGACGCAGGAATGGGATTGCGATTGAGCCGACATGTTGCCATTGTTCAATGCGTACATCAGATCAACATACTCGAGGACTGGCCTCGTCTATTCGGAGGCAGCAACATGGACGAACCAAGAGACTAACTCGACATCAGGTGGTGAGAAGCAGCGAGGTATCGTCACCTACGGTCTGTCCGCCAACCGACAGAACCCCTGGGCCGGCGCCACCCACGCCGCCATCTTCAACACCTTCCGCCGAACCAAGAGCCAGATCTTTTTCTGGCTCCCTCCCATGCTGGCCGGTTACTACATCATGGACTGGGCCGTCCACCGGTGCGTTCACCACCCGGAAGCATAAAGGACGACGAGACTAACAACCTTTGCAGAAGCGAGTACCTCAACTCCAAGGCTGGTCGCGCCGAGTACGCTGACGAGGAGGAGTAAAGTGTCTGATTGGAAAGGAAAACGAGAGCGGATGTGTTGGAGAGGGTCCTCTGGCCTCATTGTACATCAATACCTAGACTCGGTGGATGCAATAGACGATTGTCACACTATTTTATATGTCGCTATCAATATTTTCTGACTCAATTGATAAACTATCATGATTGTAAAGTCAAAAATCAGTTCGATGGCATATTCAAGAGTCTTGTCATTGCTGCACTCTAAGCATATCCACTGGTAATAGACATTGCCGAGCGCTTGATTGGACTGGCCCAAAACGACTGATTTTGGGTCACGTGATTCTATCCGGAACCGGCAGTACGAATCGCCGAAACTCAGCGCGCGGTAGCTCCCTCACCGAGAAAAAAGTTGGGCTTGCAGAAAAATTTCTAGGTCAGTCGAGGCTACAAGACACGGAACCGTTTCTGCGACCACCGTCCCCAATTGACACGCAAACTTTGCGCAAAGACTCGGACAACGATCGCGGATCTCCATCTCTTTTCTCTCTAAACAAAAGAAGCCTTCCCGGAGCTCCTCGAGACCTCACAATCCGCAGCCATGGCCGCCGAGAAGCCCGACAAGAAGGAGAAGAAGGACAAGAAGCGAAGCGACGAGTCCGGCGTGTCCAAGTCCAAGAAGGAGAAGAAGGACAAGAAGGACAAGAAGGAGAAGCTCGCCGCCGCCCTCGAGGAGAAGATCGGCCAGGAGTCCGCTCCTAAGGTCGCCGCTAAGGCTGCCGCCGACGACTCTGATGTCGAAGAGGACAAGGCCGGCGACCTGCCCCTTGAGCGCACTGTCGTTCCGTTCGCCTTGCCCGTGGCGGACGAGAAGGGCATGAAGAAGGTCTACAAGACCATCCGAAAAGGTACGCGAAAGAGTAAAGGGGTTATCTGTCGGTGATTGAATGCTAACACGACACCCACAGCGGCCAAGAACAACACGCTCAAGCGCGGTGTCAAGGAAGTCGTCAAGACGCTCCGAAAGTCTCCCCCCTCGGCTCCCGGCTACACGTCGTTCCCCGGCGTTGTCATCATCGCCGGCGACATCTCCCCCATGGACGTCATCTCCCACCTCCCCGTGCTGTGCGAGGATCACAACGTGCCCTTCATCTTTGTCACGTCGCGAGCCGAGCTCGGTGCCGCCGCCAAGACGAAGCGCCCCACGTCGGTGGTGATGATCATGGAGAAGGCCGACGGCAAGAAGAAGGAGAAGGCAGCCGACAAGGATGGTGAGGATGATGGTGAGGCGTTTGGCGAGAGCTACGCTTCGCTCGTCAAGTACGTGCAGAAGGAGTACGGCAAGCAGGCCTTTTGGGTCAAGGGTGGAACCAAGTATTGAGGTTGAAGGCTAGAAGAGGAGGGGATGGCAAAGCTTTAAACTCTGTGGAATGGTTGTTGTTTGAAACAAGTCTGGATGTATTATACCAGAGGATCCAGTCCAAGATGGCTGGATGAAGGGCTTTGGCGGCGTTCAGGTATTTACAGCTTTAAAAATGACATGATTTGATAGGTCCTTGAACAGACGGTCGCAATGGTGAAGCTCCAGACTATGATCTCACACCAAGAGGGAAGAGCATTGTTTACTTGTTGTATTACTGCCTCTTCGGGCGTTTCTGTAGGTACATGATGGATTCCTCTTCCTTATCTCACACTGGCCATCGGATAATCAAATTCATCCTTCGCCATCAACTCAATTTCATGATTTATTCCCTTCTTTTACTCAAAGGGGTTGGTTCGGGTTCCCCACCAGGTCAGGAAGACGGACAGACCCAGAGTCTCGATGAGCTTGGTGGCCAGGCTGACGCCGACTGTGTCAAGAGGTCGCTTCTCGACAAAGATCTGAGAGATGTACTACAAAAAGTCAGTTAAAGTTTCATGGTAGGCAGTTGAAGACATACACCAGGAGCAGAGGTGGCAAAGAAGATGAGAGATCCAAGGTAAGCAGCGCCCTTGTAGCTAAGAGTACCGGTAGCGTTGATCAGAGCACCGACACCATAACTCTGCAGGGCGGAGCCGATGAGCGAGGAGCCCCAGGCGAGGGCGGCGCCGGAAGCCTCCTTGGAGCGGATAAACTCCTCCTTGGTGTTGGAGAGCTTGGCGCGCTGGTAGGTCTGGCCAAAGATGGGGGCGAGGACGGCGAGCTCGATGCCGTGGTTAAAGGCGGTGCCGAGGGCGATGGCCGAGGGCTTGACGGGGGGAAGGTAGTGAAGAGACATTTTGTTTTCGTGAGAGTAGGTAGTACAAGTAAGTGTGAGATTTGTATATACTTGGTGTTGAGAAGGCTTCAATTGAGTCGAGTACAAAGATACAAGAAAAGAAGAGGGATCTCCCCTCACTATTTGTACTTTCCTCTCCCTCCCCGATCTCGATCCTCCTTCCCCCATTTCGCATCATGAGCCTGTGGCTTGCCCGTTTCCCCTTGTGTCGTCACCAGATGTGATGATGTCACCATTTGGTGAGACAAGAAGATGCACTTGAGTCTGGCCGTTTCCGTTCCTCTTTTTTGCTCCTTTTTGCGGGGTAAACTACAGAAATGGAGACGAATGGTGAAAATGCTCCGGATTTCTCCATAGTTCATTTCCCCTTGCCAACTTTTCCTGCTTCTCTTTCTTTCTCCTGGTACCTGACGTTGACGACTTTCAGATCGAGCAGTGGGGGAGAGGTTGGCGATGGATGGGCAACTCTTAGCGGGACCCAGCTTCTTGGGCGGGTGATGATGGTGTCACGGCGTCATTTTTGTCCACTTCAATTTTTTCCCAATTCATTCCCTCGGCTTAACTCTTCCAAGGTCCTTGCCGGAAACAATCCCATCGTTTGCCGAAAGAGGGTGCGGCAGCAGCCGGGGAGCTGTCAACCTTGTTGACCTCTCAGCTCTTGTCTTCCAAGTTCAAACATCCATGCCTTACTCAAAAGCTTGTTTTCCCGTGTCTGCTTTCATCTTGCCAGCTGAATAGAATTCCATGTTGGTCTTGTCCATATTCTGTCACTCGGCGATACTATTTGACAGTGTCTCACTTGAGGCCGCGTTCTCGGCCACATGGGAACAACACCGGACCCTGTCCTTGACGAGGGCGGCATATCCCATACACTCCATGTGTTTGTTGCAGTGACGGGTGATCGAGTTGGACATGACATTGTGGATGGACCCTGATTCTTTCATGCCATCTTGACTCGGTGCTAGGTGGCTTTTGGTGTCTTTGAATTGCATCACAAGACACACTCTCCAGCCTCACCCTTGACCCAAGAGTCAACCAACAGGAACTCTCGCCTTCAGACAAGGGCGTTTCAGTCATTTAACCTCCAAAAACGCTCATGTCTCACCCTGCACATCATCACCATCCGTCATTTTCACCCTCAAGACTCGGCATGATAAACAAGCCAGTGAGATTAACCTGGCTCAAACGCTAACTCGGTTCCCTCGAGAGCCGCTGGATAATTCCCTCGCTCTTGGGTACATACATACCTACCTACCTACCTAGACACCTTCATGCCGCAAATGGCAGCTCAAAAAACAAACTCCCATCCGTCTTTGTAAAGCTTTATCTGTACAGTACAACTGAGGGTGGCAGGGGCCTTGGCCTTGTCTAACACCAAGCCCTCTCCCCGCCACCTCTCAATCCCCCACGTGCTCTGTCGCATCGCAACGCGGCGCATCTCATCTCTCAACTCCGTCCTAAAACCTTGAATCGCAAACCCATCATTAGTGTACTCCCATCTTTGAATAACTTTCCATATTTCATGCCATGTGCTGTCCGTCTTCGCCACCTCGGAGCGCAAGCAGCGCTCTCACATCATGTACATATTGCAGTCCCTCCAGCAGAGGCACCAGATGCATCAGGTCTGTATCTGTCGGGTCGTTGATCCAGCCTTGGATCGGGATAGCATTGTCTAGTCCTTCAGTTAGCTCTCTGTTCTGTATAAGCCCCAGTTTGAGTCTCCTCACCTTGGTGGAACAGATAGCTCAACGGACTATTGTCCAAGATCATCACGTTGCTCAGGTCAGACTCAACCGAGCTCAGGTCCTTGATGAACGCTCCTTGCCTGAAGGTGCAGTGCTGGCGGTAGTACCTCGCTGAGAAGAATTTCCTCTCCGTCTCCAGCCAGTCGATCACTGGATCTGCGTACTCCTGAACCGACGCCGTAAACACTACCAGGTTGTACCACTTGCACACCCGGCGTAGGAACTCGTCGCAGTATGGTCGCTTGTTGACCCAGTATAGTATCGGGTGCTGCGGACCGATCGATGTCTGTCCACCAACCCCCACGTATGTCGTGTTCAGGCGAACCTCGACCATGTGTCCTGTGCTCATCCTGCCTCCTTTGGACATGCTGTGAATCAGTGTCTCGTCCAGGTCTAGAATCAGCGTCTTCTGCTGCTTCGCTGGCACTTCGATGTTGAGATATGAAGGCTGCCGCCGAGGAATGAGAGGTCGAGGAGGTGCCGGCGTCCTGGGGTACTTGGTGAGAGCTGCGATGGGAGAGGTAGGCGACTTGAGGTGCGACGAGAGGTCGCCGCTGCCCAAGTCGCTTGCCTTGGTGCGCGCGACGGCTGACTGCGTTTTCCTATGCTTCCGTTGCCTGAGCGCCTCGTCACTGTTGAGCTTGATTCGAATAGATTTCCGGGGGTTGCCCTCCTCTGCGGGTTGCAGTGATTTGGACCGCGCGTGCCGTCCAAGGCTGCCTGATCGTGATCCATCCGATTCCGATTCCGATGAGAGTCCTGATGATGTTGTTGAAGATCCTGATACTGGTCTGGGCCGCGGTGCTAGCCTTCTAAATCCTGTAGTCCGTCCATGCTCCTCCTTTTCAGAATGAATCTCGGTCTCATCCATATCTTTTTTATGTCGATGTCCTCTATGAAATCCAAATAACTTTCCGAATTGAGTCCAAGGCGCAAAATTACCATCCTCGTCGTAGAAGCAGGCGATGAGATATACACCTGGGGAGGCCAAGGTCGCAAGAACCCATCGGATAGATCCGATGATGCTGGAGGCCAGTCGTCGAGGAATTGAGTGCCACCAGGAGCTTCGCTTGCTGACTTCGCCGGAATCTCCCAATAGGGGCGTGGCCTCGCTGGCATAAGACTTTTCCGTGTTGAACCGCGATTCGTCAAATGTATCTTGGGTGAAGGGGTCGACGTCGTGCCCAGATGGTCTATCGTCGGATTGGGCGTGGGAAGGATCGTCTTCGGAGGCAATGCCGATGCCAATGGAGCTTATACTATTGGATCGCGTTTGGCTCGGGCTCGGGGGAGGCGACACGCGGGCCGTGATGATGTTCAAAGAGTTCATCCTCACGAGCTAAAACAGTCCATGGGGTAATGATGGGTCGTCCGAGAGGAGTCGAGAGAAGGGGGCGAGACAAGGCGAGGGATGGATGCGAGAAGTGAGTTGGAGAAATCGGCGGGTCGTCGGGGGGTAAGATGGATGCGCAGCGCAGACGAGTCAATGTCGAAAAAAGAAGAGCTCGTTCGCTCTCGGACGGCAAATGAAGAGAAAAACGAGTGTCAAGAAGGCATCGAATGCGAAAGGCGAAGGCGAAAAAGGGCGACGACGGCAAAAGCCCAAGGGGCGCAGGGCAGTTCCGCGATTGTGGTCAATTCTGCCAGGTGAATGCCATACACGGGAAGGGAGCAAAAGGAGGATAAAGAAGACAGACAAGCCGCAAGGACGTTGGCGATGGGAGGGCAGATACAGTCCAGTCCGGTACAGTGGCTGCTGGTAGCGCAAATGGTGACACTTGGTATCCGTACAGTGAGACACTGGCGCAGAGGCACTGATGAATGGAAAGTCTCAAGGTTACGCCCAGGCCCAGGTATGGTAATGGTAAGGAGCCAAGAGAGCAGTGACGGGACGGGGACCTTTAGCTTGTTGGATTTGTGGCGTTGAGCCGAAGAGAGCTCTGGAACCTTGTTGGTGGACTAGCAGCCAGAAAAAAAGCAGCGCTAACTGGCAGCAAGTACCGTCTGGCTTCGCGGAAATCGGAAATCGCAAAGTAAAGGGCCAGGACAGGCTATCAACGGGTAGGGCGGCGGGGGGTGGAAGGGGGAAGAGTTGACTTGACGTTGGGGGGACTAGAAGAATAAGGGAGGCCACTTCGGGGCCGGAGGAGAAGAGAACAAGATCGGATCGGATCAAGAGAAGAGGGGAAGAAGTCGGGGCAAAGGCCGCGCGCGCAAAGGAGAGAAGATGAGAGCGATCAAAGGAACGAGCAGCCCAAAATGCAAAGGGAGTGAGAGATCGAGCGCAGGTGGTTCGACGGATGATGGTTGAGGAATGGTTCACGTGTTGGGACTCAGGTGCCGAGATGCTGGGGGGCTGGGGGGGCCAGAGTTGTTAGTTGTTCTGGGGGGTGGTATTCCAGGCGACCTTAGCAAACGTTAGTGGACGATGCCCGCTGGAGCAAGGCTACGAGATTCTGAGGCCCCTGCTGCTTGGCGGGTCCTCCTTGGATGCCGCGGCTCAGCGTTCACGTCTCTCACCCAAGACCTTGATTCCCCCTGCTCAAAGCCCCCGTGATGGTAGATTTCTGGCCTCTTTTTCTCTTGTCTAGTGGGGCATCTAACTGCGAGCAAAGAGTTTCGACAGCAACCCGACGTAAGTGCAGCATCTAGTGGGGCGTCCCCAACTGCCATGGGTTTGCGAGCTTGGCCTGACCCTCTTTCACTCTGTCATTGGAAGACCTTGACGATGCAGAGACCGGTGAGGGCAGTTACTTCTTTGGGACGGAATAGCGCAGTGTGTGAGTTCCGCACAGCGTGGATCTATTCCTCCTTCGTTTTCGTATCAGCCCCCATCCCATCCCATCTAGACCGAAGCAAACAGCTTGCTTACCCGAGGATGCCGCTGTGCGAAAGAGGTTGTCTGATGAGATTCTGCAGGTTGCCGGGAGGTTTTACCGTATCGGTTCAATGGCACATGGGAACTTTGGTGTGTTTGGAGGGCCGGGTGAAGAAATCCTGCAGGTTATACAAGTGGATAACTGGCTATCGAAATTATTCAACAAGTGCCAAGCAAATAGCATCACAAGCTATTCTTCTCTGGCCAAGTCTTTATTTCTCTCATCGTTGACTTTTCACATGGCCTAGAGATCTGGTCGCAAGTCTCTCAGCCCTCGGTAGCAGGTAACCCGCTAATCTAGGGTTCATGGTGAACAGTTGAAATCTCAGATATTGGCGGGAGACATGGTGCTAAGCGAGGCATTAGCAATTGAAACCCTTTCACTGGGTGGTCTTATCGAGCATGTCCATTCTTGGCATACTCAGCATGAATGACTGCTGGTTCGTGTATCATGCTTCAGGTTGACAGTCAGTCCTGAGGTGGCCAACTCATCCAGAGCTAGCGACAATGACAAGTCATCAAAGCAGTTTCATATGAGCGGTGACACCCAATGATAGCAGTATACAAGATGCAATATCTCTCTAGAATGTGTCCTCTATCTCATATCTCCTCATGGTCCTGCCGATACTGTCTTCAACCCTGGTGACCTTCTTTACCCTAAGATGCTCATCCATGTCCCTGTCTCTTTGTCGTCATGGCTTTCCACCACCTTGGGCGGACCCCACCGGGTGACAAGGCTGAAGGCGCCCCACACTTTTTCTCAGAGGCCGACAGCCTTGCGCAAAAAAAGGTCCGTGGGGGGATTGATTGACTCACTCATCCTCTGAAGCTGCACATCACAGCTTTGCTCTGTTCAACAACGCCCAGTCTCGACTCGGAAGTAGCGCCGCATTCGACATCTAGTACTTCAGAATTCGACAAGTATCATCTAAGGCCTTGAAACGGTTAGCCAGTTCTTAAAGAGATTCACGACTTTCCTCGCCGTCGATACCCCTCCATCTTGTGTGCACCCCGCGAAACAGACATCCCACACCACATCCCCAGCTCGCGCTAGCTGCAACACACTCCAGACGTTCCTCGACATGGCCCCTCACCCAACGGGCTTTGCGCCTGATCTCGAGAAATATCTCAAGTCTCTCAAGGGCCAGCCATTGGAGGCTTCGGTCGAGAGCCTCGTCTCGTGAGCCATATCAGCATTCCATTGTGCCATTCGTTGCTAAACATTTGCGAACGACATCAGACTCCTCAAGCGACGCCAGATTAAGGGTTCCGAGCCCTGCGCCGTTGCAACCGCCCATATCCTTCTCCAGGTCGTCGCTCGCTCGAAATGGTTCAACGTTGACGGACTCATCGAGAATGTGTCGAGGATCGGCCGCCGCCTTGTCGACGCCCAGCCCAAGGAACTTGTCATTGCCAACATTGTGCGGCGAGTCCTAGGCCTTATCCGCGACGAAGCCGCCGAGGATAGAAACGAAGCAGCCTCCGAGACCCCCAGCGAGGCTCAGGCGACCCCGACCGACGCTGTCCCGAACCCAGACGCTCTGGCCCACCAGTGGCCTCCCTCGACATACGCGAAGCAAGATTCGGCTGGCGACTACATCACCAACAGCGCCAAGCCTCCACCTCCTCGACCTGGGCCCTTGTCCTCCTACAGCTCCGTCAACGTTCCCAAGACCCTTTTCCACCTTCTATCAGTTTCGTCGCCTAGCGATGCCGACCCTAATATTCAGGGATCACCCCTGGGTCTCTCTGGAGCGTCGACACCTTCATGGAAGGCCCCCACTGCTCAGGTTCACGCTTTGAGATCTGAGGTCATCGACGGTATTGAGGAGATTAAGGATGAGATCAGTCAAGTCGATGACCAGATTGCGGCTCTGGCCGAAGTTCAGATTCACCCCGGAGACTACGTCCTCGTGCACCAGCCTTCGCCAACTGTGGAACGCTTTATCCTGCGCGCGGCTCTTAAGCGTCGATTTACAGTCCTCATTGCCACTGAGCCTCCCCGGAAAGAGACATCTGAGGTCCAGCACGCTTCATTTAGAAAGAAGCTCACATCTGCCGGAATTTCCGTCATCAACATCATGAACGGAGGGCTCATGGCGTACATGTCACGGGTAGACAAGGTGATTCTTGGTGCAAGGGCTGTTGTTGCCAACGGTGGTGTTGTCGCCGATGCAGGCGCTGCAGCAGTGGCCCGAGCAGCCAAGGAGCAGGGCAACGCCGTGATTGTTCTCAGCGGCGTGTACAAGCTGAGCCCAGAGAACCCCTTCAACGAGGAGTCGCTGATTGAGTGGGGAGACTCGGCCAGCTTTGTCAACTTTGCGGATGGACCAATGGTGAGCGGCGTTGAGGTTCGGACAGCAGTGACTGAGCTGGTGCCTCCCGAGCTCATCGACACCTACATCACCAACCTGTAAGTTCCACATGAAGTGATTGTTTTCATGACAGGCGCTGACATCAAGACAGGGGCACGCATTCAAGAGACCACCTGTCGGTCCTCATCGCGGACCATTACAAGCAGGAGGATGTCGACTTTCACCTGTGGAGCGGGTGATGGGTGCAGTGCAGTTGAAAAAGAAGAATGTGTAAAAAGTTGATTGCGATCTATGTCTCGGCGTTTGAGCGAGGTTCATGATGTTGCGTGAATGGGTGAAATGGAACGAAGCGAGGTGATCGAGAGTGCCTCGAATGTGATGATTTGATACCTACACCAGCCAGGGTCTTTTCAACCCTGCCATATGTCAATTTGGGCACAAGATGGCGTGGAATGAAGCATGACGATTGTTGGGAGATGAAGCGTCGTCCCCAACTCCCCAGACGGTTTAGACAACCTTGACCACTAACAGATCAAATAAGTGAACCACGACATGCCACGAAAGACAATACGCAAAATAGAGGCCAACAAGCATGGCAAGGCATCCTCTAGGGCTGATTTACTCATCACCGCCCCTCGGCAAGCCGGCAGCTAGTTGGCGGCCTGGCTCTCGGCCGCGTCAGCAGCGAGCGGCGATTGGACCGGGGCCTGTAGTGAGGAGTCATAGGGCTGGACTCACTGGAGGGGGATGCGAATGCGACTTGCGTAACCCCTGCAACTGCCTCAGACCAACAGGCCAAACCAGTCAGGGATCTCGTGTATGCTCTCGGATATCCGAGCTGCGGTTAAAGAAAAAGGTGCGGCGCCATGTTCAAGGTTAAATCAAACAATGATGCCACCTCGCCCGAGGCAGCCATTTCAACGTCCACGGATATCGGGTAGCGTCTGACCCGACTTCTCTTCTTATATCATTGGCCTGCCCCTGCAACAGCAGAGAATCTCCCTCCTTCACACCACACCTCACTCAGCATCATGGCAGCTCCATCATCGACATCAAACATGGCCTCTAATCCTCAGGTCGCCGTCGATCACGACGACGACGCTCCACCACCACCTTACTCAGAGACCGACATTTACTCCACCACTTCTGGACCGCCCCGATCGCCACTCTCGGTGTCCGGCCCCGCTCATCCCGGCGATGACGCCGCATCCCGGATATCCTCCACCTCCACCACCGACCCTGTGATCTTTACCCCTCCGCTCACGCCAAACACCGCCAACCCCAGCACACCTACTCAGCAGCACATCCAGGTGCCTCCTTCGCCGAGCGCTGCCCTCTACTTTGAAGGCCGTGACATTCCCGTTTCTACTCCTCGCCCTGCACCCAGACTGTACACTGTTGCAGTCAAGCCCAGCTCAGTTCCTGAAGATTTACCCTACCCGCTGGATTGGGCTCCTCTCTACGACATTACGCACCAAGATTGGGCGACGTTTGTCAACTATCTCCTCCCTGACCATGCTTCCGTGACGAATGAGGCCATTCTCGGCGAAAAAGGCAAGGGAATTGACGAAGATTCCGACATCAAGTCGGAAAAGCAGACTGCTGATCCAAATGACGCTGTTCGCAAACGGGCAGAAGTTGAGGCAACCGTGCAGCAATGGAACGACGGCTTCTTTGCACCTAGGAATGTGAGAGTGCAACTTCAGGCTGAAGAGCAGCCTCACATGCCCGGAGGCTGGGATACAGCCTTCGACGGACCCTCAGCGGGAGCAGAAGCTGGCCCTTCTAGTCAACGAGAAGCCGGCCCATCAAACCAGGCTGGACCTAGACCAGCATGGGGAAACGGATGGATGGGATCTTGGGGCGGTTTCAAGGTCGGCAACGACAGTATCAGGTGGAAGGACAGCATCGTCGCTGACAGCAACGGCCTGCGCATCGGAAACTTAGTCATGGACGGCAACGGAATCCGCATGCACGGTCGAGACCCGGGACCGCCTTTTGGACATGGGGAACCGAGTCGTAGCTTCTGTCCGCCGGGACAGCGAGGAAGGACGCGGTCTCGTGGTGATGGGCCTCCTTTCGGACATGGCCATCCCTATTTTCATCCTGGTAGCTTCGACGCCCATGGAACTCCTCCCTACCCTGGCCAGCCTGAGCAGCACAAGTCACGCTCCCGGTCTTCCTCGTCCTCCTCATCCTCATCATCTTGCTCCTCCAACAGCTCCGGCTCCATCGGTTCTCTCCCAGACTATGACGACGTAAAGGACCAACAACTCCCCCTCTACCTCACACGTCTCGAGGAATGGGTAGCCCGCCCAGGGGAGATGCGCACCAAGGCAGACGTGAAACAGCTCAAAGCCGAACTCAAGGCGTCCAAGACCAACGCCGTGGACCCCAATCTCGACCGCAAGGCGCTCAAGGCCCAGGTCAAGGCTTTGTCGCAGCAATGGCGCACACTAAAGCGGCAGCAGAAGAAAGAGCGCAGGGAAAGGAGGAGAGATCTCAAGAAGAGAAGAAGAGCAGAGAAGCGGGAGAGGAGGCAGCAGAAGAGAGAGATGAAGAGGGCCCAAAAGGAACACCGAAGAGGTCACGCCGGTCCACCACCAGTCCCTCATATGCCCCCCATGCCCGCTGTCCCCGGAGTCAGCGTACCGCCGCCTTTTGGTGGCCCAGCTTGCTCACCCTGGGGTAGACCATCAAGAGGCGGTCGTGGATGTCACGGAGGCCCAGGCCGGGGTGGCTTCTTTGGAGGTCCAGGTCCTTGGGGCAGGGGTCAAAGAGGATGGGGTCACGATGGTCCCCTCGGCGGCAACGGACCACTTGGTCCCAACGGTCCCCTTGGCCCCAACGGTCCCCTAGGTCCTAATGGTCCTCTGGGTCCTCACGGTCCTCTAGGTGCAAATGGACCCCTAGGTCCTAACGGACCACTAGGCCCCGGTGGGATCTTTGGTGGTCACCGGTCAGTTGACTCCCGAGGTGGTCCGTTTCCCGGGGCCTGGCCAGAAGAGTCCAGTCAAGATGGCGACATCCCACCGCCAGGCATCGCCTCCGCGGCAAAATACAAGACAGCCGCGGGGCTCGAGACGGAGATAGAGGCTAAACTAAAGGACCTCGAGAGCAGGGACGTTACCGAGGGTGAGCGTCGGGCGCTGCAGAAGGAGATTGAGGCGCTGACGGAAAAGTTGGACAATGTTAGACTCGAGGCTGATGAGGCGTATGCCCGAGAGCTGGCTCAGAATATTGAGTCTTGATGTGGATGGGAGGTTATATCAGAGCCAGACTGGATTTTCTTTTTTAAATCGTCTATGCCGTGTAGGATAGTTACCAACTTACGATATAATGTATACAACGCCCATGAGCGTAAATGATACCATGAAAATCATATCATCAAATCTTCTTTTCCCCGTTCGTCATTGTGCTTCACCTAGATCACACACAACTTTTGTCTATCCCTCTATATGTACAATACACCCCCCCTCTTTAATGCTTCGACTCGTCCTTTTCCACCAACGCACCAACGCCAAGTCCCCTCCCCACAGCAACCTTGATCTTCTTCTTCTTCTTGTCTGCCTCGGGGTCTCGGCCGACCTCGCCCACGGCATCACCCTCGTCGTCGTGCTCGTCAGCCTCGTCCTCGATGGCCTTGTCGACCTGGGCCTTGATTTCGTCGAGGTCGAGGCGCATGCAAAAGGCATCCTCGCCGTCTGCGTAGTACTTGGACTCTGTCTTTTCGTTCTTGAAGCCAAGGGTGTCCTCGTAGAGGTGGCGGGCTGCGGCGTTGGACACGCGGACGTGGAGGGAGACGTACTTGGCCTGGAATGTCTCGACCATAGCGAGCTCTAGATGCAGTCAGCGGTTTGTAAATATCTGTTTAGAGGGAGGGATATGTACGGCTCTGTCGCATCAGCTTCTCCGCAATACCCAACCGTCGGTGTGTCCGCATGACGCTCAGGCTGGTGATGTGGCCGTGCTGGACGCCGTCGGTGGGCTCCTCCTCCATCTTTGCGAGGACATATCCGACGATCTTGGGGTACTCGTAGGGGTTCTTCTTGGGGCGCGAGACGTCGACGGCGACGTAGCTGAGCTGGGGCCACGAGAGGGCGTGGTAGAGGTAGTACTTGAGGAAGTAGTTCTCGGGGAGGTTCTCGAGGTTGGCGTGCTGGATGAGGGGGAGGTCCGCACTGGTGAGGACGCGGATATCCATGGCTGCGGCTGTAGAGGAGGAGAGTCTAGGCGTATCTGTCGGTGTACAAGGGTTCGTCTGCTCAATGATGAATGAGGCTCAACGGAGCTTGGCCCACCTCATGGATTCAATGATTGATTAACCGGCCTCTGTCTCTCAATTGCCCGCGGGTCCAATTTTTGCGGTGCCCCTCCCTCTATCGGAGGTCGGCATTCAACCCCGCCGAAGTATAGGCGACACCCCGCCATAACAACAACCGACACGCACTACACCACAGCGGGTCGCCCACTACCTCATCTCCACTGAAACCTCCCAGCTTCACTGGAGCGCGTTTACAACTGCAAGTGACCACCTGACCCCGAAAGAGGAAATTACCTCTCCCGGACGCAGCCGCACCTCTGATACCTAGCCAGCCACGGGATGACAATTCCGGGTCCGGGAGAGGATATCTCGTGCTAGATCGTCATTGGCGCGCAAGGAGAAATGTGGCAGGTGGGGGGGGTTTGTTTTGCCGGTGACTTTTTTACGCTTCGCTTTTTCATGGCCGCGGGGTCCTTTCTTTCGCTCAAGAGTGAGGCGGCGGGGCGTCATGAGGAGGATGGCATGGCATGGGAGGAGGTATAAAGATGGAGCATGCGCCTGGTAGTTTGTCTGTCTGTTGAATAGACGGTTTCTGGTGTTACTTGGTTGTACTTAATTCCTCTCGTGCGTGTCTAATCTTCAACACCATCTCACACATCGTCACAATGGCTCTCCCTCTTGTTGGCAAGCTCGCCGTCGTCACTGGCGCCTCCCGAGGTACTTGCACACCCAATTGACAACTCACCATGCTTAACTAACGACTGACCACTTCTAGGCATCGGTCTGGCCATCTCCAAGGCCCTCGCCGCCCGCGGCGCAAACCTCGTCCTCGCCTACACCTCTGCCAACTCTGCCGCTTCCACAGCCAGCCTCGCCGCCGAGCTGTCCTCCAAGCACTCCATCAAGGCCGTGCCCATCCAGGCCGACCTCGGCACCACCACCGGCCCTGCGAGCCTCGTCTCGCAGGCCGCCGAGGCCTTCAGCCCTCTCCGCATCGACATCCTCGTCAACAACGCCGGAGTCGCCCTCAACGACAAGATTCCCGACATTAAGCCCCAGGACTTCACCACCAGTTTCAACGTCAACGTCATGGGTCCTCTGCTGCTCGTCCAGGCTGCTCAGCCTTACCTCCCCAACGACCGTTCCGGCCGCATTATCAACCTCAGCAGCGTGAGCTCCAGCTTGGGTTTCGTCGGACAGAGCGTCTACGGTGGTACCAAGGCTGCTCTCGAGGCCATGACGAAAACCTGGGCCCGTGAGCTGAGCGAGAACTGCACCGTCAACGCCATCAACCCCGGCCCCGTCCGGTCCGAGATGTACTCGCGCAACTCGGACGAGTTCAAGCAGCTCATCAAGCCCTTCATCCAGAACGCACCCCTCATGGCTGTGCGTCCTGGTGTCGACGACCCCGCCATCGTCGAGGAAGCTAAGACGACCGGTGGCCGTGCTGGTGAGGCTGAGGAGATTGCTGGAGTCGTTTCCATGCTTACTGGTCCCGAGAGTTCGTGGATCACTGGCCAGGTCATCTGTGCCAACGGCGGCATGATCTTTGGTATGCAATAGACGGATGGATTCATGAGCATAGAGCGCAGGGCGTTGGATCACGGATGGTTTCAATAGAGGGTAGCTTTTGCATCAAAACATTCAAATTGACAAACATTGAACATGACAAACCTAAGATCGAGAGTCTTCATCTTGCTGTTATCTTGTGTGTATTCTCATTGTGAGGTGGTGAATGACGATTGTTAGTAAATGCCCCGCCATTAGCCAGGCGGTGGCGCAAATTCTGCCATCCTCACTCAACTCAACTCAACTCACTCACTTCACTTACAAATCCACAACCCCAAGAGTCATCAGCTCAGCATTAATCACCATGGAGACAAGAAACGACACATCCGATCCCTTCGAGGATGTCCTCAACCTCGAAGAGCGCTTCTACTCAGAAGGCTACCAACTAGGCATCAAAGACGGCATCAAAGCGGGCCGCATCGAAGGCCGGTCCTTTGGCATGGAAAAGGGTTTCGAAAAGTTCCTTGAGAGCGGCCGCTTGGCAGGAAAGGCTGTTGTCTGGGCAAACCGCATGCCTCCAAAGGATGAATCCAGCTCGGCCTGCACGTTACCACCACTGCCGAGGAATGCAAGGCTGGAGAAGAACGTCAACACCCTATATGCTCTTGTCGAGCCAGACACACTCTCAACTGAAAACTCGGATGATGCGGTTCAAGACTTTGACGACCGTATCAAGAGAGCGCAGGGAAAGGCCAAGATTGTTGAACGAATGGCCGGTGGTGGTGGAAAGGAGTCGTCCGGGCCATCTTCAACACCATAGACATGATCGACCAATAAACAGGAACCGGAGTTTGGACTGGCGGGAATCTGAGAGCCTGGATACACTAAAAGCCGGGAGTTTAGGATGATTGAGCATGAAAAAAGGAAATCATCTGCATTGTCAATGGAAATTTCTATACCCTTCACTGCCTCGTAATTGTGTACACAGCATCCTCCTTCGCTTCTAATTTACTTGAATGACCTGCAAGGGTATCTGCACACAGTTAGCTCATTCATCCATCAATTTCCCAATTTCATGGCCTACCCCTCGCCATACGAAGTGTCCGTCACCTCGTACTTGTGGACATCCCAAGCTCCAGAAGAAAGGCTCTGGCCGCTGGGCAGCGGTGGCAGACCGTTCACAAACACATCCTTGGTGGCCTCGCCGGGCGCCACCTTTCCAAGGGCCTGAGCAAGACCGGTCTGGGACTCCTCCTTGACAGCAACGAGCTGCTTCTCGCCCGCCTCGCCGATGAGCTCGACCTTGGGGGTAGCAGCGCTGCCGACGGTGAGGAGCTGGGCGAACTGGGACTGGTTGACGACGCTGAGTTGGGGGTAGTTGCGTCGGGAGTCTCGCTTCCAGTACGGGTTGTCGGCGATGTCGCCCGCGGGCAGCGCCACGGGGTCGTCGTACTCGAGAGGAGGGTTGGCGCCGGGGGGAGGGTTACGGTTGTGGGGGTTGAGAGGGACACCGTTGGATCGCTCGGGGTCGATGGCGAAGAATCGTCGAAGAACCTCCCACACGCCCGTCGACTGGACGGTGTGCTTCTGTAGCTGTGTATTAGCACCGTTTCCATGATCCGAGAGGCAATTCGATCCGGCCAAGTTTGGCTAGCTCCCGGGGAACCATTGCGAGGCATTGGGTTTCGGAAATCGGGTCTTGTGCGTACCTTGGCGATGCTGACCAGGCCACCGGCAGCTTTAGCGGCCGCTTGAGACGACATGATGGCGGAGAGGCTGGTGAAGCGTTGTCGTTGAGGTTCGGGTGATGGTTCAATTCCCAAGTTGAAATGGCGTCGTGATTATTGGCCCGTTGCTGGCGGGTCCGGTTCAGCCGAGACTCTGCCGAATCCGAGCAAAGTTGCCTACCCTGTATCGAGTTGTTGGCATGAAGGGGCAATCAGGACTGTCAAAGGATAATTAACCCAAGTGTGTATTCTTGGGGTATTGTGTTATTTTTTTATGGTTTGTTTGAGTGGTGGTTCCATGCTTGTTAGAGCTGAAGTGTCGCATCTCGAAAAGTGAAAATGCCTTCCACTTGGCTATGCCTAGTCTAGTCCACCATAAGGTGTGCTTCAAATTCGGACTACATGGATGACCCAGGAACAAGCAAGAGAAGAAAATGACGGATGCCTCTAGGTTGCTTAAATGAAGAAATCAACACCGAATTGTTATAATCAAATATGGACAATGACTTGCCTACGTGATGATTCAACTGGAGAGTCACATCAATCATAGAGAATATATCTACGGCTTCCCTTGGTATAAGTATGTCCACCGAACACATAAGCGCATGCTATGATATCTGATGGCATCATAGCACCTGCAGCCATGTTATCATTGCCCAAGGACATAGAGTTTATGGACCAAGCATCATCACAAAACATCACAGTTATGACCCAAATGCCAGTCAAGACGTATCCAGCGCAGTCTATATACCATTGCGGTCTATTGATCCTTCATGACACTGCCAACAAAGATATCCGTCCAAAAAAAAAAAAAAAAACCCCAGAACAATCCCTTCCTGTTGCTCCTTGCTACCAAGTCCAGCCAGCCCTACACAATGTATCATCAAGCTCAACCTAAGCAGCCAGCTCCTCGACGAGCTTCTTCACCCTGTCGACGGTGCCCTGGGGGCTTCCGGGCTCGGCAACGAGCACCTTGCCCTCCTTGTCGATGACAAAGACGCCGCGCTGGGTGCCCTTGGGGGACTTCTTGAGGCCGATGGCGCCGATGAGCGTCGCCTTGGGGTCGCACAGTAGAGGGTAGGGGAGCTTCTGCTTGTCCTTGAAGGTCGTGTTGGCCTTGGGAGAGTCGGTGCTGAGACCGTAGATGGCAAGGCCGCCTGCTGTGAGGGGCTCATATGAGTCGCGGAAGAAGCAGACCTGCTTTGTGCCTACGATGGAGGGTTAGCAAATTGCGCGAAGATAGTCAGATACGTGGGCGGCGTCAACTTACATCCTGGAGTAGAAGCCTTGGGGTAGGTGAAGAGGACGACACCAGCCTTGCTCTCATCGACAAGCGCCTTCAGAGTCGTCTTCTCGCCGTCGTTGGTCTCAATCTCGCCGCCGAAGCCATCAAGGTCAACAACATCGCCAACCTCAGCCTTGTCGCTCTTCTTCTTGATCTCCTTAGGTTCCTCAACCTTCTCCTCAGTCTTCTCTTCTTCCTTTTCTTCCTCAACCTTTTCCTCTTCCTTCTTCTCTTCCTCCTCCTTGGCAGGCTCCTCCTCAACCTTGGCCTTGGCAGGTCTGCCTCGCTTGCCGGGGACCTTTGCGGGAGCGGCCTTGGCTTTGGCAGCAGCGGCGGCCTTGGCGGTCTTTGCAGCCGGAGTCCTCTTCTTCGCGGGCGCGGGTGGCGGCGCAGGAGGCTCGCGGGCCTTGCGCTTGCGGAGCTCAACAGGCATGATGGCTGCAGAAGTTTGTTTTTGCGCGTATGCGATGCGGCAGCGAATGCGACAAGAGGAACTGAGCAGATGCTGAAGTTCGCCTAGATAAGGTAATGTATCTGCTGGCGAAAAATCGCCGCGTAGTTTCTGATGCGCGTAGAGATGAGAGGAAAAGATGCAGAAGGCAAAAGGGGTCAAAACAAGAAGAGGTTGGGCGCCTTGGGGGGGGGAAAGGGTCTGGCCTGGGTCGCGCGCTGCCCGTCGCAGTCGCATTTGGGCATGCGAACAGCGCCTTCCTCCCCCATGTCTCGGCCAACAACCAATCAGGGTTGTCCATGGCAACTCAAGCTCCCGGGAGCTTGGACCAAACGCTGTTCGGCAGCGGAAAGGTGCACGGACCAACAACGTTCCTTGGTCGCTTAGATAATGGGCGATTGCGCGATTGTGTGGGGAGAACCGATAGACGGATTAATCAGCGGGCTTGAGGTGTCGCGTGCATCAATTGAAGGTATGCAGGTATGCCGCATAAGCTGAACAACCCGGTCGAAAGGCTTGGCGAGAATCACCGGTTTAGGCGAGATGTTGACTGGCAACTTACAACTCCCGAGGTCTGTAATCAAGATGATAAACCCTCGAGTAAGTTCATTGATATTCTTGTGTTTTTTGTCGAAACATCTATTTAGTCTTATTTGTGCTAACATATTTCCGTCTTTAGAAGTTAATGGCCCCGGCCGCCGCCTTTACCATGGCTTGCGTACTGTTCGTGTGAGTGAGAAAAGTGGCGTGTTCAGGAGTGAAGTTATTCCAACATCTCATTTCTTGCAACTCGCAATTGGCCTCGATTCTGGTCATAAGATATGGATGTTTCAGTGTCGTTGAATCAAGCCCCTTCCTTTTTATGGGTTGTAAACTTGTCCACAAAACTCATACTGACCTTCACTGAATAGATACACCCGTTCCTCCATCCACTCTGCTAGAGAACAAGCAGTACGTCTTCTCCCTGACTATTATGTGCCCTGTTACTGACCTCCTGTCTAAAGAGACATACGAGACTTCCGGCAAATGGTGAACATCAATCAAGAGGTGAACGCTCATCATAATGGTCAACTCGGCATGAAGACAAGTACAACATAGAGAAATCGGCGCATGGAAAGCGATTGAAGCAGTGTTTTTTTTCGTCATTCAAGATATCAAAACATCAGTACTAAAAAAACGCTATTGGTCATGTTTAACATTTCCGCGTCTACTGTCAGGCTGCACTTGTAACCAAGCAAACTCCTCTTACATGCTCTCGCCATGCATCCTCGACGTCAACAGGTCCGCCCGTGCAGCTCAATGAGACAATAACCTCTCGAAACAAGACGGAAAGGGTTTGTGCAACCATGTGCGCGTGCGCGTGTATCTCTCTGTGTATGCGAGCGCCAACCATCCCATCCATAGGAACCAAGCCGCCACCAAAACGTCCACTTGTGAACCAGAATATGTCTATACCGTACCGACAGCCCACCAAGGGTATCTCAGCCTTGCCCCATTCCTCTCATACAGACCTATCTCAACGGCCCTTCTTAAATATTTCCGCCTCCTGTAAAAACTTGCTGTTTCTTCCATAAGCCAGATCTCAAGCCGCCATCTATGGCTCTGTCCTTGAATCTAGCAAAAGATGCCGTGCCTCGGCTCTCGTCTTGAGAAGTTCACTCATGACAGTTTCATATGTCAACAAGGTAACCGTTGCTGCTGGTACGGCACGCATCATGTTGGTCCCCAATCCTGCGTAAAAGGCCCGCCAGCCTTCTTCCCGCAAGATAGTCTGGAACGTGTGGATAACACCTTGATACTTAGGCGGTTGAGCCTGAGCACGTTGCACCCTGGGGCTCGTAGTTGTCACCCCCATGCCCTGCACGAACTCCTCACCGGCGAGTGGACGTCGTTGCGTTTGTAATCGGGTTCGGATGACTTCGTGGGGATATGTCGCACTGCTGGCGACGATCTTGGATAAGATCGAGGCTGACAATATTCCGACAACGTTTGCATTTTCGCCTTCGGCTGACTCGCCCATGCTATGTCCAGTGAACTTGGTCTTGAGGTATTCATATGTCGGGAACTGAACAGCGACATGTGACAAGCCGAGGAGAGCCGGTGTCAGACCCGAGTAGAAGGAAATGATACCCTCCGACGTATACATCTTGCGGGCGGCATCTATTGTTGACCGATAATGCCAGTCGTGCAGAGTCGGTCGAGATGTTGGCGTACTGCCTGCTTTCGGATAGAGGGAAGTGTGATCATGACTGTGACGGACACTGCTCTGTGACATGAGCCGAGTCTTGATGACCCATATGGGGTTTGTGACGATGGTGCTGCTGGCCCCAGCCGTTATCGACGACCATAGATTGATAAGATGGCTGTTGTCTGTTGAACAAAAGTCAAGTTAGCATGTGAATCAACCTCACGCCGTGTTTGCGTCGACCTACCATAGTGTTGGGATAACCACCCCTTGCTCTTGTTGTAGACGGTAAAGTACACAGCCCATGTAGGCAGATATCCCATGACAATCGGCCCAAGACCACGGTAGAGACCTCGAATTCCCTCTTCCCGCCAGATGACCTTTGCCGAACCGATCAACCCGTTGTACAGCTTCGGATGGCCAACATGTCGTCCTCTGTTAAGTGCGGCATATCCTCCCTGGGCCTGCAGCTTGGTCTTGATGACGTCGAGGGGGCAAGTGACGATGCCCGAAGTGAATCCTCCCACCGCACCCGAGATGGCGTTGAATTGCGAGTCGGAGGCATTGAGAGCCCATCGGTGCAGCGGGGTCACCCTCGTGGAGGAGTGCATTGGAGCGTCGGAGGCGGCCGGGAGACTGTAGGAGGATGCAGCATACTCTGATGACGGCGACCGAGAGGCTTGCGATGTTGCCTGGTCGTGAGAAGACATCCCACTCGTCTCTGGATGTCGCCCGCCGTCTTTTGCCGCTCGATCGTCGCGCGATGATCTCACCCGGTGGACGTGACTGAGGATTGGAGGTCGGATCTCTCGGTGGTTGACAGTCGTCGTTTAGCCAATGCCGTCGATGGCCGTGATCGTCCTCACTCGACTCCAAGTTTCGTCGACCTCTTTTTTTCTTCCTTCACCTGGACCGGGAGCGGCGCCCGTCGTGGGCGACGAAAGCGATGCCGTTCGGGGCCGGGAACCGAGCGCTTCCCAACCAAGATGACCCTCTCACCCTCGTGATTCCCCGATCCGATTCCGCCCTCGAAAAACGAACCCGTCCGGTGCGTCTGTGTGTTGTCCTCGTGCCGGTATAGGAGCCTCGCAGCGCAGCGCAGCCGGTACCAAGGTACTGCGGGGGAGTGCTCCCACGCGCCGTGACCGACCGTTTCCCGCTCAGCGATTGGCGCCGGCCATTGACCTGGGGGGAGATGGCTTAAAAAAGAAGCAGGCGACGGGAGACGGCGGTGGCCTGGAGACCGGGCGGGAATGGGAGGGATGCGGACGCTTTGGGGAGAGATGAGGGCGGAAGAGGAAGAGGAAGAAAAGAGGCCAAAAAGAAGAAAGGGAGCGAAGAATAGAAAGAGGCAAGAAAGAAGAAGAAAGAGAAGGACCAAGTTTGACGGAGCGGAGGAGGATGGGGAACCTAATCGGCGGCGGAGGACACCCGCTACACGCGCTATATCGGTCGCTGCAGCCCAGGGCCCAGCAGCGGCTTTGCATCGGCCAAGGATGGGGCGCTGGCTTCGCGCTCACAGTCCGGCAGCCGGATACAATGGTAATGTTGCTAACAAGAGTGAGAGCGTGACCCACTGGAGAGTGACATTGGATCCATCCATCCATTGCAGAATTTCCCCTTCCATCACTGGGGTTGCTGCCCGGCATGAGCCGGCCTACACTGATGTCCCACATGGGTCTGGATGCTGGACCTCCACTGTCACAGGGCACCTGCAAGCGCACCTAGATTGACAACGGAGGTTGATGTCTTGGCTTTCATTTTATTGTAGATTTGACTCTTTGTATCTCGCTATTACTGAGCTCGCCAACTACATATGCTCCATGATCCATTCATCCTCGGCCAGCGCCTTCGCTGAAGAACGCTTCGAAGGATCCCACTGAAGCATCTTTTGCATCATGGCAAGGAATCTCCTTTGACTTGACCCTTCCAGGTTGGTCTCTCTTTTTTCGAACGAAGTCCTATCCAGGAGTGGAATATCTGCACGGAGATCTCCTATAAAAGAAGCATTGCCTTGTCAGCAAATATGGTAATAAAACTCCAGCTGGGCACACAGAGCTTACCATGATCTGTAAAAAATTTATGGCTTGACTTGCCTGACTGAAGGAGCGCCCGTGGAGGCTGTCCAAGTAATGCAATAATCTCAGCAAGGTGTGCTCGACTGCGGTACGTCTGATGTTCAGGATCGCGTCCTGAAAATAGGTGACCACCTTCAAAGAGATCCCATATCTAAGTCGGGACAGACACGAATTAACTCTTCAAATCCTACAGCCACATAGCTATCTCGAGTACTTACCAGACAGCCCGTATTCCATATGTCGACCTGATACGACCACGGTGCTTCCAGGATAACCTCAGGCGCTCTGTATATATCGGGTTGTATATCTTCTGTATGCTCTATATCTCCGGTAACGGCTGAGCCAAAATCACAAAGAACCGGAGCGCCCCATGTCTTTGGCATCCGGAGCTTGCGCGACAGATGGATGGCTCTTTCGTCCACTAGCTTTCGCGGAGACGGGTCGACAAGTTCTTGCTCCTCGAAATCGTTAAAAACTGAGTGGTTCTCGACGCTGAACATAATATTATCGGCCTTGATGTCTACTCTCTAGTAGTTTAGCACCGTTCGTTACTTGTGAAGAATAGAGCTAAATGTAGCCTTGCTTGGTTCAGCTCTATAATACGCACCTGTATGGATAACCTGGCATTCCGTATGTAGAAAATCCAACGCAAGAAAAAGACGACGGAAGGTGAAGGCGAGGATCAGCACTGGTAGTCTCCTCACTGGGTTGCGGTGAAGGAAAGCTAGCATGCTCTCATTTAGAGGAGGATGCACCAAACATCGGTGGCATCCGTCTGGTCCAGCAACATCGAAAGAGTCCAAGAGTTCCCTGACAGCATCGTGACCAGGATGTTTTGACGAAGATTTGGAAATGCGCTTGTATATGGAGAGTTCGTGATCTAGGTGCTTGCCCATAGACTCTGAGTTTACAAAGAGCTTTAGTGCCACATGCTGACGGCCCCTATTATATCCATGTTAGTGAAGCGTCGCGTGTAGACATTCGTTGAAAACATCATACTCCAGGTCGCGCGCCAACCAAACTGTCGAGGTAGTTCCGAAGCCTAGCTTGCCCACAATCTGATAACGATCCCTGAGGACTTCGCCAATGTGAACCGGGTAGTATCGCGATGCGATGTAGTCGGGCAGGCACTCTTCCTCTACCTGTTGATGCAATGGGATTCGCGAGAAATTGGGGTTGGAAAAGGTGAGAGGCTTCCACGGTCGCCCAGGCCAACGCAATCGCCTAAGAAAAGAAGACCTCATCTCATCCCGGCATAATAACTTTCGAGGCCGAAAAATGGGATTTGGATGTGAAGTAGTTCAGGGAAATAAGACAATGGTTGACACTTTTGGAATCTGGTCTGAGTTAGAAGGGGTCCATGGGAGTTGAAGGTAAGCAGAACCTGAACTGTCACTGCAAAAAGACTGGCTTCCAGTGCCCCAAATTGGGACTTGTTGGTGCAACAAAAACCCGAATCTTTGATTATTTATTTTCTTCATTTTCTTTCTTCATATCACTTATTCAAGTCTCCTTCAACTTCATCCGTATTACTTATTCTGGAGTTATCTACCTAGTTACTGGGTAGGTTCTGTACAAAGACCTGAACCCCTACTTCGTCTGAGCTTCCTTGCACCGCTACAAGCCGGTCCCGGCGAAGGCCCGGCACTCACCAAAATGACGCAGCCTGTGCTAATCGGCACTAGAAAAGACGGCATGCAACAGGGGCAGCCAAGTTTTCTGCAATGTTCTAGGGATGGCATCTCGTGCATGTGGTATCCCTCTCTCTTGCTTGTGTGCCCAGCGTTGATTGATTGAAGGCGCATGCCGCCCAGTCTGCGGTTGGCTGTAAAGTCCGGTATCTCTCTCCCGCCCACCCCCGTGACAAGGTCCGATACCGATCTTCGACCCTTGCTCCGCGTGGGATGGATGCTCCGGTCCAGTGGGTGGAAGCTTTCGTCCAGAGGTTGTGTCTATGTACTTGGCTTCTGTGAAACCTCAATAAAGCATCCACTTTATATCAAAATCAAGTCATCGTCACCTCACTCTTTGTTTGATCTGTCTGCCCTTGATCAACCTCCAACTCCGTCATCGTAGACCCTGGCCGTTCCCTTCCGAGTGCCCGGCTTGACACGGGACATCCGGAGCGTGACCCCCACATTTTCATCTCCACCAAACGCCATGTGCCCGTGAGCCACAATTCCAGCGCCACAAACGTCTGGAACCAAAACGGGCTTGCTTTCAGATCACGTGCCAAATCATGCCCCCTCTGCTTCCCAGGTCCGTCTGGCCGATCGGAACGCCAGCCAGAGAAATGGCCAGGAATGGTCATCAGTCATCACGTGACGTCCCGAGCTCTCCCAGAAGTTTTGCAATTGCTCAGCCCATCCCCATTTCGCGCATTCCCGACGGACGACGACGACGACGACGGACAATTGCCGCCCGAACCACCTAATCTCAATCCGCAACAATGAAGTACTCGCTCGCCCCCTTCATCATCCGCCGGCCGTGGCTCTACAAGATCTTCAAGCCCGCCGCCTCCTGGTACATGAACGCCTCCGGCTACCGCCAGATGGGTCTTCGGTACGCGAATTTCTTCCCTCCCCTCGAACACCCGGATATGCGCCAATTGGGCTTGATACGATGAATACTGGACGGAATTGAGAATCTCTTGCTGACCGCGGTCTTCAATTGGTTGGAAAACAGATATGACGACCTCCTCGAGGAGGAGAACGACGTTGCCCAGAAGGCCCTCAAGCGCCTCAACAACCGCGAGTCCTACGAGCGCATCTACCGTATCCGACGTGCTGTCCAGTGCAGTTACCAGCACAAGCTCCTCCCCAAGGAGCAGTGGACCACCACCGCCCAGGTACGAAAGATAAAAAACATGGTCTCCGTTGACCCTCGGCAATGGAGACACGGATCATGAAGGACTACCGGCTAACCTAACCCCAGGACGTTCGCTACCTCCAGCCCCTCATCGATGAGGTCGCCGCCGAGAAGGCCGAGAAGAACGAGCTCGACTCTATTGCCGTCATCCGCAAGCACTAAATTGTTGGGCCCGGGTCGGGTGGAAATCGAGGTGGAAGTGTATAGCAGGACCGTGGGTGAGAGAGGGAACAGCGCCCCCTCGAGAATTAGGTGGCAACCTCTCAACGGACTAGACAGTTCCCGTGTATCCTATGTATAGACGTCGTCTGACTTGACTCATTTTGCACAATCTTGGAGCGTTTCTTTGTGTTTGTTATATGTGAATCTTTTTTTAAATTACCATCTCATGGACGCTTTTTAGGTAGTTATGCAATGTACTATCTGGTTCAAGCTCCGCGAAGAGCCCATCTCCAGGCAGCCCTTGTCTCGCTGTCCGAGGAAGTCCAGCCGAAGTAGCCCAATGTGCCCTTCACCAAACTCCCAAATCTTACATGGGATCCTGTAATTGTCTTGCTGATCAGCCTGCCATGGGCATTTCACCAGCACCTCCTCCCAACCCCAACCCACAGGAATCATGCCTCGACGCCGGACGCCGAGCATTCGGCTTGATATCAAATATTTCGCCTTTCCTCGCCTCCCAGCATCATACTCCATCCCAAAAAAATGCTGTTTTCCGAGTCCCTCATCCAAAACGTACGGCCGTTAAAGCTCGTGGTAATTCGTGTCCGCCTCTTCACGGCTGGGGAATTAGGCCGGAGGGCTGTAGTGAGTGTTATAGTCCAGGTGTCATGTGGGTGTGGCTCCTTATACCCGCTGGTAGAACAGCAGGTACGCCACCTTGTTGTCTTTGATGTTGTCCTTGACCGGCTTCGCCTTGGTAGTGCCGTTGCTGGCCCCATTGGCGACGCTGCTCCATTTCTTGGCTCCTCCAGTGGAAGCCGTCACCTTGTTCCACCCAACTTCATCCCCTGCGTCTTCCGTCATGGCATCGAAACGGCTGCCCGAGCTACCAGAAACAGCGCCATCCTTGCGAGTATCCTTCACCTCTTCCTCTTCGCCGCCCTCGGCCACATCCTCACTTCGCACCCTGCGAATGACCGTGTCGTCGATACGGATCCACTCACGGCCTTCTTGGCGGCGCACATCAACCGTATAATGTCCACCGCTCGCGTTCTTTCCGTGGTGATACACCACACTGATCAGCTTATACTTGGGCATCGCTCCGTCGGTGTATGTCTGGCGTTTCTGCCGAGACAATACGTCACGAGGAATCTCGAGCTCCAAAGGATATCCAATCTTCTTCCAGATCTTGACGGTTCCGTTGCCCTCCGCATCGAACTGGAATCGCTTGAGGTGCAGGATGAGAACGGGAGGAAGCGACTCAATGAAGACCTGCTTGGTGGCCGTCACGTCCTTGCCTCGGGGTGAGTTGAAGTCACCCTGAATACGCTCAGGGCGGGTGAGGCCCCGGAGCGCATCAACCACGTTGCGTACATCTGAAGATCCAATATCCAACTGGAGCGGCTGGTAGGGCTCAGTGGTGATGGAGTCTTTCAGTCCGGGAACGCGGAACTCTGATCGAAGCAATCCGCCAAAGATCTTGGAGATGGGGCTCGATGAGTTGGATCCAGCGGATCGGGTCACCGCTGCCTTTTGCTTCCTGCCAACCTCAAGCCAATCATCAGATGTACCAGCAGCCCCCTCAGCGGCATTAGCCTTCTCTGACTGCTCCGCCAGAGTGGAGCTATTCATAACAGAAGTGCACTCGTCGTCGAGAGATTGGAGAAGGAAACCCAGGAACTCTTCGGCGTCTTGTTGATGACCTCGCTGGTAACTAGTTAGTATATGCCATTAAGAATTTGGGGAATTCAACGCACCCTCATGCTTGCGAAACGAGGCAGCTGTCTTATAGCTTCGTAGACAAACTCAGGAGTGAAGGGCTCGCCATAGCGCTCCAACTCCTCATTCTTCAGAGAGCGGCGCAGGGGCTCGACTGAAGAAGCAGACTTGATGATCTTGAACTCATGCATGAACATGATCCTGACACTGAATTAGCCACTGTATGTTCAACTGCTCCACACGCAACTCACATGGCGTCAATGAGAGGTGTCTCGCTCTTGAAGCTATGGACAGCTCGCTTGCTGATCTGGCTAAGGAAATCGAAAAATGGAACGCAAAACATCAAAACTTGAAGCACCTGCATCTGGTCAGCACATTGTTTCCGTCAAGGGCAAAGTCAGCCTACCGAGTTCATGTAACACATGTTGCCGGTGTTGATCAAGCCGCGAGGCTCGAGGAACGAAAGCTGGTCAGCAAGACCAACGTTGAAAGATTGAATGGCCTCCGCAACCGAGTTGGCATTGGCCTTGGAGAAACTGGCAGTAGAGCCATTCGTGGCAGTGACAACACCTTCCGCACTATGCCCATTGGTAGTAGCGCTGCCAGCAACAGCACCATTGGTAGCACCAGTCTTTGCGACGGATGCGGCGGCAGGCTTCGCAAAAAGGTTAGCCCAGCTTGAGGGTGGAAGCTTCACAGCAGGAGCAGGCGCCTCTGCAGTTTCGGACTCAGGCTCGGTGAGCTTCTCGGCAGCAGTAGACGTCGCATCCTGAGACGGAGTTTCGGCAACCACATCGCCATTGACCGGCTTTTCAGCACGAGCAGGCTTGGCGTCCTTAGCACCAGACTTGGGCAAAGAAGGAAGAGCGGGAGCAGGGGCAGCGGAGGAGCGCGTGGCGGGTCTGCTGGTGGCCGTCGAGGTGCTGCTAGTCACAGTGTTGGTGCGGGACCGTTGAGAAGTAGAGGAAGCTTGAACGGGAACGGCGGACTCCTCGGGCTGACGAGGGGTTGCAGCAGTCTCGGATGGGGCCGCGGACGTCGCAGGGGTCTGGGAAGCAATTGATGGTTCTTTTGACGCTGTCTTGGCAATGGTTGCTTGTTCAGACTGCTCCGTGGCGGCCTCGTGCTGCTCGACGGGCAAGGATACAGCCTGGCTGTCTGCGTTCAAGAGTCTCCTCCTCCGTCGTGACTTGGTGGTTCTGACAGGAAACTCGGCATCAGGGTGGGAAAGCCAAGGAAGCTGGGTATATGTCAGTAGGATATACGTGTGTATTTGTAATCGCGGAACTTACAGGAGCACGGAAAGGCTCTTTCGCCTTCGGAGCCGGCGAAGGCTCCCGGGCAGGAGCAGGAGCAGGAGCGGGAGCGGGAGCGGGAACAGAAGCGGGAGCAGGGGCAGGAGCAGGAACGACAGGAGCTTGCGGCTCTGTAGTTTGCGGCGTCGGCGGAGTCGGGGGAGGCATCATCTGGGAGGAGTTGGTGGATGATGGCGTATGGGGCGGAATCGGAGCCGTCGCAGGCGGGGGCTGGTAGGGAGTCGAGAGCGCAGGAGAATGTTGTTGAGCAGGACGAGGAGGGTAGCTTGGCGGCACGCTCACGCCGACCATCGGAACGTACTGGTGCATGGAGGGCGGCGACCGAGCGTAGTTCTGGTACGGCATGTAGCCAGGCGAGGGCATACCCCCGTTCTGGTACTGTCCATTGAGATACTGGTGCTGGTATTGTGCGTTCTGGTACTGGGTGTTCTGGTACTGCGGCGGCATGTTGTAGTAAGGCTGGGGCGCGAACTGGGTGTAGCCACCATACATGGGATTCATGTGCTGGTGATGGTGCTGGTGGTGCTGCTGCTGATACTGCGGCACATACGGAGGCGCCTGCCTCCGACGAGGCCCTCCAGGACCGCCGACCATATCGACCCCGGGGACTCCACCAGCTCCTCCCTGTATGTTCTGCCCAGCCGGCAGATGGCGGTTACTCATCGTGCCGGCCTGGGGGTTGAATGAAGACGGGAGCCGCCCAGTTGGTGCGACACCCGCTGCCACGTTCGTAGTCTGATCTCGCAAGCGGTTGATCCTTCCGGGTCGTCGGGCTTCAGCGCGTTGAAGCTTGTCGGGGGAAGACGGTGGCCTAATTTGCGCGACGCGACACCGGGTGGAGGCCTGATTTGTCCGCAAAAGGGACGATGTTGGGAGCGACGGTGGAAGGAGAACAAAGGACGGCGCGACTTGTTTCGGCCGACAAGAGCTCCAGTCGCGAGGGTGGGGAGATCAAGTATAGGAAACCGAAAACCGAGACGAAGAACAAGAAGAAAAAAAATGAGAACAACCAAGGAGCGCGGGTTCGCTCACGGTAGGGAGGCCGAATGTTAGACGCACCGGAGGGAGAGAGAGAGAGAAGGAGTTGCGTCAGGGAAGACGGAGACGGGGATGTGTCGCTACGGGCTGGACGTTGGAGAAATAAAATTTGGGCAAGCCAGGCCGGGACTTTGCTACTGGCACGCACCGGTCAAGCCAAAAACGTAGCGGCAGACACACAGTGAGAGGCCCAGGAGCCAGACGCACACGAGCCAAGCCTAAGCAAAGCACCTCAGGCCTGCAGAAAAGGGCACGAAGACCCCCAGCTGGAGCCAACCAGGCTCAGGGTCGTCAGAGACTTTGGGGCCAAAGTTGGTGTCTGAGGCAGAAACAATTTGCGGCTTTCGCTTGACGGGAGGGGAGCAAGGGCCAAGAGATGATCCGTGCTCCACTCTTCCATCTGAAAAAGCCCGGCATCGCAGACTTGCACATTCAACCCCTGTCATGATCCTGGTTCGAGTATTGTTGGCTTGGGTTATTGTTGGGCAAACATTGTCGCCTCTCGAGGTTCTTTGTTGAAAACTATATATACACATCCATTGGGTGTTTATACTTAAAAAGTTATACAAACCATGACAAGTTCCCTACCCATCCCAGTGTTACCCGAACGCCTTGGCTCCTATAGTGCTCCGTACTACAATGCATCTCATCCACAGCTCACTTTTTGGCTTCTCGTCTACTCATCCCTGAACAGCCATCTACCACCAGGCCGCATAGCTTCTCTGTACCTGTCCTGAACAGTCTGCTTCTCTCGCTTGGCAGCCTCTTCCCTCTCAGCCTCCATCTCTTGGGTGCTGGGGAAATCTGCATTCCAGAATCCTGGGGGACTCCGCATCCTCGAGTAATGGTATCGATGCTTGCCGTATTTGTTTGCGAGTTCCTGAGTCTTGGCCTCGATCCAGAGCTCATCTCTCTCTTTCTTGTCCATCGTCCCTAGTCGATACGCAAAGTTGCCCAAGTACTCCTCTAGTAGCTTCTGCTCCTCTTGTCGCTGAGCTGCCGTAAGAGGGGGGTCTGGGCGCTGCGAGATGGCAAGAGATCGAAAGTGCTTCCCGCAACAGTGCATGTCTGTACAGCCTTGCATGCGAGCCCTCTCATCCCTGTCACGAATCACGTCAGAGAACGCAAAGTCGTGACCGTCATTGGCTTGTGGGTTGATCTTGAAATCGTCGGGCCGCAGCTCCGCCACTGGTTTGTTTCGCAACGTAGACGTCGTGCCTTTCTTAGAGGCCAACGGAGATCGCGTGTCTTGTGGCGTAGCCTTTACACTGAGAGCACTGGCGCGATCAGATGCACCCGTTGGGCGAGTAGGAGTCCTCTCTTTGACGCGTCCTTCTCGATCAAAAGGAAGTACCCGTCGGCCTGGAATCGCCAGGCCTTCTGAAAGAGTGCTTAGCCTTGCTGGTGCTCGAGGTGTCGGACGGGCTACGGTTTCGTTTTCCTGAGCAGCAGGGCTGTTTAATAGCGTATCCAGTCGTCCCTTAGGCGCTTGATTCGTACTATTCCCAGTTTTCCTGTATGCTTCGCCATCTTCAGCCACGTTTGATATGCCACGATCCAGCCCCTTTCTAAGAGGTGTGGTTGGCTTATCATCGCCTGATCGCACAGTCCGTCGGTTGACACTGAGTGGTGTGAGGGCTGATTTTCGTTCCAAGGGTCGAACTGTTTGTGGTTCCGGATCTGGCCTGACAAATAGGGTCCTGGGTGTTGCTGTCGCAAAGGCTTCGCTTTGCATTTGGTCTCGACGTTGCGACTCTTCCATCTCCCTACGTTTCCTCGGGGTCAACAACTTTTGTGCAATGTCTCCGAGATCTATGCTCTCCTGTGGAACGAGTGTAGCTGGACCGATGGGTTGAACAGGGCTCGAGCTGTCGTCAATTGGTTCCAGCTTGACCTTTTGCAAAGGTGATTCGTTGGGGTCTCCATCGTTTCGTTTCCTTTTCTTCACAGCTCTCTCGGAAACGACAACAGGCGTATCGGACGACGGCTCCTCCTTAATTTGCGTGTGCTCAACATCCTCCTGGGCCGGCAACTCGGGCAGTTCATCTCCTTGGCCAGACTCAACCTCACTGGCCGTCGCATCCGAGCTGGGATTAGCAGCCGTAGTGTCGGGCAGAGGAGCAGTGTTGTCGGGACCAAGCGATGCTGCGGCTAAGGGAGGTAATTCTAGGTCAGCTTGTTCGAGCCCGGCTTCGGATGTGAAGCTGGTGTTTGGACTTGGGCCAGCGTCTTCTGTCCTGGCCGCTGGAAGTGTTGTCGCCCGGCTGCCCCTGTTTTGACGATCCGTAATGCTAATTCCATGCTCTTCCTCGGCTGCCTTGATCTTCTTCTCCAGTAGCGTGGCGTGAGCAACCCATCTGTCACGTTCCTCCTTCCTTTTTCGTAGCGCGTCCTTGGCCTTTTTGAAGTTTTCCGAGAGCGCGTTGAACTTGAGACTGACCCTGGCGCACTCAGCCTTCCAGTCTGGTTCACTGCCGGATGAGTTGCTCCTGGAAACTCCTGGTGGTGGTGATGGCGCTGCCTCAGGAGTTTTCGCGTCTCCCGTTGCCTTGGCTGTTGCCTTGTGCAATTTCTCCTTCAAACGAGCATTTTCAGCCGCCAAGTCAGAAACCTTTGCCGCGTGATCATCTCTCTGCTGGAGAGCTTCGTCAAGCTCCTGTTTCACCAGCTCAAGGTCTGAGGCCGTGTTAGCGAGACACGCTCTATCGCGTTAATCGATTAATGACGTACCTGCAGCGATCTGTTGATCGACAAGATCGCACGCACTGGAGATGGCATCAAACAGAGCCGGGCGGCCACTAGCGAACCAGCTTGTCATTGTCTTGTAGCCGTCGATACAATCGACATTTCTTTTGGGGTTGACTCGAACGGTGTGTCGAAGCGGCTGGAGCCGACAGGGTGTGATGTAAGTTGGACGCGTCTCCACATGGCCGGCCGACGCGGGACTCGGATGCCATCGCGACTCGGCTCCACGTGACGCGTAGCCTCGCTGAGACGGCATCGATTTGACGATGATTGCTCAAAGCGGCACGAATTAGAAAAAAAATTAACTGAATAAGCCCTTATCGCGAGCTGATCCTTTACTGTTTCTGTTCTGTATGAAACTGACTTAATATTTTGGTCTTGGTTTCAGCCCTTGTTCCTTAGCTCTAGCACAGGCTTCCAACTTACACCCCTCACGTCAAGTACATTTTCATAAGTAATGACTGAACATTGGCGTGGCTAGCCGACTGGGCTATGATCTATTATTTAATCTATCTTACAATGTTTGCCATCTATCCATTTAGTGATATTACAAAAACCCCTCAAAATCCGTGTTCAATCATCTCCGTCTTTGACAAGGCTCCAGCACTTCCTCATGCCTGTACCCATTGACTCATCATCAACCTCATCACTTGACGCCCATCTGAGGCGACTCTTCTTAAGTGACTCAGAATCCGAGAGCCAATCATCGTCTTGAAGGGAGAACAGGTGAACATGCATTGTGAGCTTCAAGTGTGAGAAGAGCCACGGCACGCTGCCCAGCTCACCTCCATGCTTGACCTTTGATGTTTTGTGGTCATGCTCACCTCCTATTTTGGAGAGGTACACGAGGGCCTTCGACTTTCGTTTAGCAGATGTGCTTCCTTCGGCTGGGTCTTGAAGAATATAGCTGGGAAATTCCCAGAGTCCAGCAAGGAGCCCCTTCTCGGGGCGCTTTTGGACCAAATACTGCCCGTCGCCGCGGCGGATCACACAGACGAGCGTTTCCTCTTCCCTCACGGCCTTTTTGATCACCTTGAGCGGGAATTTCCGGGCGTGGTCCACAATAGTTTCCATGTTGCGAGCACTGAGAGTCGAGTTGGCCTTGTTCGAGGAAGACTTCTCGATAGCTGGTCCCTTGAAGGCAAACGACGCTAATGTCAGTTGCTTGCTTTGAGATCCATTCGCCTTGGTCTTTTTGGCGCTTTTGGCATCTGGAGCAGCGTCTCCCTCAGCATCTTCAAAAGGCTCGCAGAGATGACAGGCGTCCTCGATGTCATTGAGCTTGGTCTCTCGATTGTCCTGAGAGACCAACGTTCTTCCTTCTGCATAGGCTCGACAGGTTGACGTGATGGGGCATTCGCCGCAATTGGGCTTTGGTACACAAACGGTGCTTCCAAGTTCCATGAGGGCCTGACCCCATCTTCCAGGTCTATCGCTTGTCTCGGCTTCCTCGCCATCCGGGGTACCTGTCTCGTCTCTTGCAACGGCTTTCACGAGAGCATCGGCAGCAGCCCATAATGTGTCAATAACGACCTTGGTTGTCTTTACGTTGCCCAATAACCCTAGCTGTCTGCTCAGGACGCGCAGGACATTGCCGTCAACCATAGGCGCAGCTTGTCCAAAGACAATGGCTGAGATGGCACCTGCGGTGTATCTCCCAACACCGGGAACCTTGGCCTCAAGATCTTGAGTGCAGGATGGCAAAAGCCCTTTCATCGCAGGATCCTTCACCACCAACTTTGAGGCCTCGTGGATCCTAGTTGCCCTGCTGTAATAACCCAATCCACGCCAGGCACTGAGGACGTCATCAGCACTGGCAGCGGCTAGGTCGTGAATGGATGGCCATTTGGCCATCCACTTGTTCCAATAGTCGATGACCACGGCGACTCGCGTCTGCTGCAGCATAATCTCGCTGATCCAGACCTCGTACGCCCGCCTCTCTAGAAGATTGCGCAGGTCATCTGGTAGGTGATCCTTTGGATTGATCCATGCTTTTCGCCAAGGCATTGAGCGTTTGGTACTGACACCGTCGAACCAGTCCAGGAGAGCCTTTCGTGAGGAGTAGTCGTCCAGCATAAGTGGTCGGTGATATGTGAGATTGTGTCGTCGAGCTGGGGGTGCACATGGTAATTGACTCGTCTTTCCATCCCTGCCAAATATTTGTTCATGAAACTTGGTGTTGTTTGCTTTGGTGCTCCTTGAAGATTGTGTCTTTCGCCGTTTTGGTGCAGGGGCTTCCGGCTCAATTTCTGGAGTCGCGTCTGCCTCGGACGCGTCGTGATCCTCATCCTGAGGACTAGGACGTCGTTTTGTCGCGCGTCTATTTGTTTCAATAGGCTTCTCATCATCTGAGCCTAATTGCGATGAAATCTTTTTTGAAGCATTGAGTGCGCTTGAGCGCGTTGCCCGTGTCCTGGTCACGGTGCTCATATTGCTGGGATGTGGTTGAGTGAAGAACGCAGGCGGGACAGCGGATGAGAGGTCAGAAAACGGTGTATGCAGGTTCCATATGGGATGAAAAGGCCTTTATTAGCCGCGATGTCGCATTCTGAAAAGAAATGGTTGAATGTTTGCTTGAAGGAGGAAATGTTTTGGTGTTGAATGGTAAGAACCGCTAGGCCTCAGTGGCTAGCGTGCCAAAATAGCACTGAAACAAAATGACGTTCTTGACTGGCGTTTGTGAGCCATGAAATCGTCCACCAACAAACAACCTCGAAGATAATTTCTATCAATAACTTTTCTACACCATATAATTTTAATTGACGTATAGTTTCGACTTCTGTTTATTATGAATATAGCATGGGCCAGTTCATCGATGCCGAGGCCAAGCCCTACGGCGTGCCTGGCTACTGTTTATCGCAATGGGTGCTTGCTGCGATCGTTGGGTTCATGTTAGGCTGCAGGGCCCCTCTCACTCACTTCTCTCCAGCTGCACCCCAGCTTGATCTGACATATTGTTGAACCCAAGGCCGAAACCCTGGAGCACCTCGATTGCTGTTACAATGCCATCACTGAATCTTTGTCCCTCGTGTTCCGGCATCTTTGAGGGACATTACGTGCCCTCAAATGTGCTACAAGACCGCAACCTACTTGCTCTCGAGGATGCCGTCTTTGTTCCCTCCGGATTCACAACAGGTACAACGGAATGGAGAGTACGGCTAGATTCTGGCTCAGGGCCAGGTGATCCTCCGAAGCCATATGTTCATCATACAATACAAGCTCTGGAGGAGTCTGCAAATGCTTGCGTGCTCTGCGCCATGATCTGGCTGCGGCTGCAGCAAGACATTCACCCCATAACGTTGGGTGAGCTACAGCAGGGTGACGTTGTCGGTATCCCGGCTATAGAGGCTGGGGAAACGTCTTATTGCGGCAGCTTCGTTTTTGGAATGTGTTTTTCGAAAGTTGAAGGCGAAAAGTTTGTTGGGCGCCTGTTCCATTCGTTTCGCGCCTTCAAGGCAATCAGTAAGTTTCGAGGCTCTTCCTATTTGCGACTAATAATGACGAGTAAAGAAATAAACGGAGACAACAGAGATACCTGGAAACCCAAATTTGACCGACAAGCAACACTGGCACGTATCAGGACCTGGCTCGAGTCCTCAACCGAAAGCCTGAACTTGGCACCTCGGCTACCTACGAGATTGCTTCATTGTCAAGCATCTGCAACTTCAAAAGATCCGATAGTCAAGCTTGTTGATACTCACGATCTCGGCTCATCGACGAAATATGCTGCCCTCAGTCATCGTTGGGGCGAGATACAGCCGCTTATGCTGAAGCACGAGTTGGCTGATGCCTTTTACTACGATATTCCCTTTACGACCATCCCGACTACTTTCCAAGACGCGATCAAGTTAGCCAACACCCTGGATATTCAATACATCTGGATCGACTCCCTCTGCATCATTCAAGATTCAAAGGAAGACTGGGATGTTGAAGCCGCACACATGGCATCCGTCTATTCTCAGGCGTATGTCACTATCTCTGCTACAGCTGCCAAAGATTCATCTGCCGGTTTGAAGCAAGACTCGATGCTAAAACACCCTTGCGAAGTCACACCGACGTGGACTGGCTTCGAGGACTCTGAAATGCCAACAACAACAATGAGGCTCATCGACAGATCTGCTTTCTGCGACCAGGTCTTATCTCAACCCCTTTTCCGCCGAGGATGGGTCTTTCAGGAATGGATTCTCTCGCCAAAGACTCTCCACGTCGCTAGTGACCAGCTCTGGTGGACGTCTGCTTCTGACATGACTTCCGGGGGATTCGCCTCGCATGAGACGTGCGAAGGGTTTGCTTTCGACGTTAAACAACAATTTACCCGCACTATGCCCCTTGGGACTCTCTATTTGATGGGAGGCAAGAGCGCCGAGAGCCTGCGGCCGGTCTGGCATCAACTTCTTCAGGACTACCTATCGCGATTTTTCACTTTTGAGTCGGACCGTCTGATTGCGTTTGCTGGCATTGCGTCTCTGTATCAGACTCTGGCACGAGTACCCTCAGGCTCGTACCTTGCGGGCATCTGGCGTCAATCACTGCTTAGAGATCTTCTCTGGACTGTGAGAGATGGGAGAAAGGTATCCCCACCGCAGAAATACCGAGTTCCATCGTGGTCGTGGGCTTCAGAGGAACCAACCCATACATTATCTGGAACATTCGGCATTGGCAACATCAACTTGAACGCGGATCTCGAAGAGGACGAAGAGCCTTGGGTTCCTGCTGCCGAAGTCGTAGAAGCGTCGGTCCAGACAACCGGACCAGAGCTTGGTTCCGTTTCTGGAGGCCACCTCGTCCTCCAAGGCCCACTGATCAAAGCTCGACTCGTGCTCAAGGTTGAAGACCTCACTGGTCAATTTACACCTGAGCAGGCTGCAGAATTTCTCCCAGGGGGGAATTTCCGATATGTTCGAAACGTGGTGACACCGACTACGGAGCAGAGTTCGGATATCGATGACTTGGAAGTCTCTACATCGCCTTCCAAGGCTGACCTGGATGACGTTTTCCCGTTCGTTCCATCCAATGGGGAGATGCATATTTACCTTGGTGTTCTTCACTGCAGAGTGGACCTGGAGGGTTCTGCTGAGAGCTATGCTTTGGCGCTTGTGAGAGGATGCGAGAAGGGGGAGTATCGGAGGATTGGGTACGTCAATGTTCAGAAGACCATTATGGGCTCTTGGATAGATAATCGGGACTGGGGAGTGTTTGCTCCTCTCACGGATAAAGGCGAATATCTCAGCAAGGGTGTCCAACCTGGGATGTATAATTATCGTATTGTCTAAATCTGTTGGCAAGGGAAATATCTATCTCTCATTATTAGAAAGGAAAAGGGGGAGGGTTTGGCCTCTATCGATCTTCATCACGACCTGGCCATAGAATCTTTCTGCGAATAACGGCAGATACCTGCGCATACAAGACCATGAACCAAAGACCCACGAGAAAAATCGTCATGACAGTCGAAACCCATCTGATCCCCGGACTCTCCAGCTGCTCCCCGATCCGCGCCGTGGCAAGGGTGAAGCCAACGTTGGGAAACACAAACGCCCACCACGTCATGCTATATCTCAGCCTCCACTGCAGGGCCGAGGAGAGGACGGCTAGCAGGCTGAATGAAAAGAACCAAAACGCTATGCACCAGATCCAGATGGAAACCCAGAGGGCAAGGATTTGCAGGACTTGAGGTGCCATGGGATATGTCTTGAAATATCCGTATCCTTCTGGGATCGATTGGGCCATGCCGATGAGGGCTACAGAAGTGAAACCTGCAGGTCCAACGGCGATGAACATTCCAGGTCGCATTGCTGGTGCTGGCAAACCGTCCTGCATCAACCGGCCGAGGTACAAGGGGTAGACGAGTGTGGCCACGGTCCAGCCGAGGCCTTGGTATGTGACTCCAGCCACCAAGATTGGTATCCGATGCTCAGGACTTTGTGAAGGCATAATTGCAGAAGCCAAGGTGCCCGTAAGCATGGCAGGAAAGATGGGCAATATCCAACCCGGCGTCATGGAGTGGATAGGCAGGTGAGCGCCTTTGAACAAGACAAAGAACTGGACGATTGCCGAAAGAGTCGAGAGAGCCGTGTACAGCCAGAAACATACTCTCAAAGCAGTTGCTAGCCAAGAGCCGGTTTCAGGAAGACCGTAGGCTGCCGTGTTTGTCAAGATGGTGGCGACGCTGAGAAGCGAGCAAGGAAAGAAGAGGCTCTCTGTCGGATGTAGAAGACTATTCCTCAAAGCCCTATCCGTCGTCGAGAAGCGAACAATAAGACCAGTAACAATACCAACAAAGATAATAATGGTAAAGATGAAAAAGATCTTGCCAATGACCCGTAGTCCATCAAACTGATTCGGCGTACTGTGCAACACCAGCGCGATACCCCCCGTGCTCATGACAAACGTGAACCACGCCCAGGTCATGTGCTTAACGCGCTCGAGCATGACGACGCTCGAGAGGGAATCGGAAGACCTGAGGCGCTGGTCGGCAGCCCGAGTGTGACCCTCCTCCCAGTTGTCCTTCTTCATGTTCTCGGCATGGTGCGCGACCGACGGCCACTGGGTGAGGGTCCCACCGAGGGTTCCGCCAGGGGACGAGTTGGTGAGGGCTATCATTGTGACTAAAGCTCTCAAGGGGTAGAATCAAGGTAGGATAGGCCTTATCAATGGGTAGAGCCTCATATCTGGAGGTGGTGATGTCGAAGGTGGAAATTGTTCGACTTCGGCAAACTCGGTCGGTGGAAATTCGTCAGTTATTGGTCAGCTTGCCCCAGACGGTGGAATGTTGATGAAATGGCACTCGGTAATTGCAGGGTTTAAAAGAACGAAAAGTATAAAAATTTAGCGAGGGAAATGGTTCAACTTGGCGGAATTGCTCCCAATTACTTTTGTATGTAAATCTGGAGTCTTGATCTTTGACGGTAGCGCTGCTTTAAGTGGCCTTGTTTATCGTCTCGGGTGGTCCGACGATGACCTCACCACAATCTTTGAAGTGTTGTCTGTCAGCTTGTAAGCTTGTATTGGTTACTTAGGTATTCTAGGCTGCTGGTATTTAATAAATCTAGTCCTTTTTAATCCCAACTTGACTGTTTGGCAAAGTACTGGGTCGATTCGGAGGAGTTACTTATTCGCATCTCTTTTTTTTTTTTTTTTTGACATGATCGCAACTTTGGAATAAGAGAAGCATATTCAAGGCAAAACACAGTTTGTATTATGGGCCGTTTCGTTCTAAAATTGGAGTATTTAGGGCACTGGCTTAGAGGACGTTGAGGGAGTTCCGACTATCTAATCCTTCATATAAATCAAGGTTGCAGGTTCACACAGCGTCATCCGTCATCTCTCAACCAGCAATAGGGAAAGCACTCAAAAAGTCAGGAAGGCTGTACCACCTCAACTCGTCAAACTCTGTCTCGGAAATGTACTCTCGTGTGTTCAGGGTCAGGGCCCAGTCAATGGTTCCTCGACTCTCAACATAGGCACGGGCACCTGACAGCGAGCCATCACGGTTGCTGGAAACGCGGCCACCAGTTCCCCAAACAGCTGGAATATATTAGCAAAACTGTTGCAAGCATCAGCAAAAGAAGGACACTTACCATGTGAGCCGATAAACTTGGCAAGGGAGCTGGCACTTGCAGCCATGGCAAACGTTCCAGCACATTCCTCCTTGACAGCGCCATCCCCTCCATGAGGTCCAGGGACCAGCTTGGCCGATTGGGGGTGAACAGGATCTTGACCAGTGTTCTTGCTCTCCTGGACAATGCGATCCTCTGTGTGCTTGCTCGCTGCCGTTTCGTAGAGCCTCACGTTGAGACCATCGAGAATGTTCTTTTCCAAAAAGTCAAGGTAGGGCACGCCAGTAATGTTGGTAACAACGTAGCTCAAAAGCATAGGGCAGTAGTTGGAATATGCCGAATAGTCTCCCGGAGTGAAATCAAGGGGCTTAGCAACCACATATTCGATCACATCGCGGAGGGTGGCAGCCTTGGCTCCCTTTGTTGGAAGAGACTGCGCGATCTCGCGGAACATGAAGCTGGGATCTCCTGACATGGATCGATCATATCCTGCAGAATGATCGAGGAGATGCTGGACGTTGATGTCGTTTGCGCGAGAGTCGGCTGGCTTGTAGCCAAGAAGATCGTAAACTGGTGTCGAGAAGTTGAGCATATCGTGCGAGACAAGCCAGTCAATAGATGCATGCAAAAACATCTTGCTAACGCTGGCCAGAAGAAAGATGTCATCAGGCTCAACAATGGCCCGGTCATCCTCTGCCCAGGTATAGCTTCGCTCGGCAATAGTCTTCCCCTCGAGTGCAACAGCAAACTGAGCCTGGCGAACTCCATTCTTCTCCATGAAGCGGCGCATGATGCTGTCCACTTCCTCCTCCGCGGCCTTGTTGTCTTCGAAGCCGGTTATCTCTCCTCGAACGTTCCACTGCCGAGGCTTGGGGGAGGTGCGCTCTGCAAAAACGACGGTGAAGCGTTCGCTGGAACCAGACCCGCCACCTTGAATATCAATAGGGTAAAGACCCTTGGCTCTCTCAGTCTCAATCTTCTCCTTGAGCTCGGCCTTGGTCAGATCGACAGCATGTGACCATTTACCAACACTGGTGTCAGCAAAGCTTGGTGTAATGATGTGGTCTTCGGAGAGGAACAGCCTGGAAGGCCTCCAAAAGCGCTTCGTCGTCTCGGCTTCGAATGTAGAGGCAAAGTTGACGGTGAAGCTAGGAGTGCTGTACTGAATTGTCGTCTGCTCGTTCCCGACATTCTCGTGGCCCAAGATACAATATCGACGTTCTTCCGGGGTTCCAAACATTCGGAAGCCCTTTACTACCACGTCGACATTGCCTGTCGTGTTGGAGAAAGCCCAAGGGTTTTCTAGCTCGCATGACTGAAACCAATTGGCAACATTGATGTTTTCCATCACACCAGCAAACACGGCGTTCTCAGCAGGGCCCGTGGCAGAGACTTGAGTCGACACATAACCTCTAGACTTCCATGTTTGAAGCCAGGAGTTGTATGTCGCTTCGTCGGCATCATGGATAATTTCAAAAGAAGGTCCTTCCTCTTGCACCCAGATCGCCGCGTAGTTGGCACTATCCGGCGAGCCGTAGGAGCTTAGCGACACGATGCGATAGCCATCTGCTTTCAAGGCCTTGCTTTTCTCGGCATGAGTAGCACCGTCCACACTGTAGTAAGTTTCGACATGGGACGTGACGTTGGAGCGTCGTTGATTGGGGAGGGCAGAGCTGCAAGAGCATAACGAAAGGACTGACGTCAAAAGACGCCGCAACGAAAGTGAATGCATTGTGAAAGAGTGTAATAGCGAGTGACGGCAATACTTGGATGCGATGACGAAGAGGTGAACTCGACTTATAAATGAAGCCGTGCTCCATGGTCCGGGGATTCTAGAATAATATTAGAAGTTTCAAGATCCCTGCTGCCAAATGGGATACGAACAATGCCGAGAGTCTAAGCTCGCTCGGACTAACCGCGATGATACAATTCACCGATCCGATGCCCCATCACCGTCGTATTTGCTCCTAAAATTGGGTCGCCTACTCCGGAGTCTCCAGTTGTGACATGATCATGCCGGTAGATGAGGCTCCCCTGAAAGGGCCGAGCAGGCATATGTAAGCGGACATTCCGCGTACGTCTCTGGATGGCCTTTGAATTGTCTCATAAACGGAAAAACTATTTTCGTTTAAAACTTCCTGGTCATGTCGCCCCTTGCGTGTCAAAACTGCCCAGGAGGCCAGAAAAAAGGTCATGTTGCTCATCCGTGCAGTCTGGTAATAATAAGGCGGCCTCGGCTGGCCACTCATCCATACCTTGACTGAAAGAGAATGAAAAATCCAGCTTGTTTGTAGTAGGATACTCTGCAAACCCTGGCTGTGACTGGCACTGCTCAAGCTCTAGCGCATGCCATTCTTGAGAACCTAGGGTCTGTAGGGGCGGAACCTGCGGCATGTCCGAGTCAAAACCAAGACTCGAGGTTCCAAGAGTTTGAGATTCGCCTCCCTGGAAAAGCTTAGCGGAGGTGCAGATAGCCGCTGAGGATGTTGACGAGTATGGCTCCTCTGGCTGTCGCATTCACCTTTGGAATTTGAGACCGAAGCTGAGGGGATGATGCCGTCTCTAGTGATGCTGACAACGCCGAATGATGGAATCATGAGCCGAAGGGAGCGATTGGACGCATACCGGTTTCTTGTGCTGCTGAAACCACCATAGAGCCCTGCCGTTTTCGCAGCATCCGCTTCAATACGAGCCAGGCTTGCTATAATCTCGGTTGTCTTTTCCAGCACCGTGTCGCCACTTTCTTGACCTAGCTCTATCATAAGTTCGGCTGTTTCCTGAACCATGGCGCGATCGCTAAGACGCTGATGAACAAAGTCATCTTCGACACTGTTGCCATCATGCCATCGACGCAGATGAGCAAGAAGTAATGTGAGACATGCCGTGAAAGCCGAAAAGTCAATACTTGTACAGCAAAACGCAATCGAGTCCATGCAGCGGAACCGGATATAGCGGTTGAGGAGCTCGCGACTGACATGTACACACGTCGACTTGTTAGAGTTCTGTGTGTTTTCCTCTCAGTCAAGAAGCATATGAGGCAGCCGGAGATAGATGAGCAGAATATAATGAGTGATGTGAAACATGATGCGTAGAACATCTTCAAGGGCTTCACCATCCCTAGGTGATTTGATAGGGGGTTGCCACCAGTCAGCAGGCATACCGCGCGCAGCCTTCTCCAGAGTCAAGTCGATGCTTCGTAAATCAACAGCAGCTAGGTTGTCAGGCTTGTTGCCCCTAGTTGCAGTGATGCGACTCATGATGATACAGTGAATGCGTTCAAGATAACCCATGGGACAATCCTCCAGGGTCAAATCTTCAGGGCTTCCGAGACAATCATCGGGTGTTCCAGGGGGAAGGCCAAGCATGAGAGCTAGATACCGATCTTGGCTAACAATTCGGTGCCACATGAAAGAGGGAGAGGCCAGCATCGTCTCCACAGTCTAGTCCTGTTAGTTGGGCTAAGCTTATGGCTCTCCTAAACACCAACCAGGCGCGGCGTAAATTCCCGGAATTGATGTGGAAGACGCCTTCTAGTACCAGGCATTCGAGCCCTTCCAGGGACTCAAGCATCTCGTCATTACTTGTAACCAACCGATAAGCTTTCCTAGAAAGCGTTGCATAGCTGTGGCGAGTGGACATCTGAGATCTAGTTGAGAAGGGTCGAGTGATGAAGGATGTAGGTTCTGGATCCCATGAGCCAGATAAAGGAGAGTTCAAGCAATTAGAACGGGATGACTTTTAGGATTTGGAAAAGCGGAAAGGCACGAAGAAGGTAGCATTTCTCCTCGAAGGATATCTTCGTATGGCCGGCAGAGAAATTGTAAGAAGGGAGCCGTGTTTCCCGCATCAATTATCAAGTCTGCGTCGTGTTTGGATGGCAAAGCGGTGTAAAGTTCTCGAGATATTCTTTCGTAGTTGCTGGATTCGGTCTCGGCCCTGTCACGCATAGTTCGTCCGAGGCTATAACCGCCAAAGCTGGCCTGACTACTCCGTGACTGACTGTAGGTGTACCCAGTCCCCTTTCTCAAGGCTCCGGGGGCGGTTGTAAAGATATCTCTGACATCTCCATCTATAGACTGGAGAGAAGGCCTTGCAGTGTCTGCATTGCGGTGGTCCTCGCCTGGACTCGAGAAGCTGGCCCCGTTGTCGACCAACCTCTGGAGGAGAGCTTCTACTCGCTCAAGTCTGTCTTCGAGACGGCTGTTCTTGTTCTGGTCTAGTCGATCTGCATTTGCAGCGGGGGATTCCTGGAATTTGCCAGAGTCTTCCTCGTATTCTTGGGTCACACATGGTGTCTCCCGTTGTTGACAGCCAACGCATACATCGCTCGTTGGAGAAGTGAAGTGACACCTAGTCTTTCTCCGCTTGCCTGTAGTAGGGAATGTCAGCGGGCAAGCCATGGTGAGATATATGCACATCATCCTACATTCCAAGCAACTAGTGGTTCCTTTTCGAATCTTCCTTCGCTTCGACAATGGCTGCTGGTCCTTGATGGGTGGAGGTCTCCTTGCTGGACGCGAAGACTGGCCTGTCATGTTGCTGTAAAGAACGTAGATACAATGGAATGGGGATAAATTGCGTTGAAATATGAAACGGCGTGAATTGAAGAGGGGTCGTCCACGACGTGTAGATGGAGAATGCAACATCGTTTGGGGAGACGCGACGGCGTGACGTTGGGTTCTTGAGGTCAACGCGGAGTCACGTGGAGGTCAAAGGATGTGACAAGCACTAACAGCAGGCCAGGTTTGGTGAATCAATTTATTTTGGACAATTTTTAAAATCGATAGAGTATGTTAGGTCCGCATGAGAGCCGTTTCTTCACTATGTATGGCAACTACGTGACCCCGAACGGCCTCAATCTACCGATTGCTCAAGGAGCTCCCTCTCCAACAGGCAGGTTGACACCGTTAACATCCATGGATGCCTCACTTAAAAGCCATACAATGACCCTAGCAACATCTTCAGGCTCCAGCATCTTTGTGTTGACTCCCAACTTTTGAAGTTGCTGCTCCGTCTCCTCCTTGGACATGTGGCCAAAGAACTCCTTTGTCATGGCCGTGTAAGTGTTGCCTTGAAGGTTAGCTTTTGCCTTAAGCTGGATGATTATTTCTTGATGATTTACCTGGCGAGACGAGACAGTGTTGACGCGGATGCCAAAAGAGTAAACGTCTTTAGCTACGCATGACGTGAAGTGGGCGCAGGCAGCCTTGGAGGCACCGTACGCAAACGCACTTGGCCCACGGAGCAGTGAAGCAAGGCTCGAGACATTCACTATTGTCAGATGGCTCTCTCTGGAGCATTGACCATGGCTGCGACCTGCGCCCGAGTGCAGTACATGGGTTGACGCCAAGAACCCCAGCCCAATCCTCGTTCGTCTCTGCAATAATGGCCGGCTGTTTCTCAGTAAAAGCAGGCTGCGACAGACCCGCGACGTTTGCAGCGCCATGCAGAACTCCAGACTCTGCAATGATGCTGGCTACCCAGTCGTCCACCTGCTTTGGGTCCGACATGTCGACTTTGTGAGTGTAGACCTTGGTGAGAGGGTTGATGCGCTCAACATCTTCCTTGATCTGACCAAAGCTTCCGTCATTCCAATCCGCGATCCAGATGGCGCCAGCTCCGTGCTGGGCGAGAAGGCGAACGGTCGCGGCTCCCATGCCGGAAGCGCCGCCTGTGACGCTGAAGACACGTGAGCCCAAGCTGAAAAGGGAGGTAGACATTGTGCAACGAGGTGGTACAGAAGCGAGATATAGGACGGGTATTCTAGGAAGGCGAGTTTCTCTAGGGGTTGGAGCAACTCAAGATTGTTTGTGTTGTGATAGATGAGGATGATGGGGTATTTTGGATTGTACAGTTGCCAGTCTAGGTATTTGTACCTTCTTGCTTTTACCCATTGGCACAACGGCTGACACTCTAAGAGTAAGTCATGTTGTTTCCACCTACTAGTAACTGAATTGATGGTTTTGGAATTGCCGAACAGGCTCCTCCGCCCTCCTCCGTCCTTCCTCCGGTTCTCCGCCGGCGCTCCGCCGACTTGACATCGATTGGGTAGAATGTGAGTAAACGACAGCTGTTCCCTTGACTTTCAAGGGAAATTTTTCATTGCTTTAGAGTTGGGCGTGGCTTGGGATAAGCAAGCCTCCAGTTGGTGAAAGGGGGACCTAGCCCACGGAGCAAAATAACCAGGCTTTCAACAGATGCCTATTTCCTACGCGACTATAAAGCCCTTCACAAATCTTTTCTACTCTAGAAACCATCAGACAAAACTCAAGGACTATTCCTCCACCATGGCTTCCTTTCAAGTCCCCGTCTTCCATACCTCCCGCTTCCCTCTCCCCGTCCGCGCCTTTATCGGCGGCGAGTTTGTCGACAGCACCAGCGATGAGAAGCACACCCTCATTTCCTCGGTCAATGACCAAGTCCTTACGAACGGTTCGAAAGACTTGAGTTGGACGGCATATGGGTAAGCTAACATCTATCAGAACTTCAGTGGTCAAACACTCGAGACGTTGATCTCGCTGTTGAATCCTCTCGGAAAGACCTTGCCCTTTGGCAGCATGACTAATGTAAGTTGCTACTCTACATCATGAAAATATTGGCGAACTTTTCTCATGAACCTGAAATACAGGACGCTCGTCGTGATGCCCTCGTCAAGTACGGCAATCTCATCCGTCAGAATCGAGAACAGCTCCGCTGGCTAGAGGCAGTGCTCACCGGAAAGGATGCCGGGTTTTGTGGCTTTGAGATCAGCGCCGCCGCCGACCTATTCATCTGTAAGATGCCTCCAAGTCACAGAGTGGTTCGATGTTGACAAATTCCCCAGACTATGGCAACATGATTGACAAGTTCGAGAGCGAGGTCATGGCTGCGGATGAGGATTCCATTTGAGTGTGTTATTGTATCCTGCTCCCTCATCAAGTTTCATGACATCTCTGATTCGCTGTAGTACACTCTCCGTCAACCATGGGGAATCTGCGCAGGTATTTGCCCTTTCAACGGAGTCATTGTCACACTCGCAATGAAGGCAGCACCTGCACTCGCTTGTGGAAACCCCATCATTATCAAGACTAGCGAAACGAACCCTTTCTCAACCCTTTTCATGACATCCCTTGCCATTGAAGCTGGCATTCCTCCTGGCGCCTTGAACTGCCTGGTTGGCGGTGCAGAAGCTGGCAACGCCCTCTCCTCGCACATGGATATCCGCAAGATCAGCTTCACGGGAAGCATCGGTGTGGGTAAGCTGATCCAAATTGCTGCGGCAAAGTCAAATCTGAAGAGCGTCACCTTGGAGCTTGGGGGCAAATCTCCCCTTATTGTGTTTCCAGACGCCAATCTGGAGGCGGCACTGCCAGCCGCGACCTTGTTTCTCCTGATGAATGACCAGGGATGCGCTCTTTCAACTAGACTGTATGTCCATGAGTCTATCGCTGAAGAGTTCATTGAAAAGGTGAAGATTATGGTTGAAGGTCATGCGAAAACTCTAGGTGGTGATCCTATGGCGGCGAGCACGTACTCCTCACCCCTGTACCATCACCGCCAGAAAGACGTCGTTCTTTCATACATCGAGTCCGGAAAAGCAGAAGCAAAACTCATCACCGGTGGAAATGCCGTTGGGGAGCAGGGATGCTACGTCGAGCCAACAATCTTTATCGACCCGTCACCCAATGCTCGAGTTCTCAAAGAAGAAATATTTGGACCCGTCCTCGTCGTTGTTAGGTTTGCCACCGACAACGAAGTTTTGAAACTGGCAAACGACACCGAGTACGGAATCACGGCTTCGATCTGGACGGCTGACATGAAACGAGCATTGCGGTTTGCTCATAAGCTTGAGGCTGGCAGTGTCAGTGTGAACGGGGCTGGTGGTTATCACCCAAGTGTTCCTATGGGCGGATGGAAGCGTAAGTCTTGGGTTTCTCTTGAGAGTTTTGATGCTGATTTTTCTCTAGAGAGCGGCCAAGGTCTTGAGAATGGTAAAGAAGTTATGCTTGACTGGACCCAGTTGAAGTCTGTTGCGCTGAGGGGATAGTCCATCCCGTACTTGTCTGGGTTCAACGCTGGGGAACAGTCGCCATAGTTTCTGAAAGAAGTTGTCACCTACCGTCAATCAAGATCGATCTGCAAGTCCGGATATTCTTACGGGTCATTCTTGATACGCGCAGCGTGACTCATGTGCCGTCTTTTGGCCCCCAAATGTTGAAAAGTGGCTGCAGACTTGGGGGGGTTGGATTGGGGGCCGGCGCTTGCGACCCGTACCGCGACGCTATCACAAGCGAGGCATGGGTTTTTCTGACGGCACTGATTAGAATGCATGGAGCGTAGTGCAATGTTCAAGCCAGAGAAAAGAAACATGAGTTTCGTAGATATAAAGGTTGTATAGAACATGACTTGTCTTTGCGAAAAGGAAATACCCTCACGGCATATGGAGATAACTAGTAACTCCTTGCAGCAGGCTTTGCCTTGTAAGGCGTGATGGACGCGTAGCCTGCATATCTGGTCACGGAGACAGGGGTCAATAACTCGCAGGATTCAAGCCCCATGTAGCAAAAGAAGAAAGGATTGACGGGGTTAGGACAATTGCCGGCACATAAAAGGCAACCCGGCCGATTGCTCAGCCAAGATAAGTTGCAAGCACCGCTCACTCCAAACCCGTCGGGTTTCGAACCCGGCATATATATCGCGTCGCCCATTGCAGCCGTACCTGAGGGTTTCTACCGCAAAGACAGAAGACCAAAATGCCTCGCCCTACACTACATACTGGCCGTTTAGGCCTCTTGTTTGTAGTTCTCATCATCCTCTGTTTTCACATCCCCTCCGCAACTGCGCTCACCCGGTCATTTGCACAATATGAGCACTTTTTCCCAGCCTGGGACTCCATCATTAAAGAGCAACTCAAAAACGACTGCGTACCAGAGATAACCAACTATCGAAACCGATCCGAGACGAAACCCCAGACGGGATACCAGGTCATCGACTGCATCCTCAGGACAACGCCCGAGTTTCGCAAGGCTGAGCTCGCCGCCTCCACAGTCATCCTCGGTCTTGCTCCAGCGGTGCTGCAGCTTCTGAGCGCGTCTTATGTCGACACTGCTGTCTTGGCCTTTCGCCGTCCTGGGCTTGCGCTGCTGCTTGCCATGTCCAGCTCCGGAGTTCGTCCTCTGTCGGCAACGGAATATGAAGACTTTATCGCCAAGATGGGGACAGACCCTTTCCGAACAAATTTTGGAAACCCTCACTCATTCTGGGCACCTCGGGCTGTATCTGCAGTTGAGTACTTTATAGTCTGTGCGTCTGTAGCAAACAATGCCTACCTGGCCTACCAACTCAGCGTCTGGGCCGTCTGCACCTTTGCCCCAGCAAACGACTTTCTGCCTGCTATATGGACTGCTGCTTCGGTTGTTATCCACCTCATCGGGTATCTCGTCGCGAGATTGCGCATCAAAGTGGAGGGAAAAGACGATATCAGCCTCCGCAGCAGCGAATGGAGGTGGCTCTGGAACGAACTCACACCCACACCTTGGCAGAGCAGATTGGAAGTCAAGAGTGACACAAAGGAAACTGGATGGTTCTTGGTATTAATCTCAGTGTTATATGTGGGCACGGCCCTGCAGGCATTCTACGGAACCATTATTCTGTCGAGTTTGGTTTTCCTCAGTGTTAGAGACTCGGCTATTGTGGTACTCCGGTTACTGGCGAGTGCTCTCTTTGCTAGAGGAATCTTGATTTATGAATTGGCGGGCTTTAGGACGGACAGAGAGGGACACGGTCCATCTGAGAAGTCGGAGTATACCATGGTAGAGATGCGAGCTCTAGCGCGTTCCGTGTAAAGGGACACAATCCACGAGTGCTTACTGGGCTTGATGGGTAGATCGATTATTAGATAGACAAGTTCGATAAGTAGGAATAACATTTCTGTTTCTGTTTCCAGTACTCATGCCTTTTCAAGGGGGAAAACGGCGAGTCTCCACTAACCAAGACACTTTCACGATGTGGCCCGTGCAACCATCTCACGCATCTGTTATCTTGGATCTCTTGAATTGGTTCTTTGATAATTGAGGAAGTTAATATCGGGAATGATGCCAGTTTCTACCGAGATTTTGAATAGGAGGCGTCCTATATCTTCCAAGTCAAGACGGCCTTCTTCTCAACCACTAGCAGCATTACTTTGCGAAGTTGTAACCCATATTTGCTCCCCACTGTAAATATTTACATCAAGAAATCACGATGGGAATGAAACCAGTGTCATGCAAGTCAGTGGGATTATTTACTTGTTGATTGCTGGATAGCTAGGGAAATGGAGGAACTCGGTGTTGCGTTCTGTCGCTGGGACTTGCTCAAAAGCCATTTTTTGTCGAGTCGAGAACAGGAGCCCCTGTGGCCTAATGGCTAAGGCGTCTGACTTCTACTGAAATAATCAGAAGATTGCGAGTTCGATCCTCGCCAGGGGTTAACTTTTTGTCTAGTTTTTTGCTGCGCTTATCTTTTTTTCCACTTTGTCGTACCTAGACGTCACAGTAGCAGCTAGGTTCGCAGCGATATGCATTACTTAAACCTTGTCCCATATAACCTCTCTCTCTGCATCACCTCAAGAGTCATACTGACTCAACCAACCCTATCCAAGTTTGCTCAAATATAAACTCGACCTCTGGTCTCATTTGAAAACCAGAAACACAAACTATACTACTGTCCTCTTCACACGGTAATCTGACCTGATAGACTCTAATCTTAGTAGTAATGAGTTCCTCTGCCACCCGACCTTTCTGGAACTCCCTGCCTCCCGAGATTCGTCTATTGATCCTGGGATGGATCTCCCTCAACTTTGAACGTAAAGAAACGATCAGGGCGTCTTCTCTTGCCACTGTATCCCGGGAGTGGCAGTCCTTCTTCGAGAGGGAGACCTTTCAGCGCATAGCTCTTGCTTCTCCAGACCTGCCCGCGTTTTCCAAAGCAGTTCGAGGGAAGAATGCCATCAGGCTAAGCTATATAAGGAATCTTTACCTGCGCATCAGGCTTGCTGAATACACCAAGCGCATCTACGATAAGCCCGAGAGCGCAACAAACATCAAAGAGTAACTCACGTTCCATCTCCTAGACTTACAAGCGGTGTTGCTGACACTTGGGCAAATAGGAACTTTACGTCCGCCATGACAGTTCTGCTCAACTCGCTGTCGTCATGGGAAGGGACTCATGGAGGTCTTACGCTAGAGATCAACGCGCATTCACCCAGCGACCAGATCTTCCACCCCTCCGAGGAAGAAGTCCACGACGACTACCCAATACGATTTAAAGAGGACCTCAAGGGCTTGCAACCTTTTTTGGAATATCTCCGGGGCAAAGGGGCAGCGCGTGTAACATTCATGACCGTACCACGCAGTGTCGGGCTTGGTGCGGCCCGGCGACTCCGAGGGACACCGCTTGAGCTTCTCCCCCAAAGACAGAAAAGGGGTACAGGTTCGACAAATAATCTCCCACGCACCCCGATAGTAAAGGCACTCGTTCTACGCTGATCATTCTTCAGGGGGATTGCCCCCGAGTCGATTGCCACACTCTTTCGCGAAAGCTTCACAGTCCTGGAGTCGTTTCATTTGCACAGATGGAGAGGGCAGACGGTGAAAAACGAGCTTGAATTTCTTGATGGTATGTCATATCTAGAAGACTTTCTAATTGAGAAAAGAAGACAGCGTGAAGCTAACATCTAGAGCCAGATCTACAAACTTGCTTGATGACCACACTCCCCCCTAGCGTCAGGCGCTTCTCCCTCGACCAGAGCTCGAGGTGGGACTCGTGCAAGTACACGTCCGCCGCCAAGCAATCTGAGGGTTTAGCGCGGCTTATGGCAACATCATGCCATTGCTTTACCGAGTTCTCACCTCCTTTGGTGTTCGATTGTTTCAAGTTCCTGTGGCAACTTGCCCACTGCAAGAAGAACAAAGAGTCGAAGCTGCAGCACCTCACCCTCAGGACACAGCATCTTAGTCCCCGCGGAAGACAAAATTTTGTGACAGATTTTCTAGCCATTGCTGCTCGGGCAGCAATGAAGCTGCCTCGGATCCGGATCCTGGAGATATGGAATTCCGGTCCTGGGTTTGGATTTTTGTTCTGTTATACTCAAGACAGCCACCGAGCCACAATCACCTGGCGTAGCACTGAAAGCGAGTTTGTTTTAATACCCAAGATAATCAGAGCATGGACTGGAGTTGCCTCGAGACGACCACTTTCTATCGAGAGCATCCCATTCACTGAAGCGGATGGAAATGGGACGAGTTTCAACGTCATCTCCATCAATCGCCATTTAGCTCTTCGGAGGTTGGCTTTCGACCCAATCACTGAGGCACAGATTGCAGTCGGTATGGTTCTATGAAGACGCACTTACCTACATCGCCCGGTATCAGTCTGGTGAAAGCCACAGCGTGGCTCTGGCATGCGGTGTAATGAAGCGGTATCTAAGTCAGAATATCTGTTGAACTGAAATCCAAATAGCTTACTTAGAATTAGTATGTTTAACTCGCCCAAATTTGTCTGCCTCTCCGCAGCGGGCGGGAGTAACTCTCGAGGTAGCACCCAAGAGGCCAAAGACGAAGCATTCTCAGCAACATTTTACACCAGCACAAACTTATTAGCTGATCCTTCTCTAAATACAGTTGGAAATTATAATATATTTCTTATCATTTTATTAAACGTATAAGGAATCATATACTAAGTCTTAGATGAGTCAATTAATGCTATCTGTCGTTCTGGTGTGTCTGGGTTATTGCTTGACTGGCGTGCCTGTAGTCTTCGGATAATGAAAGTTCTCAGACCAGATTCAGCCCAGACTTAGAATCTAATATTTACAACACCCCCGGCTCCATCTTGGCATCTAACAGGTGCCCAACCGCAACGCGGCGCTTAAGCCTGTGCTCCTATAGGCAGCCTTACTCGGCTGCATGAGGCTGTGCAGCCGAGAGCCTGAAATGACCCTCCTCCCCCGAAGATTGCTTATTTTCAACCTCTCCATAGCAAACCGACTCGAATTTGTTACCAGAATCTTCAGATTGCTTGTAGTGCCAGCTATACTCACCCGGCAAACATGCGCCTCCTCAACACACAAACCATCGCGGTCGAGACATTTGGCGATGACCAAATCCCTGCATACGCCATCCTGTCTCACACCTGGGAGGTAGAGGAGGTGACTTTCCAGGACATGGAGCTCGGAAAGGCAACAAGCAAAAAGGGCTGGGCAAAGGTCAAAGACAGCTGTTCTATGGCCCGCAAGAACGGATTCGACTACGTCTGGCTAGACACCTGCTGCATCGACAAGACCAGCAGTGCTGAGTTGTCCGAGGCCATCAACTCGATGTATCGTTGGTACCAGGAAGCCGCTGTGTGCTACGCCTTTCTTGCAGATGTTTCTGATCTATCTGGGCTCTCTAGCAGCAAGTGGTTCACCAGAGGATGGACCCTGCAAGAGCTGATTGCCCCGTCGTCAATCATTTTCTTCAGTCAGATTTGGGACGAGCTAGGCACTAAGGAAACCCTTGATCGAGTCATATCAGAACGCACCAAAATACCCAAAGATATTCTCTCTGGAGTTCAAGACTTGGAGATGACCAGCGTTGCGCAGAGAATGTCGTGGGCATCAGATCGAAGAACCACAAGGAGAGAAGACCTTGCCTACTGCCTGATGGGAATCTTCAACATCAACATGCCACTGCTATATGGAGAGGGAGAAAAGGCCTTTATCAGACTCCAAGAGGAAATCATGAGGGTATCAGATGACCACAGCCTGTTCGCATGGAAGTACCCCGACACCCGTGGTGGGCTTCTCGCAGCCAACCCAGCCGCCTTCAAAGACTCTGGGAACATCATTCCCCGGAACCTCTTTATGCCGTACAACAGTCCCTTCACTTTGACCAACAAGGGTGTTCACCTGGACCTTCCCTTCATCGGGTTGGGAGACCGAGGCACAGGACTGGCCGTCTTATCCTGCACCGAGGTTGAACATCCCGACAAACTGGTCGCTATTTATCTGCGTGATACGTTTCTGACCATGGAGCATTTTGAGCGGTGCAAGTGCGAGAAGTTTGAGCTTGTCAGCCTGAGCAAATTTAGGCCTGCAGAATATCCCACCAGAAATTTGTGCATCACATTGCGGGGTCCGAATCAAAGGCTCAAAGGGGCTTCAGATGGCAAGGCTCAAACTAATCCATCGCCCTTATTTGACGAGAAGTCAAATGATGAACCAGACGAACAGATACAACTCTTCTTTGCCATTATCCAAGGCCTTGAGTCTGAGGTGAAGCGGCTTCTCACTCTCCCCAACATCCAGGCAGACTTTGAAAGTGACGAGGGACGTACCCCGTTATCCCTCGCCGCCGAGGCTGGGCACGAGGGCATCGTTAGACTGTTGCTGGACCAACGAAATGTCGATATCAACGCGGGAGGCAAGCAAGGCTTATCGCCAATCACGTACGCCACGAATAGAGGCCACGAGGGGATTGTATGGCAGCTTCTGGCTCGGACCGATATCTCCTCGAGTCCCGGCGAGTTGTTGTCGAGAGCCGCAAGTTGTGGTCACGAGACCTTACTCAGTCAGCTCTTGGCTAGGAGGGATATACGAGAGTATCTTACGACTGGAAACTATGCGTCACTCTTCTCCGATGCCGCTGAGCATGGGCATGAATCCGTGGTTCGACTCCTACTAGGCTTGGGAAAGGTTCATCCGGACCAGGAGAATGATCAAGGCAACACAGCTCTTTGGTTGGCAGCCGTGAACGGACATGAGGCTGTTGTCAAGATGCTGCTCGAAACCGGCTGGGTTGATGCGGACTGCAAGGGTGATGACCGGGCGACTGCTCTCTGGCACGCTGCCAGGAAAGGATACGAAGGGATTGCCAGGTTACTACTCCAGCAAGGCATCGATATAGAAGCGCCAGGGGTAGACGGCCGCTCGCCTCTTTGCGTAGCTTCTTCCAAAGGGCACACTTCTATCGTTAAGGACCTTCTCTTTCATGGGGCGGAAACAAATCCAAGAAGTCGATACGATCGCACGGCGCTGATGGACGCGGTGATAAATGGCCATGAGGCTATAGTGAGGTTGCTTCTTGAGAGCGGCGCCGCCATCGCTACGAAGGTCCGCACAAAAAGCAAGCCTCACACCCATCATTCGGCGGTAGACTTTGCCTGCCAGGCCGACCGTGCGGGCATCCTAAAGCTGCTACTTGAGGGGAGCTCCCCCGGTGCATCAAGGGATGATGATATCCGTGCTCTCTTACACGATGCTGTCGAGAACAGGCATTCTGATATCGTTAGGACGCTCTTGGAGGCGACAGAGTTCAAGCAATCGGTCCTTCAACCGTTCCACCTCGTCGTGGCAGCCATCAACAAGGACCAAGCCATGGCAGAGGTTCTACTTGAAAACGGCGCAGAAGTAAACTCTGAATGGAATGGGAGCCTGCTCCTTGGCTTTGCTGTTAAACAGGGCTGCGACGAGATCGCCAAGGCCATGTTGACAGTGCCCTGTGAACAAGGGTGGAGGGCTGATGTCGAAAGTCGGGTCAAGACCCTTGGGTTAGGCTATAACGTCGGCCGACACGAGTCAGATATACCGACACATACGATACCACTCAGGAGGCAAGTCAACTGGTACATGATGACCCCACTGTGGTGTGCTACCGTCAACGGGCACGAGGAGATGGTTCAGCTGCTGCTGGAGCATGGCGCCAATCCCAACAATGTGGTACATACCTCGGGAAGCCCCAGTCACATGAGAGAAAGCAGTACAGCGCTCTTTGAAGCTATTAGGCTGGGCTACGAAGATATCGTACGCCTGCTACTCTCAAGCGGTGCCGATCCAAGCCTTAACACCGATGACGGCTTTTCGCCCCTTGTCCAGGCTGCATTCATTGCGACTGACAAGCGCGTGGCCGTAATCCAGAGGCTCCTCGAGGCGGTGTCAGGGGCTACCAGGACGAAACCCCCTTGATTTTCGCCGCCAGGTTGGGCAACGTGGATCTAGTCAAGCTCCTGTTGAGGCATGGGGCCAGCCGCGAGGCCAAGAACGTCAGGGGTGAAACTGCAATTGATTACGCTTCTAACCATGATTCTATGAATTTTCTTCGATAAAGTCTTCTAAGAGGCTTGACTTCACAGCACGCCATGTAATGAACTTTTTTGCAGTCTGTATCTGAGTTCTCTGAATATATTGCCCATTACCTCCTATTTTATACGGAGCCAAAAGAGTATTCACTTCACACCAAGTACCAAGCTAACCAGGCCTTTGCTTTCATGAGTCGTTGTACGGTCTACCAAGAGGAGCAATATTACCTGAAAGCAGTTTGACTTAGTGAGCAAAACGGAAATCCTTGCGCTTGCTTCCAGCATCCGTCGTAGTCTCGAGGTAGTGAATTTGCTCCTACACATGGGTTAGCACTCCATTGATAGATGAGGCGTGCTGGATTATTACTTACGTCCTTGCTCAGCGCATTCCATGCTTGGTCTCTCTGCTTGTTGCGCCAGATGTAGTAACCCTTGCCAAGTAGATAGATGACAATGTTGGCAGCGCAAATAGCTGTAAGTTGTTTGTTGCCACGACGGTCTAGACAGTCAGTTAAGTGACTAACGACAAGTTGATGCTTCTGGAAACTTACAATGGGGTCTATCATCAGCTCGGTAGATGTTTGCGTGAATGATTCCTCCAACTTGAACAAACATGCTTTGAAAGGCATTAGCATCAGAGACCTTGGAATGGTTGATCTGGTCTTCTTACTTGTATAAAGCAGCAGAAACAGTTCTTGTTCGGACAGTGTTGGAGTTTCGGCTACACCAACCGACCTGAATAGCGTGTGCTGTTTACGAGTTAGATAAGAACACCATTTTGAAATTCCTGAAACTCACTTGACGGATACGATAGCAACACAGTCAGAACTGCAAACTTGGCCCATGAGCCAACAGAGTCTGGCAAGGTCAAGAGGGCGATCAGGGTGGGAAGAACCCAGATTTGAGCGAAAACACCCATCAGCGATCTTTCGTTCCAGATCTCGGAAAAGTAGGTCAAGACTAGCATCTGCACGACCGCATTAGCATGGTGTTCCTAAGAAGGGTACTGACAGGGAGAATCTTACAGTAATGGCACCAAGAACCTGAGTCGGAATAGTAAGCAGATTCGAATCAAAGGTCGAAAAGCCAATGTTTCGAAGAGTCAAAGTCAGGTACGCATCCGGAGGTCCGGTAGGAATCAGGAACGTAAGACCAATGATGTACATCGGCCACAAGTCATAGTCGCACAGAGACTTCCAGAGTAGTTTAAAGTTCACGGCCTGTCGGTTATGCATGTCGCCCTTAGAGGGGTCGTCCCTGAGGATACGGTTGACCATGATGATCTCCTCACGCTCGTCGAACCATCCCTTCTTGTTCCACCAGGACTTTGTTTGGGTTGGGGAGGCAACCATGGTGAACCAGGACCAGATGCCGACTAGCAAGGTGAGGATACCTTCAAGGAGGAAGAGCCATCTCCAGCCTTCTTGGCCGTGAAGACCACGGAGGCGCAGCAGTCCAAAGGCTAGGATTGGAGCAACAATGTCGGTGACTCGCAGACTTGTCCAGAATAGAGCCAGACGGAAGGGCAACTCTGTGCCCTTGAAGAAGTACGACTAGAAGAAATTTGTTAGAATAGCGCTCATTGAATTCTTTCGTCGGGTGTAACATGCCAGATACAAGATCACATCAGGGATGAAACCTCCCTGGAGTAGTCCTAGTAGAACACGGCAAACCAAGAAACTGGTTCTACCACTCAGCCAGAACTGAGAAGCTGCAACAACACTCCAAAGACACATAATTGTTGGAATCTAGTAGGAAGTCAGTAATACTACCAAAGAGTTTGATGTCTCTATCATACCCATCGATCAGGTCCCAACTTCTTGCTGATAAGTTGAGAAGGCAGTTCAGCGCACAAGAACGAAAGTCTGAAAACAGTGTTGCCCAAGTTGAAATCTGATTTTGGTCAGTCAAACAAAGTCTCTCAAGGTGATTCAAGACAGTCTTACCGTTGGTGCTCAAGCCGAGATCATCCAGAAAGTTGTCAGTGTTGGCCTGGCTGAGATTTCCTCTATCCAGGTCCAAAGCAAAGAATGCAACACAGGCCCAAGCCGTAATCTTCCAATCAAGTTTGTTGATCAGAGGCTGTATAATGTTAGCCAGGGAGTAGACATGTCAAACTTGTTACTTACAAGCTCCTCTGCCCAAGTCCATCTCGCAGATGGGTCAAAGCGATGCAAGTTCTCGTACTTTTCGGTCGGTTGAAAGTACTTGGCGAGCGCGGGATCATCATAAACAGATGGCTGTGTGGCAATCTCTTCCAACTGAGGATGGAACTTCTTGCCTCGGAAGAGAGTCGTGATTGGAAGGACAGGAGGCTCAGTCTTTTGAAGCTCCTGCTGCTCGAGAATCCGTGCTCTCGCGGCCTGGATATCCTCTTCAGACTGAGAGTTGTCGGCTGCGTTATCGTAAGCCACAACAGTCTCGGGCTTGCCCGACGAGGAGTCGTCGCTCTTCTCCTTGATGGCCATTCTCTGCTGTTTTTCTTGAGGGGATGTTGAGAGATCTGGCGTTGTAGAAATCGATCGACAGGGCAGCGGACGAGAGATTAAATAACGGTTCCAAGTTCCAACAGGCCGGTAACGGGTCTCGGCCGACGAGCCTTGCTATTGTTCCGACGAGACGAGGATCAGATTACGACAGGATGGGCTTGATCTCGCCATAGTTCACCAGAGACGCCGGGATAGCCCAACTCAGCCCGAGACCGATTGCGAGGTTGACGGGAGACGAGTACCGGGACTGAGAAGGCCAAGGATAACGCAATCATTGGGACTTTAGGTCACATTCTGGGAACAAGACGGACAGCTCATATTATGCGATGCATGGCGATATGACGGGATGAAGTCTTGGACTGGACTTTGTCTCGAGCTGTATGGTTATGCTACCCATGTTTGGAAATCTTTCCGTAACTATGGTCTTGGCAAAGCTAGCTCGAGATAACCGCGTTGTTGCCACTGGGTTGCAAAGCAGGCTCAATCAGAGACGAAATTATTGGTTCAGCCACCATGAGACAGTTCCCAAGCAGCCACACTCCGAGGAAATGGTCACTCTTCTTTGCACAGGGGTAGTGTGAAGCCGGGGTGACTACCGAAGCTCCCCGAGTGGGGGCACACGCTCTAGAGAACGCCATGAATCAAGCTTAATCCTACTCCATGCGCCATGTTTAGTTCTGCTCTGGGTCAAAAGCATACCTGGAATGATGCTTTACAGGCAGCATGCAAAGAAGAGAGCCTTGTCTCACAGGAGACGCCCAAGTCGCGCCATATTGAGAATTGGACGCTCTGAGGAACACTCAACGCTGTGGTTGTAACCGAAATGTTTCTCGATTTGTCTTCTTGCTTTGATTCCATCCCAATGTAACAATGAGGTTGTATTGCGAATAGAACCCCGGGGATTGGCTTAGCCTCGTTGTCCAAGTGTGGGTTTGGATGGCGCAACACCATTTTAGTATGACCTCTTATTCCAACCCCCTGATACCCAAGACCAGCCACAATTCGTAACTTGACATTGCTGCAAGAAAAACTGTACACGAGGATATGTTCTTTATTGTCAATTTAAACGTATTGGGACGCTTAGCTGTGATGAGAATTCAAGTAGAGACTGACAGTGGTCACTCCAAAGTCGAGGTACTCAAGGCGATGGCGCAACGGATCGACATCTCGACGTGCGTTTCATGACATCTTGCGATATTGCCAAGACGCCAATCATTGAGCAGGTCCATTTACCGAACCCATGGGGTAGCTTCGGACATGTATGTTCCCAACTCAATTCGGCGAATCTTGTGATATCCTTGACAGCGTGGGGGTTATCAGAGCCCAAGGTTCCAACCTTTGCACCATACAGACTAAGCATGATTAAACGCTAACAGGTGTCATGTTAGAAGATGGCTGAGAGCTTCAAGCTTGGCAGATGTGAGAAGGCCTGCTTCTGTGAATTGACCCCGCGATGTTGCCATCAACGCTCCATGTGGCATCTGCCAGCAGACCGGTTTCCGGCCGGTCGGTACCTTCGGGCTCGGCCCCGGTGGCGAGCAGAAGCGGCAGTACATATTCCCGACAGTCCGATACAGTCAAAAGTTATTGCTCCGGAATCCTAGAGGGAAGTGGTATCCGATCAAGGGTGGTATGCTTGTCAAGTCACGGGAGATGCCAGACCTACCACGGCTATCCATGGCTATCTGGGATGCAAATGAGACCAATTACTTGACTAAAATAGGGCTGGTGAGTGAGAAACAGTTCCATGCCAAGTTATTACCTGAATGGACTTGGTTTATCAGCTGTCGCTCTGCAAGCTAGTCTCTCTTCAAGTCTACAGCCTCCCTAATGCAACTTGAAAAGCATTAGCCGATATCCCGATACTCTCAAGGGTCACTTTAGCTGTACAGATGTACACGAACCAAGCAAACACATTACTATGCGTTTTAACCGAGGCGAACCATGGTGCACTTGGGACTCGAAGTGACATGTGGCCAACATGGCGCAAGATGAGGTGATGCATCTTCAAAGGAGGGTGGCACACAACCATAACTTGCTGGATTCGATCACGACCTCAGTTTGTTATTTCTGACTGAATCTAGTCTCATGTTTAGGAAGTAACTAATGCGTATTGGATGGTTGATGGTAACGCACCGCACCTCCTGACGCAAACCGAGAGACCTCGCACCTCATCTTCCGTGTGTTTTGCTGACGAATCAATACTGCGCGGGGTATCAAGACGTATTATTGATTGTGCTGATAGATAGGGATACTGTATTTCAGCTAAGTATAAAGATACAGAGTTTATCCCCTTCTTGAGGAGATGCAAGCCACAGCAGTGACACTGAACACTTTGAAAACGCAGTGATAATAAGCCCATACCTTGATAAGCAAACAACTTCATAAGAACAATGTCTCCTCCCGCTGCCGAAATCGATGTTCAGACGACTGCACCGGCAGTCCAGCCGGTCACCAAGACCGTTGTTGGCACCAAGAGCAGCGGTACCAAGAGCAACAGCGCCTCGCGTCTGGACGGCCCTCTCACCTATTCCGGCAGCCTCGATTCCGAGGAGCAGTTTGATGTCACTGCCGTAATCGGCCGAGAATTTCCTAAGCTGCAGCTTAGTGAGATTCTCAAGGATGACACCAAGCTGAGAGACCTGGCGGTCCTTAGTACGTTTTGTTCCACGTCCCCTATCACGAACGCGCAAAAGGGGTTTGCTAACACAAGTGTAGTTTCTCAGCGAGGTGTCGTTTTCTTCCGCAACCAGGACATCAACATTGAAGATCAGAAGTATCTCGGCCAGAGACTCGGTGAACTGACAGGAAAGCCAGAGACCTCCAAGGTGAGACTTGCTTGAATGTGCTCCTAAAGACGAGACTCATCAGCGGATAGCTCCACCGCCATGCCCTCTCTAACAGCAAGCGTGGTATCGCCGTCGATGAAAATGGAAAGCTCGACGACGAAGTTTCAGTCATCTCATCCGAACAGAACCGAAAGTTCTACAGTGACCGCTTCTCCTCCTTGTCTAGAAGCCTGGCTGGAGAAGGCTGGCATGCAGAGTAGGTGGCACCTCGTGTACGAGTCACCAAATCAAAGTCCTGACATTAGTATACAGCATCACATTCGAGAATATCCCTTCCGATTACGCTATCCTAAAGATTATCCAGCCCCCTGAGGACGTTGGGGGCGATACTCTGTGGGCCAGTGGCTACGAGTTGTACGACCGTCTGTCGCCGCCCATTCAGAAGCTGGCCGAGAGCCTCACGGCGACTCATCACCAGCCCAACTTTGTGCGTGTCAAGAATGAATTCGGCCAGGAGTTGATCGATGAAAACCGTGGCTCTCCTGAGAATAATGGCCTCGACTTCAAGGCTGAACAGTATGTACTAGGCCGACAGGTGAATTGGGCTGAGTCACTGACACATATAGTCCTGTCATCCGGACGAACCCTGTTACGGGATGGAAGAGCTTGTTCGCTGCTGGACACCAACTCACAGCTGGGCATATCAACGGCGTGACCGAGACGGAGAGTGAGATTCTCAAGAACTACTGTAAGTCAAAACTAAGCCCACCTCTCTGTGATGTCGTCCGCTTACTCACCGCCAAGTCCGCCAACTCATCACGGAGAACCACGACCTCCAAGTTCGATTCCGCTGGGGCAAGAATGATCTGGCCATCTGGGACAAGTAAGTCAAATCCTTGCAAGATTTCAGCCGTCGTCAAATTGGGAAACTAATCGGGGGTGCCACACAGCCGTTCTGTGTTCCACACTGCTACCAAGTAAGTACAATTTTCCGATCTTCTGGAGCCACAGCATGCTGATTAAGGACACAAGTGACTACATTGGGAAGCGCCAAGGAAACCGTGTCGTGTCGCTTGGAGAGAGGCCGTACTTTGACCCAGCTTCAAAGTCGCGAAGGGAGGCACTCGGGGTTGCCCAGTGAGCTATCAACCAGAGACATAGTTGGTCCAGAATAAACATTTTCATTTAAACTTGGAATGTATATCCTTTCGAAGCAATTTCGTTAAAATCGGCCGTGTGTGTCCAAGAGCTGGGGTCATGTGCCAGCCTTATCTTATCCCTTGAGTGAGATGCTATTCCAAAGGACCCGACCTCGACAAAACGAGCTGCACCGTGTCACGCACAAGTTACACAGATGACATGGCAAAGGATGAGCCCCTGAGTGTCCAAGTCGACAATGTTTCGTTTGGTCTTATTGCTGGTCGCGAAAATTCCACGACGTTGGGATGATCAGGGGGGTTAAGCCAGGAGTGGCTTAGTGACCCCCGCTTGCCCCATCTGTGCAACGCGCTTTCCTTCGAGATCTCGTTTGATTGTGCATCGTTAGGGCAACCGCATTCTCATCACGTTACAGCGATGCGTGCGTCGTACAGTGCAGCTAACGTAGATTGGAGCAGAGATCCAATGTGAGATGTCAGGAAGCTAAGCATCGATGGATACAGCAGTTTTCAATGGAGATGGACCAATGCAATACTCATGCCTAGGTACGCATTTATTCATGATTCGTTAGGTCATAGCTGGAGGTCTCATTTGTGTGTGCTCAGAGGCAGGTGCCTCGGCCCAAATACCAGCTCGAGCCAAGCCCACAACATCAAGAGAGCTATGGCGGGGAACAGTCCACGTTAATATCGGACAATGCTTACAGAATGATGCAGCATCTTTGTATCCCCTGAGCAGGGCTTGTGTTGCCTGAAGAAGTGCTTGTGCAACTGCCAACTTGGACGGCATGGCTCGTCTCACAACCAAATAGACAACAACTGACGTCGTCCTCGTCCGACTTGGATGAGATGCATATGACGATAGAGCAAACTGCACCAACGAGCAATTCTCAGTTAATATATCTGAACCTTCTCCTTCGGGTAGAGACAGGTCCTCCCACCGCCCAGCATGACTTAGATTGCCAATGATTGACCAGGAGCTGGTCGGGTGATCGCACAGTGTCGACGTCCATGCTAGCAGTGGAGGCATGGATGCGCTGCAAGGGACGAGCTGCAGCGGGAGGGCCAACGATTTATGCCCTACAAGCGAGGGCCTCGGTCGAGCTGAGAGTGGGCAGCGGCGAATTTTGCACTGGGCCAGGTCCAAGCTCCTCCACTGTCCAGGTCAGGTACATCAACCACACGAGGGCCCGCACTTGCAGAAAACCTCGACTCGACAAGCGCGTCAATGAATTCTCTCTTCTCCCGCACCGCACGCACATCACCACGAATCTTTTCAATATCCTCCATCGCCCTTTCTTGCGCATCCCTCGCAAGATACTCACAGGTACGCGCTCTCTATTTCTCTACTCGTCGTGTCAAAAAGTCTACCCCATCGCCCGCGCCATTGCCCTCCATCTCATCCTCCTCACATCCATCATCCATTTTGGCCCTGGCCCTCAAATGCTCGAGCAGCTGGAGAAGTTTGCTGGAAATCTCTGCACCCCGCCCCCGCCTGCCTCTTTCAGCCTCCGCGGCGTTCTCAGAGTGGGCACAATACTGGGCTGTGGTCCTGGCCAGGCCTGTCGGTAGAGACTCGACCGTTATCGAAACGCTCTCTGCATCCAGTCTCAACCGTTACTGCACCATCATTCCCACGAGACGCACGCATTGCTTGCGAGTCGGCTGCATACCTCGAGTGCGCCTTCTAAACTCTTTCTCTTCAAGATTGCGGGCGGTCTGCTTGTTCTTCGACTCCCCCAGAAAAGCCCCTCCCCCTCTTCCGTCACCACTCATCAACCCCTCGCCAATCTTTTGCCTCTATCGGATCTCGGGGGCTGCTGACCGCACTAGCTCAAGCCATCCTCTTGACGCTGAAAAGCAATTTCAACAAGCAGCTGGCTTCCGTTGCTAACTTGAACTCTCAGAAAACCTCCTCACGCTACCCTTCTAAACTCGGCAAAATGGATTACCAGCAGCCTCGTGGTGCCTGCTACTCTTGTGAGTGCCATAGCCCTTCTGACAGCCATTTACACAACTTCCCTCACAACTGAGTCGTTCCTCGGCACCCCTCACACTTTGCGACAGGCCGTCACCCATGATTTCGCATTGAGCGCTTCAGGTGTCTGGCGGCTTGCTCGCTCTGGCGTGAGAGGTGCTATGGTACCTTGACGTGTCCATTGACATTTCTCTGGTCGGTTCTGTGCCATTTCATGGCCGCTGTGCCGGCTTGGCGAGGGCTCATTGACCTCGTGAGATACGGGTCAATGCGCCGACTTCACTTTTCCTTACCACTTATGCCAGAGACGTTCTAGAACAGATGCTAACTACAACACAGGCGGCTCTACCGGCCACCAGGTATGGCATGTGGTCTCGCGTCATTGTAATCCGCTCACTGTTTCATTTAGGCCCGTGACTGCCCTACCAAGGGACCTGCTAAGTGGTAAGAGACCATGGCCTATCCCATATCTGTTTCTCCTGCTAACTGACATTTCCCAGCTACAACTGCGGTGGTAAGACGAAGTGAAATCTTGAACCTAGAACACCGAGAGCTAACTTGTTTTGTGAATAGGCGAGGGCCACATGAGTATGCATCCTGTCGCCATTCAACCAGACTTGAACTAACCCATGACATTAGGCCGTGACTGCTCTGAGCCCATGAAGGACAACAAGTCCTGCTACAAGTGCGGTCAGCCCGGCCACATCTCCCGCGACTGCCCCATGAGCGGTGGCAGCGGACAGGCCACTGAGTGCTACAAGGCAAGTCTTTATCATTATCACCTACATTTCTCCACTAACCAGATTGTAGTGTGGTGAGCTCGGCCACATTGCCCGCAACTGCACCAAGGCCTCCTTCGGCAACTCCTACGGTGGTAGCGGTGGCTTCAGCGGCGGTGCCGGCAAGACCTGCTACTCTTGCGGTGGCTACGGCCACATGTCTCGTATGCTCACTCTCTCCAAACACGCGGATTCTGGCTAACCAAGTGTAGGTGAGTGCGTCAACGGCATGAAGTGCTACAACTGTGGCGAGTCTGGCCACTACTCCCGCGACTGCCCCAAGGAGTCCGCTGGTGGCGAGAAGATCTGCTACAAGTGCCAGCAGGCTGGTCACGTCCAGGCTCAGTGCCCCAACAACTAAAATGACGACTCGTATCCTCCCGGATCAACGATGGGAGAAGGTTGACGTGGCGACTCCTTGATACCCACGGACGATTTTATTTTCTTTGTTCATTCTCAGCATTTTTGACAAAAGTTCATCTTCTCGCATGACGTTAATGATCATCACGGCAAAAATGGCGGCTTTACGGAAAACAACCATTACGCAAATCTCGATAAGGCTGGCGGTACCCGGCCCGGATTGGAACATGTCAGCATTGGATTTCGTCCCATAATGAACGACTTCGACCACGCAGACGACTCGACTTTGAGGAGAGTGACGGATGGTGACGGGTGATGAGTGACGAGATCAAAAACATGGCGGCTTGCGAGCGAGGGCCCGGCGTCTCCGACGCTGTGGCTACTTGCCGTTGGTGGAGAGCCCAAGCTGAGAGCGCAGGGTGTGCTCCTTTGGTAGTCAGGACGAGATGAATTGTGTTGATCCCGATGTTGACGGGAGATTGAATCTGGTGTGACTGTTTACGTGTCTTGGTGTTGTCGACCTTTGCCCCTGCCTCAGCAGTCAGGGGGTGTAGGCCGTGGCTGGAGTGCAGCTTGGCAAGTGAATTTATTGCCGGTCAGCGAGGGACATTGGCAGACCGGCAAGGTCAACCGCGTCGGCTGTCTGGTCTGTCGGGGCTAGCGCTGGTGCAACGATCATCGACTTCGTTGTGGACTCATCACAGAGAACAGTCACGATACGCCTTCGGTCACCAACTTTGGACTACAGCATGGAACTTCTGGATACGACAGTGGAAATCTGGGTCGAATACAAAACGCTTGGTGGCATTATAAATACAGGCGAGAATCGGAAACCTATCCTCGGAGACAACCTTACAACATGGCCTTGGGGAAGTTTCGCATAGCCTGCCTTACGCCCAGATCGCCCAACACCTCTTCCGCACCTCCGAGGATGGCGTCGAACTTGTATGTTCGGTGGAACATCTCGATGAACTTGCCCATGCCGGTTTGTGTGAGACCTCGGCCGCCCCAAATTTGCACGGCCTCGTCGGCAATCTCGTGGGCAGCGCGAGTGGCGCTCATCTTGAGCAGACCAATGGGGCCGGCGAGGTGCTGTGCCTGCTGCTTGTAGGGCATGTGGCACATCTGGTAGGTAACGGTTTCGAGCCAGGACTGATTGGCCTCGACCAACGCAATCATCTTGGCGAGCCTAGAGAGGAGTTAGATCAGAAATGAGTCTAGAAGGCTGTCATAGGCGAGCTCACTTTTGGCGGATGACGGGCTGGTCAATGAGCTGCTTGCCAAACACCTGGCGCTGGTTCGACCACTTGAGACACTCCTCGACAATAGATCGCGACATGCGAAGACTGCCGCCTATTGTGAATTGTCAGCTCAGGCCTTGGATATCGGGAGGTATGAGAATAAGACTTACAAACCATCATCCACCGCTCGTGGTTGAAGTTGCTAAGGATGACGTGGATACCCTTGTTCTCCTGACCAAGCAGGTTCTCTACTGGGACCTTGACATTTTCGAATGTCACGTAGGCCGTGCCAGCGGCGGGAGAGTAGGATGTCTTGATGGCCTTGGTCTCGACGCCCTCTCCGCGCTCGATGAGGACGACACTCAAGCCCTTGTCAGTTCGAACACCCGTGACGAAGTAGTCTGCCCAACAGCCGTTGGTGATCCACTTCTTTGTTCCGTTGACAATCTGTCTCGCGTTAGATACCTTACGTTTGAACAGGATCGGAGCGGTATCCTACATAGTGCTTTCCATCAGGGGTCTTTTCGGCCGTGGTTCGCAGTCCAGCAACGTCTGAACCGGCAAACGCCTCGGTGATTGCAAGGCACAGCTTCTTCTTGCCGCTAAAGACCTCTTGGGCGATCTTGTTCTTCCACGCCTCATCGTGCGCATACTGGAGGACTGCTGTCAAGCCAATGGTCATACCCGCCATGTTGCCATCAGCGAAGCCTCTAGCCATGGCCCTGGCCAGCTCTTGTCCCACAATCAAGTCGTGGAAGTAGTCAAACTCTTCGCCCTTGACTGCGCCGCCCATGAGCTCGACCCCGTGGAGGTGTTTACCGGGACCGAGTCGCATGTGCAAGATTCCGAGCTCGCTCATGCGATCAATCATCGCCTGGCTAATGTATCGTCCTGTGGCCTCGCATTCCTGCGCCTCCTTGTACAGCTCGCTATCGACAAACTCTCTCAGCTTGCGCTGCAGACGCTTATGGCTGTCGCTGTAGTAAGGCGAGCGGAACGGCGGCGCGAGCCACAGAGGTTCCGCATAGGGAACCTGGCTGAGGTCGCCGGGCTGCGGGGTGATGACCTGGGGCTTTTCGCCCTCGATGGTACCGACGACGAGACGCTGGTTCCTCGTAAGGACCTCGTGTCGGTGCAGGTTGTAAAAGGCAGCGGTAGCATCTTGGCCGGCGACCTGACGGAGGACGGTCTCGCCGCCGGGGTGGGCGTCGACGAAGTCGGTGAGGTCGTAGACCTTGCTGTCGATGATGCACCAGAGGGAGTCCTCTGTCGTGTGCGAGCGGACCTCCTCGCGGGAGAATGTATCTGTAGGAGGACTCATGGCTGTGATAATCTACACGTCTAGCAAAGAAGCGCTTTAGACAAGACCAAAAAAAGGGAGAGGTTTGCAAGACAGAAAAGGATCTAGATCTGGGTAAACAAACAAAATCTACGTTGGACCCCAGATTTTAAATCATGCCCAGCCCGGCTTGTCTCTCTCCCTTGGCCTGAGCTGACGTCGAGCCTCGGCTCCGAACAAAGCGGACCCTCCTCGATGATGTTTCCCCAGCAAAGGGGGTGACAATAGGAGGCGTCTGATTGGCCCGGACGGGGCTTACTTCCATTTTGCGGGGGCGGGGCCGGAGGCTGGGCATGCACATGATGGGACGATGGGTGAGGAGGAGAGGGCAATTGTTGGTTTCACCCTGGGATTGATCCTCGGCTGTTTTTTTTGTATTCTAGGGCCGGGGACTTTGGGGAATCGCGGTCTAAAAATGGTGGATGGTTGACGTTGAGACCAGCACGTTCTCTGGAGAGTGCTGTGCGAGAGAAGGCATCAATTGACGGCGCGTTGAGTTCAAAGGAACAGGCCCTGGCAGTCAGTCAAATCAGGCCAAGTCAAGCCCTGCCTCGTTTATTACTACAGTACCTAACGATAGCACAACCTTGCTTTATTCGAGTGAAGCTCGAAGCATGGATCGCGAACCTCCACTGTTGTTTATCACCACCCACTCCTCTAATCTGTGAAGCCGACCCAGGCCGAACACAGTGATTTTTGCTCACCTCAAGTTACATAAAGGGGCCGTAGCAAGTTAACGTCAACAGAGATTAAAGAATTGAGCGCCCGTGAGGTGAAGCCGCCTTGGGATGTATCGTGCGTTCACTGTGCCCGCACCAACAAGAATTGAACGATCGCCAAACAGGTCTGACGGCTTTCTTTCACCACTTGGCAATACAGATATCCACCACAATGAAAATACTCCAACTGGACTAGACAGGGTCATCAAGGAGCCATACAATAAGATCCTTTGGGTAAATCAATTGTCTTCCCACTGTTCGTACAACTACCTCCCTAGAGTGGGGGAGAGCAAATCGCATCGGCTGTACAAACCACCATCAATAACAAAAGTCGCAATAAGGCTATTCATGTTTAAAAACATTTAAATAATATGAAGCAAACTCTTACATAGGAGAAGGCATTGCTCAGATATTATGAACGCGCTCGAGTTCTCGAATTGAGGTTGTCTTGAGAGTTGGAGAGTATCAGCTGGCGAAAAGAAGGGACACATTTATGCCGTTAGAAATACAGCCAGAAAAAGCTAGACATTTAGACTCAAGCGATAAAAAGCCTATTTAGCATTGACCACACGTTTTAGAGATAGGAGTAAGCCAGATCTTTCGCCCATCTTAGCCGTGTCTCAGGGTATACTTCAACCGCTGCGTGACCCTGTTCAGCTCATGCAGCTTACGGTCTCAGACGAGGATTGCCCTGCAACACCCAAACTCCCAGAGCCTCGATCATGCGTGGGAGGAACTCTGAACCCTTGGAAATCCCGCCTCAGCGCTAAAGCAGGCCCAGATTTGAAGACGGCCAAAAGCGGGGAGAGCAGCCTCACTGTCGCCAGCTTCAACGCACAGCATGCGAACAATAGACGGTTGGAGCGCATGTCGGGTTCCATAGTGACTGAGATATGAGCACTTGCATATGAACTAGCAGGTACGGAGTATCGGGGACCAAATCGATGTTCGTGTAGATCGCTCCACTCGGTGCTGTCTCACCTCCGGCATTGCTTTAGATATATCTTGGCTTACCGTAGGAGTCCGGGCCGGTCCGGGTTTGGGGGGAATTGGTAGATTCGATGCCAGAGTCTGTTTGGAGCCAGAGTGCATGGCTTGTTCAGCACTGTAGTTGTGAATGCCATACTGGTTGATATCTATGAGATACCACTATGTGCACAGTCATGGGGCTAGCTTCTCCACACAACCCGGAACCCGCTCCGCCTTCAACCGATAACAGCCTTTGATCCATTGGATCCATTCATGACTGGACATCTCAAAGCTCTTCTCTCTCTTCTTTGCAGAAACGTCGTCCCAGGCTATGAGACATTCCTTGTGCTACGCCGCTGCCACTGTGCTTAAACCTCGACTCTTATCGCTCGCCAAGTACGTCACTAACCGTTTTTCTTCTACCCCCGCCTCCTCCCTATAATTTCCGACGGTTCCTGGGCGGCCCTTGGTCCCGGCTCGCGAGTTCTGAGTCGCGGGACAAGTGCCCTCTCTTCTCCCGAAACCACGCCTGGCTTGATATGGCAGGATCTGGATCTAGAATGGACCCTTTGAGGGGTGCCATGGAGGCCAGCCTGACAAACGACGCGTCCTCCCTCCTCCCCGTGTTCCCATGAGCACTTGTTCCCGTGCCGTCATTGGCTTGTCTCTTGTCCTCTTTGCTGCTGTCACTCTTTTTTCTTTGGTCGCCCCCCGAGCCCACATGGGGGTTGGTTAATAAGAAAAAGGGAACTTGCAGGAAGCTGCGAGATATGCGCATCACTGGGGACTATGCCCGCCCCGTTCGCCTCACTTGCCCTTGTCGCTTCCCGCTGAGCCTCCTTATCAGCGCGGATTTGCTCCAATGGCGGTTTCGCCGCCTGTTGAGTCAGGGCTTTTTGATGCTAGGAACACGAGGGCGTTGATGGCGGCGTCTGCCCCTACGCCCGCTCACTCCCCGTGGTCGTTGGCTGGTTCTCGGTCCTTGATCCGCCTTTGTGTTGGCTCCTCTCCTCGCCGTGTGTCCCCTCGACTTGCCTTGGCCTTGCCTCGTTTCGTCCTCGGGTTCTACGACTGAAGGGTTTCCGGCCTCCACATGGTGAGCGACTTTCCAACCTACCATGGAGCTCCAGAGTCGCTCGCCTCCATCCCTCACAGAACAAGACCCAAGAGCTCCCGAGACACCACGCGCTCCGGTTCCCTTCCCCCCATCAAGTGGTGGATATTTACCCCCCTCGTGATCGTCATTGTCACGATATCTATCCCTTTTTGAGTTGTCATTACGGAGTACTCACCTTGCTTTGCCTACTCGTGGGACTTTGGTAGCCAGCTAGACCCAACCTTGCCTTACCTGACTGTCCATCTTGTGACCTGCCTGTCAAATCTCCAAGTTTATATCCCCCAGCCAGCCTCCAGCCAAGCGTGGATCGGCCTACACCCACACACCCTATCATATATCGTTGATTCCCTGTCAGCCTATCTTGACTACGCTTTGATACTGGAAGCCCAGCTCATCTCAGTCTCAACCAACTCTGACAAACTCACGTACAATTTTAACCAGTGTTACTACTACACCTCAACCTTTCCAGCATGGATGCTTACTCTATATGTTGCACTAGTCCTTCCGCCAGGAATACCTCCAAGATCTATCAAGATTTGTGGTCTACCCGCCTGCACACCCAGGTTGACCTCGGCCAAGACAGACTCTTGAGGAAACTCGCTACCATGGAAGGCTTCAGACAGGTAAGTGAATCGTGCATGTTCTTGCAATAGTGAGCGAGACTTCTGGTCCTATTGACCTCTTGCGTCTCCACCGGCGTTTGCGGCAATAATCCAATCGGTACAGCTCTCATCCTCATCATCCGCTCGGGCAGATACAATTCTGAACATGGCTGACAAGATGCTCGCAGCGCTGGAAGGGCGATCTTGCCTCAAAACCTCACGTTGCTGTGGTCGGAGCCGGACTCGCTGGGCTCCGATGCGCAGACATCCTCCTGCAGCATGGGTTCAGGGTCACAGTCATTGAGGCCCGCAACCGTGTTGGAGGTCGCCTACACCAGGAGGTGCTCCCCAACGGACGCCTTGCCGACGTTGGACCCAATTGGATCCACGGCACCAATGACAACCCCATGCTGGACCTGGCTAAGCAGACAAATACTGCGGTTGGCAGCTGGGACTTGACTTCATGCGTGTTTGACGAAGATGGTGAACTCTTCTCTGTTGAGGATGGAGAGAAGTACTCGGATGTAATGTGGCAGATTGTGCAGGATGCCTTCAAGCACTCCAACAACTCGTCCCAGGACATTGATCCCAAGGAGAGCCTTCACGACTTCTTTGTCCAGAAAGTGGCCGAGAAGATCCCCAGCACCGAGAAAGACTCCGAAAGGAAGCGAAGCATTGTCATGCAAATATCCGAGCTGTGGGGTGCCTTTGTTGGAAGTCCCATCTACCGACAAAGCTTAAAGTTCTTTTGGCTTGAGGAGTGCATCGAGGGAGGCAAGTTTGAAGCAGAGCTCATTTCAGAACCCAACTAACACTCGCCAGAGAACCTTTTCTGCGCTGGCACGTACAAGAAAGTGTTGGATGCTGTCGCTAAGCCTGCGATTGAGGGCGCCAAGATCAAGTTCCAGACCAAGGTTGAGACGATATCGTACCGAACCGACCCTGAGGACAAGGCCAAGGTTCAAGTCAACGGCGGTCAAACTCTAGAGTTTGATGAGGTTGTCGTCACGGCCCCTCTCGGATGGCTAAAACGAAATCTGGCCGCTTTCGAGCCTGCGCTGCCTGCTCGCATGACCAAGGCAATCGACGCGATTGGGTACGGATGCCTAGAAAAGGTACGTTGTCATGATTCTCATCGGGACGCACGGTGATACTCAAACAGCTACTACTTAGGTTTACATCACTTTCCCCAAGGCCTTCTGGCTCGCTCGTGAAGGCGACAACCGAAAGGCTCAGGGTTTCGTACAATGGCTCTCACCCAACTACGTGACCGAGTCAAATCCGAAGAGATGGAATCAGGAAGTCGTGGAGCTTGCTAGCCTTACGCCGGAGACGTCACATCCTACCCTCTTGTTCTACACGTACGGCGAGCAATCGCAGTACCTCACTGGCCAGCTGGCTGAGCTCTCGGACCCACGGAAGAAGGATGAGTTCCTACTCAACTTCTTTAAGCCGTACTACTCGCGGCTACCTCACTTCTCGGAGACTGATCCGGACTGTAAACCCACGGGGTTCATGGCGACGGACTGGCTTCACGACGAGTTGGCCGGATTCGGAAGCTACAGCAATTTCCAGGTCGGGCTAGAAGAGGGCGATACGGATATCCGGACCATGAGAGAGGGTCTCCCGGATCACGGGCTGTGGTTGGCGGGAGAGCACACGGCGCCGTTTGTGGGGCTGGGTACGGCAACTGGAGCATACTGGAGCGGTGAGTCTGTGGGCAGGAGGATAGCGGAGGCGTATGGGCTCACAAAGTGAGTCTTTCTCTCTAATAGAGGGCTTGTCGGGTTGCTATAGATGAACACGGATACACACCTTGTAGATCTGGCAGCTGGATGGGCCTTGTACATGGTGTTACAATAGATGGCAGGCTCAGCAGGACTGCTCTCAGATGGCCAATTCCAGATGCTCGCGTGAGCATATTGTGAGTGTGTACCTGTCAGATTCAACCACCTGGGTACCTGGACAGGTATACAAGCGTTGAAAGAGATCGATCCTGTCCATGTGGCACTGTCGCTTGTTGTTGCACTAACCCAAGCCCATGGACAACGGGATCAAAGGACAGGCAACCCCAGGTCAAAGAAGCTACTGCACAAAGCCAATACTGTAGTTGTCTACCCACGCGCCATGGTAAAAAGGGAAATACATCCATGACGCGACCAACGCATCGCAGCAGAAGAGAGGGTGGTGTCGCCGTTTTGGTCGGATGGGTGGGAAGAGTCAAGTCGAATTAGGCGCTTCACGACTCAAGTCACCCACTGAGAGCGCGATGCACGGGTCAAATGACGCCCCCAGGGACCCCCTGGAAGCGGCGGGAGATGCCATCATCAACCCTCCTCACGTCACGACGGACTAGGAGATTGATCTCTGACCGGCTTTGATGGAAGTCATCCATCACCAAGAAGAGTCACGAGCTGACGGCTCTAGCGGCGTCCGAGTCGAGACTTACAGGGCATCTACCGCCTGTAGCTTGTGGCTCTTGAGGATCTATGGAGCCCTGCTCCGCACTTCGGGCTGGAGAGTGCCCCCACCGCCCGCCCGGCGCGTTGCCGCCTCAGCCATCATTCATGCCCTCCCATGCATGTCGTGACAAGGTGTGACGCCTGTGACGGTGACCCGACTCTTTGGGAAAGTGTGCCTTGAAGCCTCTTGCCTTGCAACTCTAACTCTCTTCTTTACAACCGACGCCAACAACCTTTGGGCCTACGTCTCAAGCCACGAAACAATTTCTTAATCTTGAATCTACTTTTTTTTCTTCCTCCTTTTCTTCTCCCTTCTTCATCTACTCTGCTACTTAACCCTCATCCCATGACCCTCCGCTTCCCTTAATCATGCTCTGCGGCCCCGCATCTGGCCGGGGGTCTCGAAGCTACCGATAGCACGCCCGACGCCGGCCTCTGCCTAGACGACGACTACTGCCTTGTTGACGCCTTGCGAACCGTTTTGACCGACTGTCGTCTTCTCTCTTACACTCTCTTCCATCGACTTCCCGGGCTGCGAGGGCATCCATCGCCTCGCCCTCTCCCGCTGACTCGAGCGCGCTGACGTTGACGTCGACGTCAACGCAACGCCGATATCATGGCGGCATTCTTCCAGTCGTTCCGGAGCTCCTCCATGCCAAAGAGGTTGCTCCGGTATGCCCTTTCACGGATGGAACTCCTCGATGCCGACGCCCTCGATTTGGATAATTTGGATCTTGCCTGGGGACGGAATACGGTCCTCGAGTTTCGTGATGTCGGCATTAGACTCAAGGTAAGCAGGCCGCTCGGTCCTTGGCCCATGTGATTAACCCCAGCTTGTGATGGATGCTGATAACGATCGCAGAAGCTCGACAAGCTGCTACACCTCCCCGAGACGTTTAGACTGCAAAAGGCAAAAGTGCTACTTCTGCGGATTAGCATTCCGATGGACTTTTTTACGAGTCCCATCATAGTCGATATCGATGGCGTCAGTGTTGCTTTACAGGTCCTGGGCACAGAGCCCAAGACAGGACGAGGAACAAAGACACCCGATGAAGTTCCTGTTGTCCCTAATACGGTCGATCTGGCGCAATCATTCCTCGAGACGACAAATAGATCAGAGCGCCAAGAGCTTGAGGATGCTCTGGCTGCAGAGACACAGGATATGGATGCTTCAGTGGCCATGAGCGACGACAGCAGCGACGACGACGCCCTGGCATATGGCACAGGCCAGCCGCTGTCTCTACCGGCCTTCATGGCCGACTTTTTGCAGGGCATCGTCGACCGCATGCAGATCAGGATCAAGGATGTTAGCTTCCAGCTCGATGTCGAGGTCCCCGTCGAGCCGAATTCTCCTGCGAACGAGATGGTTTCTTTCCAGCTCGCTCTCGATAACATCGATGTCGAAGGAGTCACTACCCGTCCCAGCGAGGATGGCGAATCGCCCACAATCATACCCAAGGAAGGCAAGCGACATGTCTCCTTGTCTAATGTACGGGCATACCTCATATCAGAAGCGAATGTCTTTTCCGCTCTGGCACGATCTCCCTCTATGACATCTCCCTCGGTTGCTTCTTCGCCGGCCATGACGAGAAATCCCCCGTCTCGTCAGGCAACCACACTCTCACTTAGCAGTCTTCACGAGGAGTCTGCAGCCTCATCTCACTCAATTCGAAATGACGAACCGATGACTTCATCGCATCAAACCATCTCTCTGGAGGAACCCTTGATTTCCTCCGAGCACAGCATCAAGCAGGCAGACTCCGTGTCTTCATTACAGCAGCATTCTCAACATTATTCCCAATATGCAGGTTCTATGGACTCTTCTCTTGCAAGCCTCCAGGAGGACTACTCCGTGGCTCGCGAACCCCCAGAGCCCGAGTACCCCTCGAACGATAGCGAAGACGCATTGGATATTCCCTACGAATTCTCTGATGCTCAAGACGAAGATGCCGAAGACAGCCCAGCGACTCCACGGGCCTCGATGTATCATGACTTCAACAATCCGCTCAATGAGGAGCCTCTGTTCCATTCAACCATGATTTCCGCCGATCATCCATCTCACTCTACAGCACTTGAGAACGAGAGACCTCAGTGGGCGAATGTTGAGCGAGAGGCCAGGTCTGCCCCGGCTCTACAGCACGGTTTGCAGCCATTCAGCCTACAAGCTTTTCACTCAAGAACACCAGAGGGTCCCCTCAGCCGGTCTACTTCTAGTGAAAGCTTCGGTGCTGGATCAACCGAAGATCTCGCCCAGTCTCATATGTACACTCACGAAGATGCAGAGAGCATGTACATGAGTGCATTCTCACAAGCAAGTTCTCGGTCTGCAGCAGTATCACCTCCAGCTACTTCACACCACACTCCACCCCCAGCGGAGCGGCTAAGCGAATCAATTAATCCCGTGGAGAAGCCAGCTTCGCCTGTCGCAGAACCTGAAGTACCAGATCTAGCGGAATCTCACGCCTCCATTGTGAAACCGCAGACTCCTCCTCTGGACGAGCCCCAAGCTCCTGCACCAGAGGTGAAGGAGTCCAAGCCCTTCATCCCGGGTGCATGGGATGAGGACCTGGACGAAAGCCAAGCATGGGCAGGACCAGCCTCGATGAAGCGCTCAGCTCACGCTACTGAAGACGCATCAGATAGTGACTCCTCTGAGCCAGCCTTTTCCCGAGCCTGTATTGCCGAAACTGAGCCCGAGGCCCCAAGCACGCCTGTCAAACACCAAGACGATGTTCCCACTCCCAAAGGACCAACACGCCTGGTCAAGGAGATTCTCAGTCTCAAGACGATCTCGATTTACATTCCGTCTCAACATAAGCACCTGCATGTTCAGCCTGCATCTCCTGAGTCCGTAGCTCAGCTATCACAGTCTTTGGGACGGTCAGCATATCCACAAGCGCCAGGCGCATTCTCAGTGCATGGAGCTGCATCCGCGCATCCGTCACAGCCAGCGTCGAACGTAGATGACACTCTAGAAGTGAATCTTTCTCCCATCAATGTTCGCTTTGATACTTCACTGGGCTTCTTGCTTGCTATGGTTGTAGGGAAACTGCTCGAAGCAGTCCAAGGAAAGAAGCCAGCTCCAGCTGGAGAAAGCAAGCAGGGAACAGATGCGAAGACGCCTAACGTGAAGCTAACACTCGAGGAGGTCAAGCTCGACTTTCTTAATCGGCTCGGTGGAGTTTCAGACACACCCGAGCGTTACTTGGATCCGTCCGCTTTCATCTTTGATCAAGAGGTCCTACTCAACCTAACACTCCAGAACTTGGTCATCTCTACATCTCAGACTCAGGTGCCGGTGGTTGAGGGTAAGGCCGCGACAAAACCAGCCTCTTTGACAAAGATAGATTTGCAAAAGTTCCGTTTCGGGTACGCCAACGGAGATATCATCTCGTTCGATAGCGGCCGGCCGATGAGTACGTCAGTTAAAGACACGTTCCTGACCACCGGGTCCGATATTGGCGTCAACATTCTTCAGTCAGGGGATAATATCAGGACGAATGTCGAAACCTTGCCGCTTGTGTTCCAGCTCGATCTACGACGACTCGACGAAACCTTCAGCTGGTTTGGTGGCTTAAGTAGCTTCCTCAACATGAGTGCCTCGATCGCATCCAGTCCTTCGCCAACGCCCAAACCAGCTCCTATCCCGCAACAGAAACCTCGAGGTGTTCGCTTTGATACTCCTATTGACCCAGCAGACAAGTCTGCAGCTGCAGCGAACAAGGTTAACATCCGAATCGGAGGGTCTTGGGTGGAGTTGGTAGGCAAGGACTGCAGTTTGACAGCAGAAACAAGTGCTATCAAGCTCGTGAGCCGGGATGAGGGTATCGGAATGGCATGCAGTATGATGCGCTTGTCAGGACCTTACTTGAAGAACCCGACGTCCGAACCTGCCATAACCACCGAAGTCAAAGGTGTTAAGATCAACTTTCTCATGGCCCCTCAAGATTCCGATCTCGAGAAGCTCCTTGAGCTTATTATTCCGTCAAAGCTCCAGTTTGACGGCGGCAATGACGAGATCATGGTCGACACTTTACTCCGCCAGCGACGAAAGGGTTCGGTTCTGAGAGCGTCGGTCGACTCAGTCAATGTTCGCATCCAAAACATGGCTCAGCTCTCTGTCCTCCCGGATCTTGGAGAAGAACTTGCAAAGCTCTCAACTGTGGCGAAATACCTACCGGAAGACGATCGCCCTGGTCTGTTGACACTCGGAGATATCGAAAAGGTGGGTGTCAGTCTAGACTTTGGCGGGAAGCTGGGTCACTTTGGCGCCGAGTTGAAGGGACTGAATGTTGGTCACATCACCGTACCGTCACTCGTTGCCATCTCGGTAAACGGTATCTCCCTCAAGAGAAACCAGTCAGAGGAGCTTGTCAGCACTGTGTCATTCGTCAAGGAGATTTCACCTCGAGGCCCGGTTGTCATGGCAAGGATGATCGGCGACGACATCGAGCCCCTGATCAAGATAAAGATGCAAGATTTATGCATCGACTACCGAGTTCCTACCATCATGGATATTCTG